ATTTCTCATGCCAAAAATGATGCAAAATGTAAGTTAATTAGTTACTTTGGGGATTATGAAAGTGTAAATTCTTATCATAATAATCTATAACACCATTGTTACGATTTTAATCCATTTTAATTCCTAGCAGCTGGATTCCCACGAAGTCATCGAAAACGAACTCGTTTAATCCGTTACGGTCAATAACTGCCCCTTCGTGGGAATAAACCAAGTTTGCTGTATATCAAAAACACTGTACCTCAACCGAATTGGACAGTCAAATCATATAATTGATTAGACAATACAGAAAGACAATATATAGTGTTGAATCATAGGAACACAGAGAGACAAGTCTCTTGTTAAACATAAAGAAGAGAATCAAGACAGTGCTGAGGATTAAATCTGCAGTACTGCAGTTATGGTGTAATTTTGTATGGTTTATCACATATTTACGTTCTCGTGAGCATATATTGGAAGTCTGGAGTATAGTTTGTGTTGATATTGCGTTTGAAAATTGACTTATTTTTCGATGTTTTAGTTGAGAGTTCAGACGATTTCAGTCTTTTAGGGGGTTTATAATCATTTCAGATAAGTACGTAGGACATTGTTATTGTGAATTTCTTTATAGAGTTTCCTTTGATGTCTCCTGTCAAACAAGCTTTCCCATCCTGTTTGGAGATATAGCTATTATTTGCTTGCATATTTCGGTAAGCCGATAACGATGCAGGAGTTTCTAATTTGATTTTATCTAGTAGTCACAATCTGAGTCATTACACCCATCCCAAACTTGGCAAGAGTATTCTAGGTTAGGTCTCATTATGTTTTATAGATTATGTCCAGTGAGGTTTGATTTCATATATATTTCAATTTTCGTAGAATACCAAGGTGATTGGATACTGAAGAACATATTGTATCTATGTGTGTTAGCTACTCGAAGTCGCTCGATAGTGTAAGGGGACTATTTCGAGTTCTATATATCACCCAGTTTTAAGTTTGATAGATGTGAATGGGGATTAAATGAAAATAACTGTTTTTGGGACCAAATATATCTAGGGTATTTATATCATGGTTTAGAGATAATAATAACATTACCGTTTGTCTATATTGCAGCCTAAAGCTGTATTATCAGTGAATAATGGTATGTCTGTCAGTATATCTTGGATAGCATTTATATATACTATTCAAAAAAAGTAGGGGATATTTGATTTTGGGGGCATAATACTAAAATATGCAAATGACTACGAAAAAAGTCACTATAGAACCTAACAGAAGAAACATTTCCAGTTACATGTGACGCCCAAACGGACCAATAGCTACCGCATGGAATGCAGGTGATGCTTGGAATCATCATGGGGGTCCAACCCAAGATTTGCACGACTCTGACTTTGAATGTTACAGTCATTGTGGCATTGAATTCCAGGGTGGAAACATCAGTTTAATTGTTTTAGTGACCAGAAAACAAATTTTGATATGCGTCGGCTTACCCAAAATGAAAGGTTACGTGCCCTTGGCATGCTACAGATCGGCACAACACAGGCGGTTGTGGCGCGGACGATGAATGTTTCTCAGTCTGTCATAAGCAGGCTATGGTCCAGATACCGTGATACACAATCTGTACAGGACAGACCACGCTCAGGTCGACCAAGGGCGACAACTCAAGCCCAGGATCGATTTATCCGTACCTTGGCCTTGAGAAATCGTGTCATCACAGCAAATCAGATCAGCGCTCGTCTTCAAACAGACACTGGTGTGAGAGTGAGTGGCCAGACGATTCGGAATCGACTGCATAGGGGTCACCTTCGCGCCCGACGTCCTCGCGTGATCCCTTGTTTGAGAGATCATCACATTCAGGCAAGATGTCGTTGGTGTAGGGATCGTCAACACTGGGATAATCGACGCTGGAGCAATGTGATGTTTTCAGATGAGTCAAGGTTCACTGTTGATTTTTTGGACAGACGTAGGAGGGTGTGGCGTCGTCGAAACGAGCGCTTCCAAGACGTTAACGTCATCAGACATGATCGATTTGGGGGTGGTTCTGTTATGGTGTGGGGAGGCATCACTGTTGCTGGAAGAACGGCTTTACATGTTGTTGCAGGGCGTGTTACAGGCCAGTACTACCGGGACAACATCTTGGCAGTCCATGTTGTGCCGTTCGCACGACGTCATGGCCGCCGTTTCATCTTCCAGGATGACAACGCAAGATGTCACAGGGCCAGGATCGTTACAGGTTACCTCCAACAACAGAACATCACCACATTACCTTGGCCAGCATTGAGTCCCGACCTCTCCCCCATCGAGCATGTCTGGGACATGCTTGGACAGAGGTTACGTCAACGTCAACAACGTCCTGCCAATGTCCAAGAACTTGCTGCTGCGTTGCAACAGGAATGGGACAATCTGGACCAGAATGACCTTAGACGTCTCATTAGGAGTATGCCACGTCGGATCAATGCTTGTTTGGCAAACAGAGGAGGATTTACCTGTTACTGACTTGGTTGTGATGCTGTGGTAACTTTGCTGTTTGACCCCGGGTATCATTTTACCCTTATAATGGTCAGTCTGTGCCTTACTTAGTCTAACGATCATTTGGAATAAATCGATGAATGTGAACTTCATTTCATTTTGTCATTTGTTTCTTCGTCAGTTTCATTAGGTGACTTTAATAACACTTAAAAATCAAATATCCCCTACTTTTTTTGAATAGTATAGATTAAGAAGAGGAATGGTCCCAAAACGAAACCCTGGGGAATCCCTGACATTACAGTCGTTTCGTGTGACCGAACACCTCTGATGGTTACCGTGTGGTTCCTGTCACTGATATAGCTGAGGAATAAATCTCAAGATTGACAAAAATGATCAGAGGAAATATCTGAGAATTTTGAAATTTTAACCCCATATATCAACTATCTTATGGGGCAAAAATATCGAAAGATTGCAAGAACTGCTGTTCGGAGGATAAAGGTATATTTCCAAATAATAATTTAGGATTAAGACTATAACTCTAAAACAACTGGCGAATGTTCGTTTACATTTAACAAAATCTATGGTGTTGTTGTTATTGAAAGGACACCATTAAAGTTTGACCCAAATCATGTTTTAAACAATTTTACTATTTCGAATATAAGGAGAAGTAATAATTCAATAACACTGTCAAATCTTTTTGTATGTATTGAATGAATTGATTATTTTAAAGATGACTTAAAGGAGCATAAGGTAAGATTAGATAAAGAGCTGACAGTTCTCGCTACAATAGTTAAAAATAGATAACTAAAAGGCAATATGTTGAAATTTCAGTCAAGTTACTTCACTCTGGGCATAGTTATCGGTAGTGTAGCCTGGATTGTCAGTGCTATCTCATTGCAGTAAATCTGACCCTCCCCCCACCCTTATTCTCTCTCTCTCAAAAATAAAACCCAACGAAAAACAACATTTTGCGACTTTCGATAGGACTTACTCTTATAGGGAGATAGCCGAACAACCCTTATTAAGTTTGAAAAAGAAATATCACAGTCTCTGATTGTTTGGAATGTCTGGTGACAGGGGCAGTAAAACTGCGAAAGAGTGGACTGAACTGGATGGACAAATCAGGATGGCAATAATACTCCCCTTGAACTGTTGGCGTATAAAACTCATCATGTGTTATTTAATCTGAAGTATATGTTGAGACTCTAAGCTCCATACTGTCCTATATTTGTAATTACTTACAATATAGACCAGGTTTCACTATTTAAAGCCGAATGTGAACTAAATATAGCATATTATCGCAGAATGGCCTTAATATTATGTGTAATATTTATACGTTCCTTGTGTAAGTCGGTGTCTTGATGACTCAAGTCTTATCACCTCGTGATTCACTGCATATTGATTTAAACCAGTTTACAACCCAGTGTGGGAGTAAAAAGAAGGGAGTAGAAGCTCGGTATAGACCTTGAATGTCTTGAAAGGTCCAAATTTTAATAATAAATGTTTAAACCGTATTAATGTTTATCATTATCAAAATTGGCATTGTTAGACAAAATTGAATAATAAATGGCGTAATGCTAATTAATTGTGCATATTCATAATATTATCTGTAAAATACTGATGTGAAAAAAAGAAAATTGCTGTAATCATTACATCGCCTTAATCGGAACAAAGACCATCCGTTTAAAGTTGATCTGGAGGCGATCAACTGTGTGGTTAAAGCATTCAAAGTTTACTATACAAAGTGAGCAAGGCTTACTTATAATTCTAGAAGTAAGTTCCACTGATTTTAACAATGCCTATCAATTTAAAGCTTGTTGCTAGGGCGTTCATAAGATGTTACGAAGTGAATAAGGGCCATAACTCTAGAATTAACGAAAATGGTTAAGGTGCTATAATCGTTATCGTTTCCTGATTTGAATAATACAGATCTCATAAATACTTTTGCCTTTCGGGTATTCACAAGATTCTAGAAAGTGGCCAAGGACAATAACTCTGAAAGTTGTTATCAGAATCGGTGAAATCCAAAAGGTATCTTTGTTTCACTAAACATTTCAAAAAATGTAGATGATAACTGCAGTCTTTAGAGTGTAAAAGTGTAAAAGGAGGGGAGAATCAAGGGAGAACCGGATAATGTGAAGGTTTCTGTAGTTTCTATTCCCTTTCATATGGAAGCCTATAACTATCATTCGTAATTTCTACTTTTCGCCCCTTCAGAACGCGAAAGTCGAAAAGTAGAATTTACGACAAAATGTAAGGTGACAGCATGCACACCAAGGAAAAATCGAGTCGTTTATATTGGGCCCGACTAATCACAAACACACTGCAATATTAGAGCCCCTCGTTTTGTCGTGATTTCTACTTTTCGTGTTGCATTTTGGCTTGAGTTGAGTGATGTCAACTTTCGACTTAAGTCATATTTTTGTACCTATTCATGTCTGTATGAACGCGTCAACGCGCCTTCGACTTTTCGCGTTCTCAATGGCCGAAAAGTAGAAATTACGAATGGTAGTTATAGGCTTCCATACATGCATGGATCTATCTATGTCAGTATAGTCTGTCTACTTGCGTTTATTTACAACTGTAACAGTATGTATTATGCAGGTTTTGTATTATGCTGTGTTGTATAGGATACTAATACTCTAAATAACTTTAACTCTTTAGTCGTATCGGTGCATAGGGCGTCATATGAGTGGATATAATAACAGGAATAGTAAATGACATCAACTAGTTCTATACTTAAGTAAGTAGAATGGAGAATATTGATAAACCAGTCGGCAGGGTATTTGAAGACATATGTACTATGGCGGCCAAAGAAATTGGTATCGTTAATTTAGGTCGGGGATTCCCTGATTTCAGTCCACCTCAGCATGTATTAGATGCTTTGGTACAGGTCACCCAGAGTGGTAATCCTCTACTTCATCAGTACACCAGAAGTTTTGGTCATGTTCGACTGGTACAAGCATTGTGTAAGCTATACTCTCCATACTTTAATCGGAATTTGGATCCGTATCAAAATATCCTGATTCCTGTAGGTGCTTATGGCGCTTTGGTTTGTGCCATCGACAGCACTGTTCAAAAAGGAGATGAAGTAATTGTCTTTGAACCATTTTTTGACTCCTATAAAAAAATGATAACTGTTATTGGTGCAACCCCAGTCTTCATACCATTGACACCACAAACAACCGAATCCTCACCAACTTCTCACAGCGATGATTGGACTTTTGATGAAAAGTTTCTTTTGTCTAAAATACGCCCGAATACAAAGGCTATATTACTTAACTCTCCGAGTAATCCGTTGGGAAAGGTTTTCAACCAAAGAGAGTTGGAAATAATTCGGGATATCTGCATCGAGTTCGACCTTATTTGTATATCCGACGAAGTTTATGAATGGATGGTTTTTGATTCTAAGAAGCACATCAAAATGGCAACCATGGAGGGAATGTGGGAGAGAACTTTAACGATAGGAAGCGCGGGGAAAACTTTCAGTGCCACAGGGTGGAAATTAGGCTGGGTAATTGGACCAGAACCTTTGATTAAAAAGTGTCAAGTTATCTTTCAAAAATGTTACTATCGATGCCCTACTCCGATACAAGAAGCAGTTGCCATAGCAATTGAAACAGAAATGACGCGATTAGAATCGGAAGATTGCTATCTAAAAAGTCTGGCGAGGGATTTAGAAAAGAAACGAGACTATCTTGCATCTTTGTTAACGGAAATTGGACTAAAGCCGATTCTTCCAGGAGGGGGCTATTTTATGGTTGCTGATATCTTCGATTTTCACAAACAAATAAAGGATAACGAACTGGAGAAACACAGCTCCAAGGACGAAGCCGACGATGTTCGTTTTGTAAAGTGGGCCATAAAAGAGAAAAAAATTGGTGCTATTCCAGTTTCTGTATTTTATTCTGATGAAAACAAAAGTAGACAACACTTAATACGTTTATGTTTCGCAAAGAAACTTAGCACTTTAGAAGACGCTGGGACTATTCTTAAACAGTGGTAAACTCTGTTGCATAAATATAGCCTACCATTTTAAAGCACGGTACAGTAATCTTCTTTGAGCGGCATTGAGCGGTACAGTAATAAAGAGAATTCCCAATGCAAATTATGTCTGTTAATTTTCATCTAAATCGGACAGAAATGTGGCCTCTAAAGGGTCCACACCATTAATGTATTACATGCATTGCCACTAAACTAATTGCGTATAGGGAAGGGTCATTTAGTTATACGATCCGATACGCACTAAAATCAAACTCAACCGAGATCTTTAAGATATAAACATATAGGCCTATATAAAAATGTGACATCTAGAGGATCGACGATCAACAAGCTAAAGAAGTTACGGTCCAATATGTTCCGAAATCGAACTCATCCGAGGTCTTTAGGATATAGCTTAACCTTCACTATGGTCCAACGGTGATATATTTAAACGCTTTTTAAAATCCACAAGCTAAAAATGTGATTTATCGTAAAATCAGAGGTCAAAATCCAGGAAGTTATGGTCTGATAGTGCGAATATCAAAAGGAACTGAAATCTTTGGGATATAAAATTATTATTAAAGTTTCATCAAAATCGGACAAAAAAAAAAAAAAAAAAATGTGACATCTCCTCTATAGGGTCCACAAGCTAAAATCGCGATTTCTTCGTATACAATCAGGAGACAAATTCAAGGAACTTACCGTCCAATATGCGCAAATATCGAAAGAAACCGAGATCATTGGGATATAAACACATGTTTAAAGTTTCATCAAAATCGGATACAAATTGTGACCTCTAGAGGGTGCACAACCTTGATATTACATACTTTAACACTGTTTGCGTACACGGGCGGCCATTTTTTCGAACTCAACCATCATTATGGTGTAACGGTGATATATTCGAACGTTTTTTGTACGCCCACATTTCCATGCTGACGTATACTGTCATCGCCCCTGTCCGTCCGGACGTCCGTCCACAATTTGTTTGTGGAAACTCTACAGGTCACAATTTTTATCCGATTTTGACGAAACTTGAAATATAGGCCTCTCTCCCAACGATCTCGGTTCCTTTCGATATTGGCATATATGGGACCAAAACTTCCTGGATTATGACCTCTGATTGTACGAAAAATCACGTTTTTAGCTTGAAATGGATGTTTATAACGTAAATATCTGGTTTCCTTTCTATATCGGATCGTAACTTCCTGAATTATGGACCCTGATTGTACGAAAAATCGCGCTTTTAGGTTGTAGTCCCTCTATAGGTCACAATTTTATTCGATTTTTAAAAACGTTTAGTATAACACCGTTACACCCCAACGATGGTTTTAGTCAATTTCGTGAAAATCGGACCAAAACTGTCGGACAAAATGGCCACCCCTTGTACGAAAATAGTGTAAAATCTGGTATATCAAGGTTGTGGAACTCCTAGAGGTCACAATTTTTATCAGAATTTGATGAAACTTGAAATGAATGTTTATAACCCAAAGATCTGGGTTCCTTTCGATATTTGCGCATATAGGATCGTAGCTTCCTGAATTATGGCCCCTAATTGTACGAAAAATCGAGTTTTTAGCTTGTGGTGGTCCCTCTTGAGGTCACAATTTTTATCCGATTTAAAAAAAACGTTTTAGTATATCACCATTACACCCTAGTGATGGTTGAGTTCGAATTTCGTGAAAATCGGACAAAAACTGACGAACATAATGGCTTCCCCTTGTACGCAAATAGAGTAAAAATATGGTATATCAAGGTTGTGGACCCTCTAGAGGCCACAGTTTTTATCCGATTTGGATGAAACGTTAAATATATGCTTTTATCATAAAGATCTTGGTTCCTTTTAATAATCACACATATATGAACGTAACTTCCTGGAGCATGACCCCTGATTGGTCGAAATATCATATTTTTAGCTTGTAGTTTCTCTAGAGGTCACAATTTTTTTTGCGATTTTAAAAACCGTTTAGATATATCACCATTCCACCATAATGAAGGTTGAATTCGAATTTCGGGAAAATCGAAATGAAACTGCCCGACAAAATGGCCGCTCTTTGTACACAAATTGTGTAGAAGTATTTAATACAAAGGTTAAGGACCCTCTAGAGGTCACAATTTTTATCCGGGTTTTGATGAAAGTTAAAACATATCTTTATATTCCCAAAATCTCAGCCCCTTTAGATATTTGCGCATTTCATGCAGACCATAACTTTCTGGATTATGGCCCCGATTGTACCAAAAATTGTTTTTGTTTTCATCTTGTTCTCTATCCATCTCTTGCAAAATGTGGGCGTATCCTGCTTGGCAGCCGCTAGTTTTTAAATCGGATTAAAATTGTGACCTAGAGGAACCACGCGCTAAAAATGTGGTTTTTCATTCAATCAGGGGTCATAATGCAGGAAGTTACGATCATATATGCCCGAATATCGAAAGGAACCGAGATTTTTGGGAGATAAGTCTATATTTCAAGTTTCGTCAAAATCGGACAAAAATTGTGACCTGTAGATTGTCCACAAACAATTTGTCGACTGGCGGACGCCCAGACGGACAGGGGCGACGACAATATACGTCCACATGAAAATGTGGGCGTATAAAAAGATGTGACCTGCAGTGGGTCCACAAACAAATCTGAACGGATGTCCAGACACAAGTCAAGGCGGACAGGGGCGACGACATAATACGTCCATATAAAAATGTGTATAAAAATCAATAAAATACTATTTTCCGATAGAAATTTTCCCATAAGTAGAATTTCATCCTAATATTTAAAAATCCTGTAGAGTCGAACCCGATCTCCCCTACATATCGAATTTTATTTCAGTGGGGGTGGCTGTGGGGGGGGGGGGGTAGCAAAAATAAGAAAGGCTTATGCTGGCTCGTGAAGTGACGCAGCCACGAGTTGAGCACCACAGGGTCTAGAGTCCCTGATATGCCATTTCCTGGATTTTTGCACAATTCTGACGGTGAGAAAACACTTATAACATGAGTAAAATGAATCTGAGACAACTTATGAACAGTGGCGGTGCCAGGGGGGGGGGGGGGCATTTGCCCCTCGATTAATTTGGTCTGCCCTCTGTTTGCCCCCCCAATAATTTTAGAAAATAAAAAAAATTATTTGTGATACGTTTCGGTAATAAATCCCACATCCCCACTCAGTCATAAACTTGCATGTTGTAGACCATTTCCGACAGTCTATTTTTCAAAATTTTCTTGGCGAGGTCCCCAATAGACTCGCTACTTTGGCGCTCACAAGGGGAATTCGTTGAGGTTCGCAAGTCCGTTCGTTTGACATTTTGTTCTCTAGTCGGATAAACTAGTGATCAGGCGACGGACGGTATCTGGTCAGATCTATTTATCTCGACGATCGGTGCCTGACAGAATACTGTAAGACAGCATTTCCGGCAGTCTATTTTTCAAAATTTTCTGGGGGAGGACTCCCTACTTTGACGCTCTTTTTAGTGGGCTTCGTCGTAGTTCTCAAGTCCGTTCGTTTGACACTTTACCTCATCGATCAGTGCTTGAAATACTGCCAGGCTGGATTTCCGGCAACCTGTTTTTCAAAATTTTCTGGGGGAGGCCCCCTACCCCTAGTTAATGCTCGTGACTTTGCCCCCTTAACTTTGGACTTTGCCCCAGCATTGCCCCTCCAATCACCGACGGCTGTTGCCGCCACTGCTTATGAAAGAGATAATTACATCATTTAGTATATTTACATGGACCTATCTGGTGAATAGGCCTATATTCATAAATTATGCAAGGAATGGCCTCATATTTTCATCACGTGTCCGTGCTTAGTCAAGTTTGACCACCGATTAGCGATTTTGTCAAGATCGATCGTGACCGCCAGGTCAAGCTCACAAGGAGTCAATATTGAATAATTTTGAGGAGTTGCTGTTTCATTATAATGAACGCATAGCAGTTTTTACTATAGCCTACTTTGAAAAACTGGTGAGCAGGGCCGTAACTAGCTCGAGCTACGAGGGGGGGGGGGGGCGGTGTGTTCTCAGGGGTGCTGTAAAATTGACGGACAATATGTATATCTATTGTTTTTATGCCCCCCCCCCGTCCTTCGCCCCTCTAGTTACGGGCCTGCTGGTGAGTAGGCCTATTATATAGTATTGTGAAATGTGATATCCAGTCAAAACATATATATATATCTTACCGGTACATAATTTTGAGACAGACTATTGCACTTATCTTGACTTGATACCGACTATTTCTTTTTCACGGCAAGGAGTACCCCCCCACCCCCCGCCCCGCTAGAAATGGTTCCACTACTGCGATGTCTTCCAATTAAAGCGCTAAAAAAACAATCCAGAAAAAAAAAAAAATCCCTGGAAGTGGAACCTTAAATTTTTCTTTAGCATCTAACTAATAATTCGAGTGATCTCGTGATAATTAACACCGGGTTAAAAATACACTGTAGGCAGTAAGCGGTATTTGAAAAAATAAATGTAGTCGACAACTCTGGGACAGACTGTGGAATCTGGACATCTTTAACCATGGACCGTATATAACGAGCTAGTGGAGTTCAAAATTGCCCGACTTTTCAACCTATCATGGGCAAATCACTCAGTCGACTTTGATCAACATCCGGGTATTTTCTGTAGTCGAGCCTCGCTTTGGCCTGTCCGCGCACTGATCAACGCCATTTTGGATAAAATTCGGTGAAAATATGTCCCAAGAAATTCAATCTGTGACACATATACAGGTTGAAAATGTTCCTGGTATGTATAATCCTCTCAAACAATGTTTGAAATATCAAAACAATTTAGATTTAGGGCTATATTAAGTAGTTATTGATAATTAGAGCGTGCTAATTTTGGTGTAGTTCCTCTGACCATCGTTGTAATGGGCGCAGTAATACCCTAAGATTTATTCTGAAGGTATTCCTACTCCTGTTATTTTTACTGAGACCTCAGAGTGGGATGGTCATGAATTTTATTCGTCGAAGAAATATGGAATAAAATATATTTTCTGATACATGTATAAATTTATTGTTATTGTAGAAATCTTACGGAGTTTTCGACCTAGAAATGACCTAATTTGACAAAATTGTCACCCAGTTCTTCTTGATTTTTTGTTTTCACAAGTTTTATAACATTCACATTCTCACTTAGGACGGAGTACAGTAGGCTACCGGTACAACTTAATTCGCAGCGCTTTATTTATATCTGTTCAGTATTGGAGTCTTAAATGAAATAAGTACATGCCATGCATTGATAAATATGTCATGAATTGCCTTGACAGACATCAAGAAATTCCGAAAAAACTTAAAAAAACAACATTTATAGGTTTTATACTTATAGGTGCTACAAAAGGAACTAACTAGGCTATATAATTATAATATAAGAAGTTAATGTAGCATGTGGTGTTTTAGGATCTTATGCAAATTGAAGCTAGTCAATCTTTGTCCTAATTGATGACTCAAAATAGCTGTAATAAGTAGCCTAATGTCTGCAGGTACATGTATGTACATGTAACTGGTACATTATAATATTAAGTAGTTAGGAGTAGGCCTCTAAATTTCCTAAAGTAAATTTTTTATTCAGTAAAATGTCAAAGGGTAGAATTAGAGAACAACACCTTTTTTCACCCCTAGCACTAGGCATAGTCCTACTGGTTTTTATTTGTCTAAAATAAGACTAAGAGCTAAACCTCTTTAATCAGGTCGAAATAAGGGGTTGAAGAATTCGGTGGATATGATCTTTTACTTTGATTAGCAATATAACAAAATCAGTACTAGGTAGGTCTACATGTGCCAACTTTGTTTACTAATATTAGTTCTGGATTTGAACATAAAATCATCTGTATCACTGTTGTTAATCATTATGTGAACCTAAAGTTTTAAATGTCAACAGTGATGACTAATTTTACAAAGAATATCAACACATCACACTTAATTAAATGAACACTTTACATAGGTCAAGCATGTACTGAATGGATGAACCTATAATTTTTTCCTTGGTAATGGGTTATCCCCCTTGACAGAATTTCAAAAGCTAGAGAAACTTACTAAATTATAACACAATTTCTAAATATGTTTCAGGTATAACCACATACATATATCATGCATATTATTGTCAAAATAACATCATATTTTGGTTTGAATCAAACAGAAACACTTTAAACCTTATATTTTTGTCTTGAATTATCTCCCTTGAAGTTTATAATCTTAAATGAATTCGGAAAGAATTATGATACGGTCAGATCAAACCCCAGATTTCGGCAAGGTTATGATACAATGTAAGCCTATCTGACCAGTTGATAAATAATATTTCATTTGATTTGTGGTGTTTTCACTATACATCTCTCATGTTCAAATTAGATTGCAAAATTTTAAAGAAATATGACACAATTATAATGTAATACTAGTTAGGCTACTTAGTGCAGGGGGACCACACTGCTCATGAAAATCCAGGGATAAGACACACACTATCTATACACAGACATTTCAAACAACGAATGCTTATCAAATCAAGCGAATGAATCCATCGGCTAGAGAGAGAAAGAGAGAGAGAGAAATGGGGTTTAACGTCCACTCGACACAAACTAGGTCATTTCGGGACTAACATATAGTTTAATTTTATTTCAATAATTCGCTTGCGCGTAGGGGTCTTTAGCAGTGGGAGGAAACCAGAGGACCCGGAGAAAACCCACGAGGTTGGACAGGCCACCCTACTCCTTGTCACGTACAACCGGGGATTCGAAACCACGCCAGTTGACTCAATGACAGAACTTATGATAAGGCACGCACATGCTAACCATTCGGCCATCCAACTCCCTTCCATCGGGTAGCCATAAACGTTTGCTGTGTTGTACACACAGATTTTACTTAAGATGAAAACAAACTAAAAATAAGGGAAGCAATCCAAGAAAAATGGGGATATATGTATGTACATGTATTCATGTAAATAACTTGTATCCCATATAGTTGTGACATTTATGATTCTCATTCAGTTACATTTAATATTACACAATAAACAGAAGTGTATCTGCCAAGCGGTTTGGGTAAATTTTATAGTTTAATCTCTCAATTTGTGACTTGTACAAATTTTGTAGTAGACTTGAGTTTAATGAATGCTTGTAGAAAGTTACTCTAAGTAAGTCGGTACTTGGATTTTTGATAATGAGATTCATCTCTAAGGTTATTTTGAATATAATTGATATTCAAAATTGATTACATTTATTTTGTTGGTGAGAGTACTAGTGATAATACTACTTTACTATTTTTGGGAATAATTTTGTCTAAATTGTTTCTTTTATACAGAACTGCATCATATCCAGTTTGCTGAAGGTATACCTGAGGGTGCAACTGTTACTTTCATTGACTCTTCCTCCCTGGATCAACAACAAATAATAGATCTTCCTCCAGGAATTGAAATATATCAGACAATTCAACTACAGGATGGTACTGAGCATGTTTTATTGGAACAACCAATCCTCACGCAAATTAATGGAAATGGAAATCTGTCCGTGGCTTCTATACCTCCACAACAGGAAGTCAATGTCCAACCTCCGGCTCAACTACCAAAACAACCAGATATCAAACCACCAGTGGGCAAGGTCAGTGAATTTCATAAGATGTATTTTGATTTCACCTAAATATTAACACACTAACACAGTCATTGTTTTTTTAAGGCGCTCAAAGGCATTGGCAAATAGTCAAAGTCATTGTGCATTTGTTCAACTACATGTATATGCTAAGCTTTTTGATTCACGAAAACCCAAATGAAATATTTGCTAAAAACTTCTTATACAAATGTTGTAAATTAATTTCAGTATAACTTATATAAGACCTTCTAATGGGTTTTATTGGGGTTCTGTTATTCCATCAGAAATGGTATTGATCTCAGACTAACAGACTATGCTAATTTCGAATCCTGTAGACAATGGAATAATAAACATATTTTACATCAAAAGAAACAGGTTTTAATCTCGGCTATTTTCTTTATTTCCATTTTAGGGACCATATAACTGTGAATATTGTGATAAAATATTCAAGAAATGGAACCAACTTCAGCGTCATGTAAAAACTCACGATGATGATAAACCATTCCAGTGTGGTACGTGCACGGCATCGTTTAATGTAGAAGATAACCTCATACTTCATGAATCAACTCATGTTGGAGAGAACCAAGATCCAGTATGTCCTGAGTGTGGGAAGAAATTCTCTCGTGTGGCGTCATTAAAGGCACACATTATGTTACATGAGAAAGAAGAAAATTTAATGTGTCCAGAATGTGGCGATGAGTTTGGTTTACAGGTAATTAGACAAACTTTTGCACCAGGTATCACTTTTTCAGAAAATTGGGAATTTAATATAAACATGTAGGTATGTTTTGATTGAAATAAAAAATTATTTTATGTCTTAAGTTACAAATTTTCATGAAACTCATCCCAGAGGTATGCCCTGCAGGAAATCCAATTTCAGTGTGACGAACCAAAAAGTCTACGGTATGCTACAGTCATAATAATGACTTGGTATTTTTGGATATGTTCCCCCTCTTTATTTGTACTTGGTAGATTTGGGATGGTACATGTAGGCCCTTATTAATATGGAGAGTGCATGTAATAAATTCTTTGTCAGTTGATACACAGGACAAAATTGTATAGAATATAATTACTGTTTGTTACTGAGCGACATTTTTGAATAGACTTCTCTACTATCTAGTCTATATCAAGCAATGATAAGCAACGTTTCTACTAGTTGACATGAAGATCAGTAATAAACGGTAATTGTATTCCATAGAATTGTATCCTGTATTTTTCCATTTACTAAATGGCATTGAAAGCATTTAATTTTGTCAGCTTGAGTTTGAAGAGGAGTAAATGAAAACAATGAAGTCTACAATAAAGATACTGATAATTTACTTTGAAGATGGCATTTTAAATGTATTTTGATTTTAGATGCACTATTAAATGAATTAGATTATTATTTATTTGTTCTCTTTCAGAGTCAGCTAGATCGTCACATGCAGGAACATAGAGAGGAACATGTTGGTGTTCGTATGTTTCCATGTCGACAGTGTCATCATGAATTTACAAAAGTATCACTACTCAGAGAACATATGAAGCAACATTATAAAATAAAGTAAGTTTTGAAGAACCCATTCAAAGGTATACCGGTTACACATGTTTAAATCAATTTTGACTAGCTTTGTTAAAAATAAAAAATTTCATTTTTCTACAATATTTTTCTTTTAGCTTTTTTCCTCATCATTGGATGTGAAATTTTTTCAGAGCTTCTCTATCACATCGTACATATAAAAGAGACATAGATAGATCAAATTTTGGACATCGATGTAAACACTGTAACAAGCATTTCCAAAAACCTAGTCAGCTACAGAGACATGAACGTATACATACAGGTAATTTAAATATTATAAAACAATCATCATAATATACATCAAATTAACAAGGTTGGTGAGTTATAAACTTATTCAAAATCCTTTAGTGGCATATAAAGATTGGGAACATAACAAAACTAAAACAGTTATTAATATGGGACAACAATCACTGGTTTAGTATTCTGCTGAATATCTTCTTATCGTTATCAATAATATCTATAGACCTTTCAGTTTACTAATTTGTGATTGATAACTGTAAGAGGATGTGTCTGTTTATAATGAACCAGTGATTGTTTTCGATTCATGTATCTCATGGAGTTGTTTATATTCACCATTACTTACAAATCCATCTTAATCCATCAACTTTCACCTTTCCACAATCCACAGTATTGAATCACAAATTTTATAGTAATTAAAATTACAGGACAACTTTCACATGACACATGTCAACATAATGTTAGAGTTCTAATTAAACTAAAATACAAATATTAAACATATATTATGCAAGAGCTAAATCTGCCTATTGCAGGTCTTTCTTTCGGCCTGAAATATTTTCTAAAATATTAGACATTAATTAACTTATCCAGGCCATAATCAACTCTTGATGGCTTCGGATTTCTCTGATATCAAATAGATTAGAACAGATCAGTCATATTTTGATTTAAGCTAAAAATGGAGGAGCGAGATTAGCTTGTAACAACCAGTACAGTGGTTGAAATTATTGCACACGTCTTGTCAAACCTTCAAAGGCTAATATCTTTGCTCGCAATAGAGTAATTTGAATGAAATTTTCAAATTATTCATTTTACAGTATCAATTTTCGAATGGCTAGCTCTTTATCTAAATCTACCGTATTTAATATCCAAGTTAGGTTTTCATGTTTAATTTTTTTACTTGAATATATCACGATTTAAATTGTATTGTAGTCGCTATATCCATCACTAATCTGTGTATAGTGTAATATTATATTTTATAAAAAGAGATAGGTGAGTTACACAAGTTATAAGCTTGGGTAATTGGTATGGTATTCTTTATTAAGTAGTGCTCTGTAATTTTGAAAATCAGATATATGGTCAGTTGAAATAATCTCTCCCCAGGCTCTCATTTTCAGGGAGCAGTACATTCAGATGCTATAAAAGATTTGTGATGGAGAGAATTATGTTTGTGATTATTATTTGTAGGTGAAAGACCGTATAAATGTACAGATTGTGATAAATCATTTAATCAGAAGGGTGCTCTACAGATACACATGACTAAACATACAGGCAATAAACCACATCTATGTGACTTCTGTCCATCAGCATTCTCACAGAAAGGAAATCTTCGAGCTCATATACAGGTTTGTTTACAAATATACTAACATATTCTAAATTGGTTCTCATATAAATTAATTTTAGAAATCTACATACATGTAAACAAATAACTTTAAGTCCCATTTGATTTAATTTATTTTCATTCAAATTAACAAACCATTCAGAAAATATGTTTGCAAATAGTTTAAATAATCTGATGTTATTAAATAATTCTAAGCATTCTTGCAATTTTAACTGTAATGTTGTCTGGCTCTGTATTACAAAAATAATATCGATATAAATTTATTTTACAGAGAGTTCACACTATAACAAAAGAATCTGATGGTCCAACATACGAGTGTGGTGAATGTAGCTGTATGTTTAAAAAACTGGGTAGCTTAAATGCTCATGTCAGCCGAGCACATTCAGATACAACTGTAAGTTCAAATCAATATCAATAATTATTTGACTGTATGTTAATTTGGTTATGATCAAGGTATTGGCAGAGAAAGGAATTTCCAATATACGTGCCCCTTGTCAGTGGTGTAGGACGGAAGGCCTGACAAGCCAAAAAACAATGTCATTTGTATGTGTGGAATGACAAACAGAAGTCAAACTGTGTAATCACTTGACCGTATGTTATAAAGAACCCTTTGTGTACCTTGAGTCATGTACCTAGAGACAATTTAGAATATTGGACACCTAATATCATTCGGCTCATCTGGGTAAACCTGAATGTTGTCATACACGTTCAAGTAGCAAGCATTTGGTGGATTTTTTTGCATTAAGTTTTGATTGTTGGTGCATTACGTTTTTCGTCTGTATTTTGTTGCTCAACGTTTTCGTTATTTCTTGCCAAAATATCTGCTGATCCTTGTAGAAATTTGATACTTGTGCTCTAATTTGTTTTGATATAAAGCATGTTTTATATACAGGATTGGAACGAGGCTTCTTGGACTGATAGACCTAAAGAAAATGAATCACAAGTAATAGAACGTCTGTTGGAGATGACAGAACAATCAACGGAAAATGCAGAAAATGGTCAGCCAACAGAAAATGCTGATGTACCAAATATTGTTGATGTAGCAGCTAACGAGGTAGAAATCAATACAGTTCTACATGTAACCAGTTATCATATCTTTTTAAAATTGTATTCATTGTAGAATATACACAATACATTGAACCAATCTAACATCCATTAATGTATCAGGAATTCCCCAAAAATTTTAATTTGTGGAGTGTGAAGAAGTAAGCTCAGTATGTCTGGATGCCCCTACCCCACCTCCTAAACACAACATTCACCTATCCAATGATATGATCTTCTCAAAGAAATAATTCAGAATTCATTTTAATCTTTTATTTTTATTAATTGATATTTTCAGAATGAAATTGCCGAAGCTTCTTCCTCTGATATTTTACAACAAGCTTTAGAAAATAGTGGTCTTCCAAATAAGGCAAATGAGACGTCTGACTCCACTGGTCAACCCATTACAGCTGTTACAACCAATCAGACATCACCATCTGAATCTCAAGCTGTACAGAGTACTATTACAACTATGACAATTCATGATACAGCAACAGGCATTGTTAAAAGACATCTCATCAGAAAGGTACATATAGTAGATTCATCATACAAAGATTAATGTAGCATTTGTCTTTCTGTAGTCTAGGTTACAGCATCTTCAATAGAAGACTTTATCTCACTTTTAACTCCATAATCTTATCAAGGCCTTCACAGAATACTCTACATTTTTCGTCACTAATTTCAGTTGGTCTAGTACCCAGCTCTAGACCTCTCGCAAATACCAAGCCTGGTGTGTTCCAACTGAAATGTCTGTCTGTGATAATTAAGTTTCAAAGTTCAAGGTTCATTCAATGTCAAAGTTGTTGGAACCTTTTCACTTAAACAACCCTCGGCTTTTCCGCTATGATTATGCAATGACCCACTTAAATTTACTTATCTATTCTTCCATTTGCTAGTAAGTTTGCTTTTCTTTTGTTTGTAAATGTATGTATTACCTTATGTGTTTGTATACCGACCTCTGATTGGTCTTCGGTGACAACTTTTCCTTGAATAATTCATGACTATGTTTTTATTTGTGTTTTTATTTTTTCTCAGGTGAATGGTGTGCGATGGCACCAGTGTAATTATTGTTCTAAAGAGTTTAAGAAACCCAGTGATCTTGTTCGTCATATCCGTATTCATACCCATGAAAAGCCATATAAATGTACCCAGTGTTTCCGTAGTTTTGCCGTTAAAAGTACACTGACAGCTCATATCAAAACACATACAGGTGTTAAAGATTATCGTTGTGATCAATGTCGCAAATTGTTCTCAACACAAGGCAGTCTTAAAGTACATCTGCGATTACACACTGGTATGTTTTTTGTTACTTAAGATACAATTCTACTAGAATTTATAGTATTTAAATATTTATCACAATCAGTTTAAAATACAGATCTATATTTCGTTTGGTTTTTTTTTACATTTTTGATGACCTTCACTACATTAAGATTTTTGTCAAGTAAAACAAAATTTTGAAATAGGATCTGTGTTTTAATCAAAGTGTAATTAACACAATTTATTCTTGTATGTGAAATGAATAAAGATGTCTACTAATTGAATGCTGATTTGATATATCAAATTGGATTCAATTTATTATTCAATTGTTCATTTCTAGGAGCCAAACCATTCAATTGTCCTCAGTGTGATAAAAAGTTCCGTACGTCTGCTCACAGGAAGTCACATGTTCAGTGTCACTTTAAAGATGGATGTGATCCCCGTTTGATGGATAGACGACCTCGACGATCAGTGAGACGACCAGCAAGACTATCAGATCAAACTAATCTACCCGATATAGCCTTACAAGAACCTATTTTAATTACTGATACAGGTTAGTGATAACTTCATTTAAAGATATAATTTTAATAGTGGTGAACTGTTTCAATAACTGATACAGGTCAGTGTAAAAATAATTTGCGAATGTCAATTTAAAGATGCATTCCCATGATAGTATTTATAGGGTACCTATTTCCAATAAAAGTATGGCAAATTTAGTATATATAGAGACACTCAATCTTAAAGGAAAAATACTGGATTCCCTGAAAAACACTCATATGCTGCCCACGTGACAAAAATGTAACAGTGTCACTAACTGGCAGTCTGTCTGCTTAAGTGATGTAAGGATCACTTTGTGTGTATTGATCTAATGGTTATCTGTTGTGAGGACATGGTGTACATTCAGCCAAGTGGAAATGATTGTATGCAACCAGTTTAGTTCACATTAAACTATACAAATCAAGTTAAATCACAAGTAACATATTTGAAATCTCCTTTATTTCAGGGTTAATACAACAGCCACCGAGGTCCAATGTTTTTACTCAGTATTTGGGTGAAGCCAGTTCGGCTGATCGACCATATAAATGTCAGTATTGTCAACGTGGTTTTAAAAAATCCAGTCATTTAAAACAGCATGTCAGATCTCATACAGGTACAAAAAGTTTATGTTATACACTTTAATGGATCTGGTTCTCATTGATATACATTGAAAAGAAAAGTATTCAAAGTAGAAAAATATATATTGGATTATTTTGAGATAATTCTGATAATTGATATTTAAACTGCTGAATGACAGATGCAGATATTGATATTAGTAAATGACAGATAAATATATTGATACTAGTAAAAACAACATTTTTCCTCTATAAATATTACTTATGTTATGAGTTTTCACTACACGATAACCTGGGATGGCAAGTTAAATCCCATGTAGTTCATCTCAAATTTCATGAAATAATTACAAGTTTGGAAATGACATAAAGAGTCTGATTGTTATTTGAGAGATTTTTTAATCCCTTGCAAACTTCAATATTGTGAAAGTTGGATCTTTATAAAAGGAATATCTGTCGAAAAATGGAAGGATTCCATTCAATATTTGCAAAGAAATCCCAAATTAAAAATTCATGAATAATATTCATGATCCTCTTCAGATCATATAAATGGAATATAGTCAAAATAATCTCCACTAAAATCTTTTGATGTACCTCTTTAATCAGATTGAATCAAAATCATGAGATTATCTATTGTTGATTTTTTTTTTTTTTTTTTTTTATCTGTTCAAAAATTAATTTGAGTAAATTTTAGCATAGATTATGCCGTGATAAATGAGATATTATCAAAAAAATGCAAATGGCGATCTGCAGCTTTTAAATATAATGTTGATGGAATGTTAAACAACAATTAATTATTTAAGTCTCTCTATATATGGTAAGATTTGTTCTTAAAAGCAAAGTTTTTGAATATAATTTCAGGAGAAAAACCATATCGATGTAATCAGTGTACTAGATCATTTGTATCAAGTGGTGTTTTAAAAGCTCATCTACGTACACACTCAGGTGTTAAAGAATATCGGTGTATTATTTGTGAAACTATGTTTACAACAAATGGCAGTTTAAAAAGACACATGTCTACTCATAGTGAAGTACGACCATTCATGTGTCCATATTGTCAGAAAACTTTTAAAACTTCTGTCAATTGTAAAAAACACATGAAAACTCACAAGTAAGTATTTGTAAGGATAGTTTGCTCAATTTGTTGTAAATATTGCATCTTATGTTTATGTGTTTTTTTTAGACTTTCCCCACCCATTTTCTTATAAAATCTAAACAGATTTGAAATTCCAGTGGGAACCTCTGTTTTTTTCTGAGTAAACAAAAGACATACCCCCCCCCCCCCGAATTACATTGGTGCACATATAAGAAAAGTAGCTAGATACAATGTATATACTGTCTGGACAAATAGAAATAACCATATTAAAACTAGCATATATTAAACATACATTATGCAAGAGCTAAATCGGCTAATTGCCGGTCTTTCTTTAGGCCTGAAATGTTATCTAAATTATTAGACATTAATTAACTTATCCACTCTCGATGGCATCACTAGCCTGCGATATTTACTGGATTATAACCCGGTCTGCAGCTTCTGATCTAATCAAAATATGGATAATCAAGACTCTGTTTAGTACCGACTTTAGTAATGATGAGCGAGGCTAGGCCTAAAATTCAATCGCTAAATACTTGGTTCAGGGTGGATCAATTTGACTGAAATTTTCAGCAAATTCCCTTTACATTATCTAGTTTTAACTATAATAGTGAGAACTACCAGCTCTTTATCTAATCTCCCATAATGTATCTTTAAAAAATGAAAAATTAAACTCCTCATTTCAAAATATTTGTTGCAAAATACATCTATCTATGCCAGAAAGTTTACAAAAGTTGTCCATTTGTTATATTATTTGCTCATCCATCTTTTCTTACAGACATGAGCTAGCTCTACAAGCAATTCAACAAGATCCTTCACAGCAGACACAACAAGATGATGTCACCTTAGCGCCAGACGGAACACAAATAGGGCAATCACAATCTACGACAGATATAACTGTTTTACAACAACAAGATGTTGGTCATACAACAACTATTGGTCAGACAGAACTAAGTCAAGCCAATCTACAAGATGCATTAGCTGGTACAGGATTAGAACATAATTTACAACAAACTCTACATAGTCAGGTAGGATCAGTTTGATTTACATAAAATCATTAATACTTCAGTTGATTTACATATAGTTATTAATACTTCAGTTGATTTACATATAGTTATTAATACTTCAGTTGATTTACATATAGTTATAAATACTTCAGTTGATTTACTTATAGTCATTAATACTTCAGTTGATTAAATTATAGTCATTAATACTTAAAGGAGCTAAATCGCTAACATTTGGGACCTAGAAATTGACACAATTGGGTCACAACGCATATAATACTGTAATATGAATGTATATAAACTGATCTGCATTCAATGGTTTCCGTTTTTACTCTAATTTCAAATCAGTTATGTTCGGCGAAATAAGCCAGCAGTCTCAATCGAATGCAAATTTCTAGGGTCTGGTTATTCTAGTCTACATAGTATTTATTGCGCATGGTCTCCAGATAAGAATGGCGAAGCCGTTTGATTTGGTGCAATGTGTCTAGCCTCGTTCCTCAAGTCTCTTGTTACAACTGGAGCTGAAACGCATTATGGTACACGATTCGTGTACCAATAGTAAAATATTTATTTTGTCTTAAATATTGGATATCAGAAGCCCATCTTTTTCCGGTAAGATCACAGCATCAATGTTGATTTAGATTGACAAATAATTTGTGTTTTCAAAGTTGAAGATTTTGGATGATATTGAGTTAGAGACTTAGCTATTTAAGTCACTAAGTCATTTCTAATAAATGACAACTTGCATAAAATATTTCCAATGACTTTCTTAAATAAAATTAGAAAGTTTAATATTTCTGGAAGCTGTGGATGGCAAAAAGAAAAAGATTCCCAAACAGAGGTTCAATCACAAAATTAAGGCGGTGGATTTGACTATGGTAGTTAGGATCATGGTAAACAAATTTATTTTATTTTCAGATCTGTGGTGCAATGTCTCCCATTATTGAAATATATTTCAGTTTGTTTTATATTCATTTGTTTAGGTGTTTGGTCAACATCAGTCGTATGGTGAAGCTATTTTAAGCAGTACCCAGAACTTTGGACAGCTTGGTACGCAACTACAACAAGTAAATCAACTAGCAGCAAACAACATGTCCCATATGACCAATCAGCAGGACTTGTCTAATCAGGTGACGAATGCAATGACCAATCAAATGACCCAAGATATAACCAATTTGACAAATTTGGAGGTATGTTATGATCCAGATTTTTATTTGAATTGTTAAAGATATAAACAATAATCACATTGGTGATTACAGTAACTGAAAATTTAAAAAAAAAAGGTTTTCCAACGCTGAAATTAAATCACCACTAAATTACATACAACATGGTCCCTTCCCAAAGTCTGATATTGGGGAATCCATGATTTTTTTGTGTTAAAATTGATGAACATCCCTCTCCCCTGTATACCAAAAAACTAAGCAAAATTTGTTTTGATGAGAAGACAAAATTATTAGAAATTTCTATTTAGCAAAATGTGCAACAAATATAATAGTTTGTTCTGTGTACAAAGTTTCATAAAGAATCTTGAACAGCTTATGACACACACTCCAGAATAAAAATTGTAAACCAAAACCTAAGTCAATTTTGTTTCCTCGCTGAAACACAAAAATTATTTAATCCAAGAAATTTTGTTTTGTGCAGGATAGTAAAAGCTTCTGAGTAAAATATGAGCATTATATTCTGAGATATAGTCATATTTTATTATGTAATATTTTTCGGATAAAAATTTCTTTGGTTAAATTTAAATTCTTTCAAACTGATTGTCAATTATTTTTTTTCTCAGAATTCTCAGTATAATAATACAATACAGATCCATCCATTACATTCTAACGAGATGATGACTACATCTACTAGAAACATCTTAATGAACAGGTAAATATATATTTTTGAGGATTTGTATATTTACAAGTAGACCATTGTGTAATTTTATCTACTCCAATAAATTGTGAATGCGATCCTACACTGTTAATTTCATTAAAATTGATTGATAATTACAGTTTGTAGTGGTGCCGAACTAAGTGTGTGGTACCCTGATTTGACCCTAGATTATAAAATATAGATATATTTCTGTGAAAAAGTAACTAAATAATTTAAGCAACAGAATAAAGTGTGATTTTTTTAAAAAAAATTTCTAGTAATGATGAACAGCAAGTAGAGAACCAACAATTAGGAACACAGCAAACTACAACTCAACAAATTGAAAATCAACAGGTTGTATCAGAAGTTGCCAATCCTGAACCCCAACCAGAAGTCTTACCTGCATTATCCTATGAAGATTCTAAGAGAACTTACCAATGTGGTTACTGTGAAAAAGCATTTAAAAAATCCAGTCATTTAAAGCAACATATAAGGTCACACACAGGTAATGTAGCTTAGATTTGTTATGAATTTGTAATTAGTTATCTTTAGGTTTTAGTCAGTTTTTAATAATGTAAAAAATACAGAGATATGGAAATTCCTCATAGTGGTGGTGGAAGAAACCTGGTTATGAGTTGTGGATATTGATGATGTGTGTGTGGTGATGAACTTCATAATAAAAATTATCATGAATTAACATCCAGGACCAAACTAAAGAGGCCTCTAAAAACATTTTATAGATAAATCTTATAAAGCTATATCACCTATCTGAACAAAAATTGGCTAGACCGACAAATTCATCTAGGACAGTGTGTGAAATATCTTTTTTTAATGTCTGCTTCCACTGAAGTGATAACATAGACAAGGAACATTCTCAAGATAAATATATAGCTTCACCAAGCTAAACAAAACTCTACTAGACCTAGGATATAGTGATGGACCACTCCCTCCAGATACATTCTCTAGATAAATCTTATATATATTTACCAGTAGCTACACCAGTCTTATTTAATTTGAATGATATTTTTATATGGATATTTAAAATAATGTGAATTTCTTTTTTAGGAGAGAAGCCTTATCGATGTTTACAATGTGATAGAACGTTTGTATCTTCTGGTGTATTACGAGCTCATGCTAAAACCCACACAGGACATAAAGATTATCGCTGTCCTCTATGTCATGCTCTCTTTACAACAAATGGTTCGCTGACACGTCATATGGTTATACATAACTCCGCCCAGACAGTTACATGTCCATATTGTTCCGAGACTTTCCGCAATATTGTGCTTTGTCGACGTCACATGAAAACAGTTCACAAAGTTCATAAAGATGGTCAAGGTAACAATTGTATTCATGGATGTTAATTTTTTAATGATATCAATTAATAGATTGACTGCTTTATTTATGAATCAATAATGAAAATGTCAGTTTCTGTCTGTTGTTACAAGACTGGCACACTCTTTCATGTGCCCATGAATGACAATCTGTCAATCAAGTTATCAATTTGAATTCAGATGAAGAGGTTTATTTTCAGAATTAATGATTATGATTTTATTTCCAGTAAACAAATTAAATTTAATGAATAGTGTATAGAATTATAAAATTTTTTAATCTCCTTTCATTATGTGACTTATACTGGTCTTTAACAAATTTGCATTCTTAATATAATTGTTTCCACCAATTGTTCCAGTTACAAGTTTTGTTCAAGACATCATATGCTTATATTGATATGTATTATTGTAGATGAGAATCAGATACCATCTCAACAAACACAACAAATACATCAGCCAGTGATACAAGTATCGGAAGAGGTGACAGCAGAATTATCTAAAGTTACTGTAGAAGAATTAACTGTATCAGAAAAAATATTGATGGAATCAGCTGTAGAAAAAGATAGAATTAGTGAAATTAAAGTATGTTATTCTTTTTATATACCGAATCCTTTAATTTTCTTGCTTAATTATTTTGACTGTGTTTGTGTATAATTTGACAGTGTGTAGTTAGAGTGTTTGTGTGTAGTTTGACTGTATTTTGACTAATTGATGACTTCAAATTATCATCTCGATTGGATATTTGACTTATTCATGCTTTAAAAATTTGATTCGTTATTTTACTAGGCCTATTTGATTTCCCACCTGAGACCAATTCCCTTTGTATTTCTATGTTATATAATTTCAGGCTGTAAGTGAACCTGTAGAGAGTGATTCTAAACATCCATATAAATGTAATCATTGTTGTAAAAGTTTTAAAAAACCCAGCGATTTACAACGACATATCCGAACACATACAGGCGAGAAACCGTTTAGTTGTGATATATGTAATAGATCATTTACTGTCAAATCTACACTAGCAAGTCATATAAAAACACATGGAAACAGTAAGTTTTATTTATTTAAAATGGTCATTAACAGAGACTGTGGAAAGACAGCAGTGTGTGAAGTTTGATTTATTGAAATGGGGTTTAAAATCCTACTTTTCTGCACTTACTGGTCTAATGAGACGGGCATACACCATGCAGTGGGCTTTCGTGGATATTTTGTCCAGACAGCTGCACTATGTCAAGGGGTCCAAGTGCACCCTGACATCAACACAGGACCTCTGTTTTTCATACCATTTGAATGAGTAGACACGCACCCTGTCCTGCACCACTGACAAGGGGGAAACCACATCAGAAAATCATGAGGAACTCTTTATCGGCTAACACAGGAATTGAACCAGAGACCTCCTGGTTAGCAAGCCAGGACCTTCTCCACTGAGCCACCGTAACTACCAGCAGTATTGTGAGAAATATCGTTCAGTAATCATCAATATGGTTTCTTTTAAATTCATCGTTTTGGGTGGAAAATGATCTAAATGAAATGAAATGGGGTGGAAGGTGCTACTTTTCTGCAGAATATGGTTAAAAGTATTCCACTGTAAACTTGTGTCTTTAACAAGTTCAGTTGTAATAGACAAGGGTAGGATTGCTTGTCTCACCGTATGTGTTGTACCCAATCTGTTGCAATGCTAAAGAGCTTTGTAATCTATTTATATTATATAAATAAATACCATATGATAACCTACATGTACAGGTCTAACAAACTTCATCTTTATACATATTCATCATTACTTTTGATTTTATTTTTCAGGTGATAAGGTGTTTAAATGTCATGTTTGTGAATCACTGTTTTCAACTAAAGGAAGTTTAAAGGTACACATGAGGTTGCATACCGGAGCTCGTCCCTTTAAATGTAGTCACTGTGATCAACGATTCCGTACTTCAGGTCATCGAAAGAGTCATATTCTAACACACTTCAAAGATGTTACCACACCTAAAAAACGGAAATCCTTCCCTCGATCTCATGATAATAATCAGACTATTCAAATATTAAATCAAGCTGAAGATCCCAACGTAGGAAATCAAGTATTAACATTAGATCCTTCGATGTTATCACAACAAAATATAATGCCTGTATCGCTAGCCGTGGCAGATGGTATGGGTGGATCTCTAGGTGAATCAGCTCTAGCAGCCCATGTATTACAAGGACTGGATGGTATTCAGTTACATTTTACTGGTAGTCTAGGTCAAGGCATACAGATAGCGGGTATGGATCCTAATCTTCTATCACAGACAGTTCAAATAGATGCTAGTCTCTTACAGCAATTACAACAACAGGGCAATATAAACATTACTATAAACCCCAACGTGATTACCCAGCCCCTTCCAACAGCTGCTGATCCTAATCTAGTCCAGAACATGCCAGCACAACAAACTTCCTCTATGTCTGAAGCGGTTAATCCAAATATGCTGATGCAGTCTAATATGGTGATGTCACAGTCTGATATGCAAACGACGGTAACAACAAGTTATGATTCTAGTAATGTTATCAAGGATGATTCAGTTTACTCAACAGCTAATGATGGGGTAATTTTACTTTCACAATTTATTCTATATTTACCTTTACTGTAGATCAAGACATACTGTGATATGTACTTTAGATCATAAGGTCTTTGAATGACTAACATGGTGTGGGTTTAATATCAAGCTGTAGTTGTCATGTAGTAAGATTGCCTTCCCTCCTGGGTTTTATCAATACTCAAAGCACACTGGAGAGAGAGTGGTGTAACAGGTGTTTTAGATAATAAGCTATTTTATTGAGTCAAGTTACATGATTTTCGGGGGGGTTGGATGGCTGAATGGTTAGCATGCGCGCGCTGTATCATAAAGTCTGTCATTGAGTCGACTAGCGTGGTTTCGAATCCCCGGTTGTACGTGACAAGGAGTAGGGTCGCCTGTCCAACCTCGTGGGTTTTCTCTGGGTCCTCCGGTTTCCTCCCACTGCTAAAGACCCCTACGTGCAAGCGAATTATTGAAATAAAATTAAACCATATGTTAGTCCCGAAATGACCTAGTTTGTGTCGAGTGGACATTAACCCCCATTTCTCTCTCTCTCTACATGATTTTGATCCCAAGTTTATAGGTTACAAGGAGTAGGACTAAATGCAAGGGTTTAACCATGTGTTAGTCTGTGACCTAGATTGTGTTAAGGGGAAGATAAACATTTCTCTCTATATCTCACTACCCATAGCTTATTTAAAAATTTTATAGATATGTTATATAGATATTTTAATACAATAAATATTGTAATATGACTTACTATTGTATCCTACAAAACATATAGATATTTTGCATCTTATGGACCTTTAGTATTGCGCTTGCAAGATATTGTTGGAGATAGTATCTAATATTATTCACTTTCCATTATGTCTTGTCCCCAAAAAAAATTATAAGGCTACACAAAAGACTGAGCCAGAACCTTACTTACTGAGCCACTGTGACTGCCATGAAATGAGTAACAATTGTATTAATATTTTCTATATCATTTACAGATAACAGTTAATCATTTGGTACATCAAGAACCGGTTATACCTGAAGAAGATGGACAAATACACATAGGTGGTGATGATGATGATGATGTAGATGAAGATGATGAAGAGGATGATATGGATGAAGTTATCCATAGTCAATCTGATCTAGGATCTCAAGGTGTTAATTTATTGTCTGGTGATGTAGTAACCAGTATAGCTGGTGGTGACTCCGGTGATTTAAGTCACATGACATCGTTACAGAAAGCTTATGATCCAGAGAGACATCATGTCTGTGGCGTGAGTTTTTATTCTGATTGATTTTTCCAAACAAAGTATTAGAACTTTTACTTTAGATATTAAAGTCTCTGAGCATCATTTGAGCAATCCCTTTTAAATTACAATATTACAAAAGTTGAATCTCTAATAAGAATTATCAGTTAAAAAGTGGTTAAATTCCATTCAGTACTTTAAGAGATGTGATGAACGGATAATTCATTGATCTATGCTGCCCCCAATGTAAAGTATACCAGGCCTCCATCTTTATGTTTCATTAAATCAAATTGATGGGCCTATTTTCAATACAAATTTATGGGCCTATTTTGAATTCGATTGAATCCAAGCTGGGAGATTATCTATTTTGAGTTTGTTTTCTTAATTAAATGCTATATAATCAAAGTGTGCTTGAAGTCATGAGAAATGTGATATTTTCCGAATAATGAAAATCACTCACAGTTATTTTAAATATCTTATTTACAGTAGTACATTCCAAAACTTTGTTATTTACTGTCTCACATCAAAACAATAATTAACTGCTTGGTCTAATGCATGCGGTTTAGATCATAAGGTCTGTCACTGAGTCAGATTCCCAGATTGTACGTGACAAGGAGCAGGGTCGCCTGTTTTCTCCAGGTCCTTCAGTTTCCTCCAAATGCCAAAGACCCCAATACGTAAGCAAATTATTGAAATAAAATTGAAACCAGGTTTGTCTCAAAATGGCCTAGTTTGTATTGAGTGGACGTTAAACTCTCTCTCTCTGGTAAAAACATTATTGACATAATTTTACTACAGTTTTCCATAATTAGACGAGTCTTTTGAATGTATCATAATATTATTCAAAATTGAACACATTTATTTTCTTGGTGAGAAACACCAAGATATTGTAAACAATCATAGACACGTCAGTTCAAGTCAATTGATTGGTAGCCAGCAGAATATTGTCTCTTCAATTATTGATTCTTGTCAAACTTATTCTCAAATCTTATTATCTTTCTTTTCAGATTTGTGAAAAGGCTTTTAAAAGAGCTGGTCACCTGAAGGATCATCTAGCTACACATGGTATATCACCTAAACAAACCAAAAATAAACATCATATCTGTGTAACTTGTAATAAATCATTTGAAAAACCCAGTCAGTTAGCTCGACATATTCGTATTCATTCAGGTACGGTTTTAATTCAACACTTTGAATACTGTTGAAAACTAATTAATATGTCCTTCTATGTAGCTTAATGAGTAAGGTGCTGGCTCACTAAGGAGATCTGAGGTTCAATCCTGTTGTTGGCTAAGAAATTGTCCAGCTGGGTTTCCCCTTGTCAGTGGCACAAAAAATAAACTTTGATAGTTAGAATTTGGTAGGGCAAAATTTCCCTCACAGCACAATGCATATCCTTCGACCTATCTGCTGCCTCATGTACAGGTATTCCATAATGATTGGCTTGACACCACCAACATTTACCAAAAAAAAAATCGTATGAAATTCCCAAAGATACAAAGGCTGTTATGAATATCTTGAGCCGTACATTGTGAAAATAGAAGTATGTATATTAATTTGTAATATTTTCTTTTGCAGGTGAAAGACCGTTTGTTTGCCAAATTTGCCAGAAAGCTTTCAATCAGAAAAATGCTCTTCAGATACATTTACGTCGCCATAGTGATGAAAGACCTCATTCTTGTTCTTATTGTGGCAAAACCTTCTTACAGAAGGGTAATCTAAAAACACATATAAAACGTGCACATCATGTTGATATGGTGCAATCTATGAATTTACCACCATCTATTACCGAGGCAACCACATCAATGGCTGCTAATTCTGTATCTGCTGAACCCGGGACAGATGGAATGGATATGGTAGATTTCTTTGAAAGTTCTTCTGCAGCATTATAAATTATTATTATATTTTCTTATGAATAGGGGTACATTTTTTTTTAATCATTTCATACAAAATGCAATATACGTTTATTAATTTGATCATAGCTAATTTATTAATGCAGATACAAATACATTTTAAGAATTGAAATATTTTATAATTGAACTCTAATCAATTTATAACATTTTTATGCATGAGGCATTTAGTACAATGTCTTGGGTGGGGGATCTAGATAGATACTGCTAACAAGAAAAGTATTATTTATCTTGACTGGCTAATTAAGGTTAAAGATGCATTATTTACAATTTAGTTAAAGAACTAGATGTTCTTGCTATAAGTTCAAAAATAGATAATGAAAATAAAAATATTGAAAATTTCATTCAAAGTAGATTGTTTATTATCGTAGCAACAATACTTTGTTTATTATCGTAGCAACAATACTTGACAACCAAGACTAAGTGTAATAATTTATATTGTATAACATTTGAAGCCAAAAGAAAAACCAGCAAAAGGCAGATTTAGCTCTTACATAATGCATCTTTAAATAATTTTCTCAGATATTGTAAAAGCAACCAAATTTAGATTAAACATGTCCACACTTTTACAGGTCTTGCCCTAGGGTGGGGAATGATGATAGATACCGGTAACAAGAAAAGTATTATTTAGTTTGTCAAAATATTTATGATGGATAATTTATTTATCGTCACTGGCTGATGTTTAATAAAAATCACACCTTAAAAGATAGCAATATGAACTATGAATTACATCTTTTAAGATCATTGCTACAGTTCTATAGATTAAAATCTCAGTAACATCTATCCCGCAACATTAAAAACTAATTAATTTAGTTAAATGTTTTCCGCTAAAGCAAATGAGGTTAATCATTTTCGCTGATTTTAATCAGTTGTAAAAACAACCAAATTATACAAATTTTGAATATGCCTCTACAAATTCTCTTGAATCTAGATCAAATATGTCTATAAAACCACTGAATGTGCAGCCCAATATTTAAAGATCTTGTTCTTACTTATTAATTTCTGTGAAAGAATTATCAGGGATTAATATTGTAGAAGTAATGTTTCTTATTTTGATATTATTTATATTTATTGTTACTATATTGTTATTTTGTAAGGGTAGTTCAATCAATTTACAAAAATGTTTCTGTGACTATAACAGTTGTTACACAGTGTAAATAAATTGTTTTCAATATGGCTATAGATCTTTGAGTTTCTCTGTAACTTAACCCAGCTGCGGAAACGACAGATTAATTAATGAAACAGATTAAGATATAGCTTGATCCTGGGTATAAAACTACAGTTTCAGATAAGTATAGGAATATACACTGGTTAGCCACTACATACTTGATTGTGATTGCTCAATTTATACATTATCAAAAACACACAACACTTTCATTGGGCGATACAGATAATTTATTTTTTCAAGCTTATTGTAGAATATAAAAATAATACTATTTAACAATTAACATTATTTCACTAAATGTAGATTATAAGATAACAATAAGATTAATAACAAACAGAGATATGTGTGGTTTAATCCACGAGAGCAAGACATTAAATAATATATTGATACAGCATGAGGATGTTAGTCCAAGTGTTGTTTCAATATATTCAGCAATGTACACTATCATGCACGGGCAATTCAATGTAATCGTCACACGAGTCCCATATTTCATCTAGTATAAATTATGTAAGTTTGGCTGTTTGCCCGTACCATTATTTGAAATGATCGTACATCAAAGGATGACGTTAATCTGTATTTTAATTGTCAATAATGATCCTAATAATAAATCCTATCCCATGTAATTTCAATAAACATGTTGACTGAAAAAGAAGTATTCATTAGACTGGAGACAACTTGTAAATATATATGGACTTATACACAAAATTTATCCCATTTTCTTCTGGATATAACATTTAAAATCTACACTATTCAATTCAAAGTGATATAATTGTTTTTTTGGTTTGTTTAAAACACACTAAACATCAATCTGTTGTAATATAAATTCTGTATGACTATCTTTACAAGTTGTAGATTTCACTAAACAGCTAATTAATGGAAGAGATTTACCAATAACTTGATTAATATCATAGCCCTGAAATATTAACATAATAAATCATATTAAAATTCATATCTATATAGAAAATAACACAGATGAGTGTAAAATGAGTTCAAACTGGATAAGTGAACATTTTGTGTAATATCTGAAGTTATTTCAATGATTCATTGATGAAGCACAAGTTGTAATTTTTGTCATTGAAATTCAATGATCCATTGATGAAGCACAAGTTGTAATTTTTGTCATTGAAATGAAATGGGGTTTAACAACCTATTTTACTGCATCAGCCTGAACTAATAAAGACAGCACAATTTTGTAGGCTGCATAATAATATAATATTATTGAGAAATATAAACTGCAGATCATTTTCATTTATATTAATTTCTGGTAAGTGAGTCAGGTTATTTACAACATTTGGCAGGTGTCGTGCACATTGGACAGTACACTTATTCTTTCTATGGACACAAGAAACTACTTCATTATTGGGTTGTGTTTTGTCTTTCGTTGATGAACTTTTTGTCTTCAAGTTCAATAACCCCTTCTGATTGATTTCATACACAGGGTTTCCGCGGTCCTTGAAAATCCTTGAATATCCTTAAATTTAAAATTTCATTTTCAAGGTCTTCAATATCCTTGAATTTCGCGGAAATAGGAAAATATTCTTGAATTTCAGTTGAGATCCTTAATTTTGTTTCAAATGTCTTCAATTCCTTTTAAATATGAGATTATAACGATAGTTGGTAATGTTTTGGTTATTTTTAAGATGAAAAATTGTAACTTTAGGCTAAAAAATGTCCTTGAAAATCCTTGAATTTGACTTATATTTATCCTTGAAAAAATGTTTGACAAAGCCGCGGGAACCCTGATACATTATTTGTATAATAGTCCATGAGAGATTTTTAATTTGATGTGCCCTTTAATTATTTTAATCTGTAGTTTTTAATATTGTTGACACTGTCATGTTATCCTGTCGACGATTAAACTTACAACTATTATCATTTACTATATAATATAATTATTGCATTGTATTCTTACCTCATCTGATGTTTCTGATGGTAACAAAGACTTGATTGTTGATTCAAGTAACTGAAAAATATATTAAAATATTTTGTCAATGACCCACACTTCTAACTTGAATAAATGTATAAAATTGTTCACAGTTTATTTTAACTCAACTAACAAGTAACAAACTATTCATTTACTCAATTTAAAATTTAAACAAAAATTCACATCTGAGTAAGGTAGGAGAAATGTCATTTTGAAACTAACAAATAACAAAAAAGCATTTTTATTCCTTTATTTTACTTCGATGATCTATGGCTGTGTACAACCATTTTCAAATCAAGGTAGTACAGATTGTCGACCCTATGATTGTAACACAATGCCTGGATGACCGACCAGTGCTCTTGAGCAGTGGGAGGAAACTTGAGAAAAGCCAACCACAACCTCTTATTCCTTAGTTATACGGCTGATTTCAAATCACAGTAGTAGGCTACATATTGTCAACCCTATTAACACAATGTCTGTATGACCCACCAGTGGTCTTGAGTTACGGGAGGAAACTTGAGAAAAGCCAACTTCCTATTCCTTACTTGTACAACTGATTTCAAATCAAGAGTGTACAAATTGTAGACCCAATGTTTAAAACACAATGTCTGGAAACATTTGTCGAGAAAGCCACTCATTCACATATTACCTTCAGAGATTATTAATACAAACTTACATTTATTTTTACAGAAGTAGAATCAGGGAGATCCTCCATTTTAACAGATACTTCCATTTCTAATCTAATGACCGGTGTTATTACAGACTGTTTACATTTACTACAATATGCTGGACTGAAATAATAGTAATACCTATTATAACATGGCTTTACTTACAAAACCTTCTCTTTTTTACTTCGCCCAAATATTGTAAAACTGGTCCAATTAGGAATACTGATTTAAAGCATGTGAGTTTTTCTAGTATATCTATTGGTTCTTAAAAAAGCCTCAAAATATTGTATCTTTTGATTATTTATGATATTCATATAAAAGGTTAAAAAATCAAAAGGTTGATTAATTTGAATTCAAGTCCTCCAAATGTAAAACAGGTATTTTACATATTTAGGTGATTGATCACCAGTATATCTATTATATTACCTATCATCTGATTGATCACTAGTATATCTGTTATATTACCTATCATCTGATTGATAACTTGTATATCTATTATATTACCTATCATCTGATATAGTTGTAAGTTGATCACTACCACATATATCACACTCTTCCCATGAACAAGCTGAGTCTTCATCAATATCATCTATAATACCTACAATAAACATTTCATCAATAATTTTCTATAGTCTACACATGTTAATAAATCTTAATTATCACTTACATTAACACAAAAGATACAACAGCCAATATAAGCAAGCTTTTTAAAAATAATCTTTTCGAAGACCGGTAGAGAGCTTGGTTTTTAAAACTCTTTTATTTGCCCCATTTTGGCATTCCGAGGAAAAAGTTAAACATGCTTAACAACCTTAAGTGTCTGAACAGTATATTAATGAGCTTTTGTCTCTGGGAAGTAGACTTGTTCTTTATTTCCTTTATGTCTTTGTCAAGTTTTACCTGGCAATGGTTTAAAATTTATTTCCAATTCACATATAATACTGGATGGGTAAAATGGTTATATAATTTATAAGATATCACATTGAAAATACATGTAAACCAAAAATGTGATATATCCTACCTTGAACAGATACTAAAGATTTAAAGGTTGTATCTGATGTTAATCTCGGTAATTTAATATTTAAAGTATTCAGATTAATGTTGTCTGTTATCTCCATAGTAATTCTTGTAAATTCATCAGCTGCTAATTGTCCTGTATAAAAAGACAGCAACCAAATAATATTTCTGTAACAGGCCAATGTGTATTAAACAGGAAGAGCAATGGATGAATTAACATTCCATTAAGTTACATTATGCATTTTTAAAATTGTTTTATTTAATTAGTACAAATGTTTTACCCATAAAGTGTAATTTCATTTGAACAAATCTGGCAACATGACTACCAAATTTCGTTCAAATCCATGGAATAGTTTATGTGGAAAGTCGAAAATGGAAAACTGTTACACCTGCTGGTCCTTTGGAGAGGAATAACAAATGAGCCCTTTGGGTAGATGTCCCGACTGATGGTCTAAAAACTCAACCTAACAAAATGCTATTTTCAGTCCTATGAAATGATATCTTGGTTGATATAAAGGAGGTGAAAGTAGGTAGATCCCCCTTTAAGCTATAGCAGTTATAGTATTTTTGCCTACCGTTTTCTAATCTAAGATCTGTACAGCATACTATAGGACCGGGTGTAGTTGTTATAGGGTAGAGATGATTACTAGGTAATAACTGTATAACTTTATATGGTATATTATTTGATACAATAGACATATCACTTATATACAGTTCTCTTGTCATCTACAAATAAATATATTATATAATATATTAAATGATACAATAGATACGTCACTTATACATAGTTCTCTTGTCATCTACAAATAAATTATTATAACCAGCGGCTGCCAGGCAGGATACGCCCACATTTTCGAGAGATGGATAGAAAACAAGCTAAAACGAAAGTGATTTTTCCTACAATCAAGGGCCATAATTCAGGAAATTACAATTCGATATGCGCAAATATCGAAAGGAATTGAGATCTTTGTGTTATAAACTTACATTTCAAGTTTCAACAAAATCGGATAAAAATTGTGACCTCTATAGGGTCTACAACCTTGATATACCATATTTTTACGCAATTTGAGAACGAGTGGCGTCCATTTTGTCTGTCAGTTTTGGGCCGATTTTCACGAAATTCAAACTCAGTCGTCCTTAGGGTGTAACGGTGATATAATAATATGTTTTTTTAAATCGGATAAACATTATGACCTCTATAGGGTCCACAAGCTAAAAACGTGATTTTTCGTACAATCAGGGGCCATAATTCAGTAAGTTACGGTCCGATATGCGCGAATATCGAAAGGAACCAAGATCTTTGGGTTATAAACTTACATTTCAAGTTTCAACAAAATCGGATAAAAATTCTAACCTCTATAGGGTCCACAACCTTGATATACCATATTTTTACGCTACGAAGGGCGGCCATTTTATCTGTGAGTTTTTGGCCGATTTTCACGAAATTCAATCTCAGTCGTCCTTAGGGTGTAACGGTGATATAATAATATGATTTTTTTAATCGGATAATAATTATGACCTCTATAGGGTCCACAAGCTAAAAACCCATTTTTTTGTACAATCAGGGGCCATAATTCAGTAAGTTATGGTCCGATATGTGCGAATATCGAAAGGAACCAAGATCTTTGGGTTATAAACTTAAATTTCAAGTTTCAACAAAATCGGATAAAAATTCTAACCTCTATAGGGTTCACAACCTTGATATACCATATTTTTATGCTATTTGAGAACGAACGGCGGCCATTTTGTCTGTCAGTTTTGGGCCGATTTTCACGAAATTCGAACTCAACCGTCCTTAGAGTGTAACGGTGATATAATAATACGGTTTTTTAAATCGGATAAAAATTATGACCTCTATAGGGTCCACAAGCCAAAAAACGCGTTTTTACGTACAATCAGGGGCCATAATTCAGGAAGTTACGGTCCGATATGCGCGAATATCGAAAGGAACCGAGATCTTTGGGTTATAAACTTACATTTCAAGTTTCAACAAAATCGGATAAAAATTGTGACCTCTACAGTGTTCACAAGCCAAAAACGTGATTTTTCGTACAATCAGGGACCATAATCCATGAAGTTACGGTCCGATAGATGCCAATATCGAAAGGAACCGAGATCTTAGGGTGATAAACCTATATTTCAAGTTTTATTGAAATCAGATAAAAATTCTGACCTGTAGACTGTTCACAAACAATTGTGGACGGACGGACGGACAGGGGCGACGACAATATACGTCCACATGAAAATGTGGGCGTATAAAAACTCAACCTTCCCTTTTTCAAAATCTTTTTTTAATTTCTTGCCCCCAAACAACAGAGAACTTTTGAGAAAGTACAAATAAAAAATGTTTTAGATGCAATTTTGTTAATTTTTCCTTTCATATAAATTGAAAATGAATCTAGTGGTATTGCATTTTTGGATAAGATCACTTCCGATGTTGATTTCAATATTATTACTGATCTCCCAATTTGGTTTTGCCAACTCTTTGTCGAATTCTAATTTTGTGCAAGTATTAGAGAAAGAATTTGCTTACTAACCTGATTATGACTTGTTATATGTAAAATCTTACAGTAACATGTAAATCTACATATACTTTCACACTGAAATATCATACAATAAATATTATATTAACAAATTAACACCGAATATTGAACAAATTTTTTCAAAAGATTTTAGGCTTATTCCCTTCAGAAATACCCAGTAGTTGGAAAGCCACATTTTTCATTCAGAAAATGAAATTAAATGGGGTTTAAGGTCCTACATTTCTGTATCGACTGGGATAATGAAGACGGGCATATGCAACGCAGAGTGCTATGATGGATATTTTGTCTGGATAGTTGCGTTTCCGTCTGTTCTTCATCGAATTCCAACTGTCAAGGTTTTTTTTACGTGCATACCATCATGTACATGTGAAGACGTCAGGAATTTTGAAGACAAGTCCCCTTATACACCAAGAAAAAGTAGATCTATGTTTTTTTTCAACACGACTACAATTATAACTACAATTATAAATGAAATCTTTTTAAAAATCTCATGCAAATATCTTTCAATGTCCTATTCACCTAAAAGAATTAAACTTTATATGACTCACAATACCAAAAGAAAATTCAGGTAGTGGTGTGACCCCAATGCCCCAAAATATCTATGATAGAAAAGCCATTAGGATTCTACATCTTGCCATTAGCATACAAACCTTTTTAAGATGAGAAAGAGATATTTTTGTTATTTCTGGCAGTTTTGTTAATTGTGTATTTTCTGCTATGTTAAACTCAAAGATATCTTCTTCATGTGTTGATAAAATATAACAAAATCCTGGTGGTTCTGTACCCTCCTGTAAACATAAAGATTTATAATTATTTATTTTGTGAAAATTATCTTCTCCACACATATACTGAACAGAATACCATACTGAAATGAAATGAAATGGGGTTTAGTGTCCTAATTGTAAACTGGAATATGGGGATAACAAGTTATATTTAAGGGCACATATATCTATTCCACACACACCAGATACAAGTAGAAGAAAAAACATGTCATATAAATAAACCACTTTACTGTTTCTCAAAACAACAGTTTCTGATCAAAAGATTTGTAGTAGAGATAATTATCAACAGAAAATGTTTTGTAGTGATAATTATCAATCAGAGAGGATTATAGTGACAATTATCAATAGATTTGTATTGATAATTATCACATAGAAATATAATTTTGATGATCATTATTACAAAGAAAAAGATTTGTATCAATAGAAAAACCCCTGAAATAATAATAGCTATATAGTACATACATTAAACAAAGTTTGTGATTGACTCTCCTGGCTAGTTGCTTGATATGAATGTCCACTCCATGCTACATCAATTACAGAAAATAACTTGGCATCTCTGAAATATAATATACATCCAAATATTAGGATTCTTAAGAAAATTTCATGGTTTAACAATGTTATTCGATAATGACATCTTTTATATGGATTGAGTGTATTAAAACTAAGAATTGTAGAATGGGGTTAAAGAAGTCAAGAAGTTACATTGAGACTAGCACTCATATTTAATGTTAGGAGCACAGCAAATAATGAGAATCAGGGTCTCCATTCATTAAATCTTAATCAAAATATTTTAAGAATTCAGCCGTTTCACTGACAAAAAGCTAACATGTGTACTAGAATTTTAACACTCAACTGATGAAAAGGCAGTATTCTTACAATATTTTAATTCAAGTATTCAGGAATTAAGGCCCCTGGTTTAACAAATACTGAAATAACCAAATACCACAAGTACCATTAATATTAATACAGGTGTAATATACCATCTTTAAATCTCACCTGTCTCTGGTTACTCTTTGTTGTACTTTAAGACCTGTAAACCAGGACAAAGAACCTGCATGTTTGTCCAGATCAGTCAAGTTTCTATCATCTGATAGATATATTACAGCCATAGTTCCACAATCTTCTACCATTAAACTACATCTAATCAAAACAATTAATTGACTGAGTATAAATTTTACATATAACCAAATTATAACACATGACACAATTATATTGAATACAAGACGGGAGAACCCTCGTCAAAACGTCGCTAAATAAACTGTTCAAGTAACTTGTATTCAATGTAATTGTGTCATGTGTTATTCTCATCCAGTTACTAAATGCCACTTAAACAATTTAACCAAATTATATTAATACAGAGCCACGCTATTGTTGCAATACATAACTAAGGCTTAAAATTAAAGAGTCAAAAGTTATATTATTTGGAATATATTTTGATAAATCCCGAAATCAATGTAATCTCCAATTTTTTATTACAATTTTTACATTAATTTCACATTACAACATTTTCAAGTATTGTAGACATGAAAAATGTTAAATTTTAAAAAATCTTCATACAAGCACAGGATCATAAGTGCGAAAAAAATTGTTTACTAGTTTCAGCTTAAGAGTCTTGTGAAGTTAGCATGCATAAACCTTGGTCTACCATCTGCCCAATCCTTACCTAGATTCTTTTAATCGTGTATCATACCAATGAAATACTCTCGATATCTGAGCTATAAATGAAAGGGACTGATCTGTATGGTTTTCAAGACATTGTCGTAAAGTAGGAGATTTTTGATTGGATAATGCTGGTAATTGTGAGGCTGTGACTATGTGTATTGTTTTTTCTGTTGTCGTGGAACATTCCATTGATGAGGTGGGTACAATCTACAAATCAGAACATAAATTTATTTCTTCATTCTTCATAAAATGTGGACAGATTGGAAATAAGTCCATCTGCCTAATCAAGATGCTTTTCTTCAGGGTCAATCAATTCTAACATACATCAAGTTTTCTTGGGAGTTTTCAGGATTACTGCCACTGTCAAAGATCCAAAAAAGTCTTGAAATAACCGAGTTATGATGAATGAACATTAAATTTCATATTTCTCTGACTCTCTGATATTAAAGTTAGCTTTTAATAGTAAAATTAGTAACAAACAGAAAAGGCTATGCTTGAATCTCACCTGTATGTTTTCTGCTGGTTGTTTTTCTATTAAAGTTGTTGAATTATTTGCTGGACATTCTTTACTACTAACTCTATTATCTGAAATAATATACCAGTCCATGAATTTCACAATTAGATAAAAACAACATCTCTGTTATCTTTCCAGAGTTGAGGTAAAAAAGGAGTACATTTCATTCCGAGCTGTTCTTTACATATCGTGCAGTAGTAATGTACAAGTGGTTCTTTGCCACAACAGGATAAGTTTTTATTAGCAAAGAAATACTTCACTAGGGAAAGAATATAACTGTTATTGCAACATTATGATTTTTGCACAAGTTTCATTCTGTGTAGTAAAAGAACTATTTAATTCACGACAGTCATGAACTACTACTGATAGATTTATTAAACATGTGGCCTGACGAACAGTCAATAAAAAATTACAGATTAAAAGGCATATTAATCAAGATACAAAAAACTTCTACTGATATGTTAATTAATCTATGCATGTCAATGAATGGGAATAAAAAATCAAATTAACAATTTCAAATTAGACACATTCAGCCATAATTATTTAAACAATGTTTTTCTATAACAAATTAAACAATAAAGTATGAGAGTCATACCATGTAAACAAGGACAACTCCAGGAAGAATAGGTATTTCTAACAGATTTAAATGGTGATGGCTGTCTGGAATGGTTTGTCTGGGATAAAACTTTAACATAGTTTGTACATAATATAATAGAAGTATTACTTGACACACAGTTTAACTCCTGCCTGTAAAAAATTAATCATTAAAATATTTTGTGAAAAATACTGTCATACTGTGGTATATTCTATATTATAGTAGTCTGAAACCTTATGGTTAAGTTGACAAAAGTTGTCTCCCTTATGTTGTAGTTCTTCTGCCTTTTTGAGTAATAAAAAAAAAGATTGGAATTCTAACATGGAGAATGGTTGTTTTCCTTTTCACCCACATGTAACTGTGTAACACCCCTGGATCCAAGGATTTCTAACATAAATACACACAGATTATTTATTCTATACTTTTAACCTTTTTCGGTGAATTGTTATCTCTGACCAAATACTAAGCAGAAAGGAGACGGTCGATCGTAATCTCAGATTTGACACTTCTATCAATCTGAACATCATGTGTAGACTCATGATGTAACCTTTCTTTTCTTTCCCGCCTAAATTTCCTGTGTTTATTAAATCGGCACCTAAATTTCCTGTGTTTATTCAATCGGCACCTAAATTTCAAGTGTTTATTTAATTGGCACTTTTTGTATGACTGACAATTTAATCTACATGTAAGAAAGTTGATTTATAACTATATCCCTGAAATTAAGCTTTCTTGCAACATGCCCCTAAATGATTTCTGGCTGGATTTTTGCTTTCAGTGCTTTGTATCCCATTTTTATCAGATTTAAAATTTTTGAAAAAACATTGTAGGTCGATAATCCGACATAGATTAAATATTTACCAAGGTGCATGTACTTCTACTTCTGTTCCTTCTTTGATTTTTAAACTTTCCATTAACTGTTTCGTAAATAAAACTTTTCGGCTCTTCGCTTCACCACCCTCTGTATTTGTTAATGTACAATCAGCTAACTGCATGGAATAGAACAACTCAAACTTTACAACACGCAGTCTTAAAACCTTTGTTGTAGCTGAAATAATAAAGTATTGAAATTAAATGAAGAAGCATTCTATTAAAACTATAAAAGTCTATGCCATTTAGAGATTATTGGACTCCAGTCCAAATTTTCATCACTTCATGTTTTTTAAGAACCTGCTTTTGATTTGAGCAACAATCAGGGCAAAAAGCCTGGTTGTTCAAATTATCTCTGCATGTTTACTAAAATTAGAAATATTCATTAAAAAATAATAATTGTATAATAATTGCTAGTTTTTCAAGAAGAAAATATATATTTTTTAAAAAATCTTACTTTGTTGTGTATTTGTTTGTGATTGATGCTGCCAGATTCTTAAACACGACTTTTCTCTTGTCTGAATTCTATATAAACTTTCTGCTAGGCCACCTCTGAATAAAGAACATTAAAACAGTTAAAAGTCTAGTCTCTCATATTCAAACAAGGGGTTTGGGTGACCGAATGATTAATGGGAGCACGTTGCATCTAAGGTCTGTCATTCAGTCAAGTGGCGTGGTTTTGATTCACTGCTTGTACGTGACAAGGAGTAGGGTCGCCTCTCCAACCTCATGAGTTTTCTTCGGGTCCTCCGGTTTCCTCCCACTGCTAAAAACCCTAATGCTCATGCGATTGATTGAATTAAAATTGAACCATATGTTAGTCTCGAAATGACCTAGCTGTGTCTCAAGACCCTGAAGAACTAAAATCAAATTGGTTTGACCGTACACAATCATACCTCAGATATTTTTTACGAGTTTTTTTGGCAGAGTCTGGATCTGGCTGTTCTTCTTGGTAATTCTGTTTCTCGGGTGAAGTTTGCCAGTCCATTAATTTCATCCAGTCACTTCCCTTTAAACCGGATGTCCCAGGAGACGTTGATTGACTAGACGGACAACTACTTATATGAGGTGATACTCTGGCTTCCAATTGGCATGAAAGACGTTTCTGGCAGTTCACATTTCGTGTCTCCACATCCGAATCTGAAGATAAGTTGTCAATATTGTCTTCATCTTTGATTGAAGTCTTTTTTCTCAAGTTATCAAAATCCTGACCTGATTTCCTGTTTAATGTTTTAGTTTGACGTCCAGATTTACCCCACTTTTTATTAGTAATCACTGTCACCTGTCCACCATCTCTTTCTTGCCCATCTTCTCCACTTTCACTTGAATTCCACGATATTTCATCATCATCTTTAATAAAATTAGTTAAATTATTCATATTTTCTACAGAGATTAATATCACTATCATCTTTGTTTATAGATTAGGTATTAATGTGGCATACATGTGTTTGATGATGCCCCCAATAAGACTCCAGTATAGGTTCTCCTTTCTGTTCTACATGTAGCTTATTAAAACACGGATCAACATTCACACCAGCCTGTAGGACTTTAAGGTAGCTTGTACAACAATGTTAATAGCGATAATATCAAATTTCATAGAACTTAATTTTAATCTAATTCTTTCATTGTATGCCCAGGGCCATCACAGTCTCTGGTCTGCTCTCTGCACACCACTGTTAAATAAGCAAATCCATACACATCCCTACAGACTGAATAATAATAATAATAATTGTAACACAAATGACACTTCCTAGATTTATGATGTTGCAAGTGATTGTAAATATGATTTACAAGCCTATGCAGATAATCTAAAGCAGTTTATTACTTATTTTATTGACTTATAATTAATCTTTTACCTATCACTTGTTCCTCTTCATCAGATGAACTTGCAATAGTATATGATGGGACAAATTTAGGTTTCTTAGAACTTTGAGCCTTGGGTTTGTTTTTTGTGGAAGAATCAAAAGCTAATCCTGAGAAACCCTCACAGCTACGGCTCCAATCAAAACTTGTATTGCCCAAATCTTTCACAGGTTGTTTTGATTCAGGTTTCTTAGCCGATGTTGTCACAGAATCTTTATTCCAACCAACTTGCAGGGAATCAAAATCATAACAATCTTCTAACTAAAAAAACATGTTATAACAATTGTTATAATACTGGCCATATAAACTAATAAAATGGTAATCCACACATCAAATCTAGAACCACTGTATGTACCGGTATTTAACAGAAGACTTTAAACAAGTCTACAGGACTCGCAAAAACATCCAGTTCTTGCCTTTGAAGTTTGAAACAATACATTGTGAATGCTGTTAGAGTGTTTATTTTTTATATCGACACTGAGAAGATACGATAGAATTCAAAAAGGTCCCCAACAGACCCCTAAGATTGGTGTTGTTAATTTTTAACTTTTTTTTTAAAAAGATAGGCCTACTGCAACATTAACCCAAATGCTTGTTTGTTGCAGGTGAAATATTGGTCAAGTACATGTAAGAGCTGGCCAAATGTTGGTCAAGCCCAGGGTTCTTTTATATCCATGCCAACCTGTACACAACATTTGATTGTTTCTACGTCCCATTTGAACGACTTGACACTGTACGTCATTTTCCAGACCCTCCACCCTGCATCACTGACAAAGGGAAGCAATTTTACATAAGCAGCAATGCTTGTTATTGTATCCATATAGTACCAGTGGTATGTAAATATTGTTTAAAGTAAACCAAATAATCTAGAAGAAAAGAATCAGATATTTCTGTTGACTGATCATAGTGTTCGTCAATGTTTAGATGATAATGTCCTGATCATGAGAAATGCTAGGAGGCGAGACTTGCACGGGAAGCCATACCAATAATTTCAAAATGTCAACTAAACAATGTCAACACAGAAAAAATTGAATCTGTATCTCAGTCTCAGAGTCTGGCAGACTAGAACTTAGAATTGTAATGTTTGTTGTTTTGATGTTTTGCAATATTGCTGTAGGCTACTCCTCACATTCTTACCTTTCGTTTACTTCTTCTAGAACTCTTCATTTCCCTAATAATTTAAGGAGTTATTCAGTTTATGACTATTCTGGTATAAATTTCAATTTATGAAATGTCAAAAACATAAATAAACTTTCACTTTCAGCTTTTCCCGCCAATTCTACCTCACAAATTAAAGAGTGGGTACATAACCAAGGGAAGAAACTCCTTCTTTTAGATGGTGTCGAACCACAGATTTTTTCTCAATTGGCTTCATTATTTGTGAAATTAATTCAATTTCTTTTTACCAATAATACTGAAAAAACTCTATGATGGGGTTGTCAACCCGGTTGACAGACTCAGTGTTTTAATACCGGGTACATTAATAAGTCTGCAGTATCATTTTGATGTATGATTTACCCCTACAATAAATTTTAATTAAGAGCAGAGTGAAAGGCCTTTTTAACAAAAGTGTCTTATTCTAATCTGCAATGTTTATAGAAGACATGAAGAATACACGATCTGTATGTAGTGAGCATTAACCCTATTTAAGGACCACATACTAGTTCAGTGACTCAACGGAAAATAATCCCCACTTAACCAATCACTGGCGATAGGCTGCAAACGGAAAGATTTCAAAATCATATTCTAATATACTGGAGCAAGAGATAGTTAAATTATGTGACTTTCGCAGTCCACACTTCTTCTTTCTTTGATGTCTAGGAGAATGAAATAGAAGTATTCAGACTTCTTTGGTTCATTACAAATTCTAACTTCATGTAGGTCTACTTATGGTTTGTAACTAATTTAACTGGATAGGCAATAGAAGATGCTACTAACAGAATATGCCCCTATTTGCAATTCTGTCACATGTTTGGGACTTAATAGATGACAACAGTCTTTTAATCATCTCAACATACATATTTTATTATAAATATATAAACAAATACAAAGCTAATACATACATCATGAAGTGAATATGTAACTAATGTAATACAAATATATACAGGATGACAATGGACCAGGATACCATATTGGTATATAAATACTTATAATTTACAATAATATATCAATAAACAAGTCACTTAAATAAATATACAACCAATGACATTGATAGGTAAATAAATTTATAATTTAATGATGTTAATTATACAATTATTCCCTATATTATTGATAAACAATTTTGACTTTACCTTATGTTAGAAAAATTAATACATTTAGGTGTTTTAGGAATTTGAATAAAAACTTTGGTTCAATATTTAAGAATTCTTGTTTCAGTGTAAATTTGACAAATTCATTGCTTATGATTGCTTTTGCAAGCGATTTTGCATTATAAGAGTAGATTATTTATTGGAGAGTCATCAAGAAAATGTTCAGTCAGTGTCTGGAACCCCTCTTGCTTGTACAGAGCATTTTCTTTTCTCCTACATTCATCTAAACAAGGTCCAACAAATGTGTGAAGCATACTGCTGTTTTGACCTCACTCCACTTCACTCTAATCCTGTATGAACCTAAATGAGCAGAAATAATATCTCAGAGCTTCTGATTTTATAAAATTCTTGAGTCCAGACATCCCTGCTCAAATTCCTGAAAACACCAATGACTGATTAAAACACAGATCCTATTTTGTTTGGTTTTCTATAGTTCAAATTTTCGTTTCACTTCTCTTTACTACACTAGGATCTTAAAAAAAGTTGTTATTTCACCTTCATTCTGGTTGATGTGGGGGATTAGCCAATACACGGTCTGTTGCAGCGAGTTCCTGGCACACGGAACTGTGGGTATCCCACTAGATACATCAACGCTGATTGATTAATCAAATGTCTGATGCCATAGGGTCAAAAGCTGCTCGTATGACCCCTGACTCGACCTTCCACTATAACCGGTCAGATCTTTATGTAGTGGATGGAGGCCATTGAAAGTATAAAAAAATGAAGCGAAATATAGATCTGTATTTTAATCAGATTGATGACTTTATATGATAGCACAATCTTTCTATTTGATGTAATGTGATTATACAGTGGAGAGTCATCATAGCAGTGTTTCTATTTGACATGACTTAACCTTGACATCAGAATGTTGAAATTATGCTGCATGTGAAATCAGAAGATAAATCAATGTTTCAACAGCCATTCCTTAATTTAACAGCTAATACATTTATTGTTATAATTTTTTCTCTTTAGAATTAAATGTACAGATCTATATAATTATAACAATTATATGATAATACTACTACTGGGGTATTCTATTCGATCAAACTTCCTATAACCCATTTCAATTCTTCTGAATATTGTTCATCAATACTTGACTTCTGTTCTTTATTCATGGCATTATATAACGATTCTTGCAGTTTAGGTAAAATATTAGCATTCTTCATCAAAACTTTAGCCTAGAAAAATATATCAGAAATTATTTAATTTTGCAAATTAATAAAATGAAATATTGGTCATGTTTTTTGGATCATGCATCAACTGCATGTTTGTACAAATATTTACTTGTGAGTCGATTACTTTCTTGGCCCAAAACGGCATTGAACCTTGGACCTCCATGATAGTGAGCCACTGTGGTTTAAAAAAAACCCACCAAAAACCAAAAGGCCACACAATTGTTAGAAGAAATCATTTTCTAGGCTGATCTAAATTGTTAAATTGCAATATTTCATTAAATAACTGATTATGTTACCTTTTGATTATTATAAATAAGAGCCCAAAGAGCAGACGTGCCAACTCGTTGATTTTTTCCACCTCCATTTTCTATTACCTTCAGTATATAGGGGATGAGTTTTTCTGAAATTAACCACAAATTTCTATTTATCATTTTATAAATCTTTTAAATAACAGTAATACTGCATTTATTGGATATACAATAGTATACAACAAATCTAAAATTAATACATTGGTCATGACACTTTGACTAAGAAATATAAAGTTGAATCACCGCAGTTAACTTTATGTTAGTTTTCTATTTATTGTGAAATGTTTTATGTTGTTGTTGTCGAGTTTAAAGTTCGCTTCCACCTAGGCTGATATCACAGACATTAAATCTTCCATAAGCCTTCTAATTTCTATAGCACTGTTTAATTATACTGTATTAACAAATATTTATTTACAAATATTTATGGACCATTAAGTTTCTGTCCATATGATAAAACAGTTGATAATAACACACAGCACAATTATATCGTTACTACAGAAGTGTATTTCTAGCAATGTTTCAGCAAGGGTTGTCTCGTCTTTATCATGTGTTATTCTCATTCCATTACTAAATGACGCTTAAACAATTTATCAGTTGATAATACTTAATAAAATAAAGTCTTACCATTAGCTAATAACTTAGGTTTATTAGATGTATGACAACACAGATTACGTAGAATCAGTAAAGATAGTTCAGAACATTTCTGATTTCCATGTTCAACAAAATCTAACAATAAATCAATAGCACCTGAAATATACACGTTGACAGTCAATCAATATACGCAATGATAAATAATCAATATACACAAAATGATAAATAATCAATGTACATAATGATAAATAATCAATATACACAATGACAAATAATCAATGATAGACAATCAATATACACAAATAACTGTTTTCATTTTCACCCAACCACATTGACTTAACCTTAAGACTGGACAGGTCAAAAATCGTCACGAACTCAAAATGAATAGTTGCGTTCTGTTTGCCAAATATTAAATCAGAACACAGGAAACATGTTGTGACAGTCCCAGTATCAATTGTGGAATAAACACAGTTAAGAACATAGAGTTGAGAACATTTCGATCTTGTGACTGGTAGGAATATGTATAAGATTTCATCTTCAAGTGTCACCTTTCTAGGAATTAACAGAATTGGTTTTGAGAAAATACATGCACTATTTCCCAACGACACAGTAACAAGGAACTAAAGGTTGTGGTCGAACTATGATACAGAAAATGATATAATGTCAAAAGTATATGATATTTGTCAATGAATAAAATCTCACCATTAACTTTAAATATAATTTGTTGTCCGTCTGTAGTAAAAGAGAGATTAACTAATAAATCTAACCATAAGACATCTAAATACTGTTTGTGTTTTGGTTTCTGTTTTTTCGATTTCTGTGGATTAAGCTGAGTAAATTCACTCAACATATTACACTGTAATAATAAAGAAAATGTAAAATAATAACCTGGGGAGACATCAATGGTTTACTGCCAATTTAAAGGTCAATTCAATATGGTAAATCTTAAATTGGGAGAACACAGACATAACTCACAAATCTTCTCCTTTGTATGTTCAGTTGCAGGATTGAACTGCTTATCAGTGAATAAACAGAAAGCAGAAAAATCCAAACTGAAGTGATCTATTGCAATGACCATGCATTAGAATGCAAGTGAGATAGTTAGGCACAAAACTTACACAGTGATGCAGATTTATTACATATTACTCCCCAAGAAATTTTTTTATGCCCATGCCCAAAAGCGTTCGGATATTAATTAATATCTGGGGTTTGGTTTAACCTCAATAAGTTTAGTTTTGGTACAGACGTTCACATCTTTTTAATTAAGGCATACTTTAATTTTAGGAGGACTTAAAAAATAAATAATAAAATATATACATACCTTCCACATAATGTTTCTACCTTCAGCTGACATGACTATATTACATAGTAGACTAAATATAGTTTTAATAATAGTAGACATATCTTTCTCTAATTCTCTATTAGCTAGTTTAATTATACTGTGTACTAAAGAGTTAGATGATAAAGGTGATTTGCCTGGTATAGCAGATGATATTCCAGTAGGACTGGTATATGCTAGTGAACTGGTTGCTATAAAATACAGTATCAAAATAATATATTATCAAAAGAATGAATGAAATGGGGTTTAACATCCTACTTTTCTGCACCAACTGGGCATACACAAGGAGAAAACATGCTAAAGAATCTAGGCCTATTGCTTAGCATAAGGTGTGACCTGATAACTACTGCAGCAAACTAATAGACTGGCTTATCTGAACATCAAATCTGAAGCTAGTTTTTGCTGCAGTGAAAACTGATGTACTATTGGTTAAAAACAATCAATGTTTACCTGTTGAACATTGAGCTGTATATGTAGTAAGCAGATTCAACATGGCTGACATCAAAGTAGGTTCAACTTGACACCATGCCCATAATTTATGACAGACGGAACTTAACCCACTGTGATAACATGCAGTCTGAAATATAACATAACTATTATAAGAAATTCATTAATAAATAATTATATTGTTTAAAACCTCTACTTCCATTCTGTTCATATATAATATTTAGCTATATGCTGTGTATTTGTCTCCATGTTCTCTGTTTTAATACTCAAAAATTTGACACCAGCATTGATTTTTAGTAAACTGAAGATGTGGAGTTTATGATACTTCAGTCAAACCTCATTAGTCTAAACTGTTCGGTCACATTCCTTTGACAAGAGTTGTCCCCCACATAAGGGTCTAAATTGCTTTCAGAACCTTAAAGTTCTTTTGTGAAATATAGAATATTGTAAATAGATTCAGTTTAATTAGTCTACCTTGACATCAGAATTTTGGCACATAAAATTTCTCAGCAGATCATAAGTCATAACCAATTCCTGAATAATTGGATCTTCCTGAAAAGATAATTCATACACATCTTTAATCATTTTATTGCTTTTCAAGGAAAGTAACTTAATATCACCAATTGCTCAGAATTATATTTTATAGACATATTTCTGTCAATCTTAAACTAGTTATTAACAATCAATAATATGTGGTACTATGGTGAAAATATGTACCTTTTTCCGTATAGTGTTTTTGGAAGGTTGTACCGATTCAAAAATCAACTTTGAATGTGACTGTTTTATATTCTCTATGAGAGTCTCGGCTAAGCCATCTGTAACAATAAAATTTAACATTGATAAACAATTTTTTGATTGAATCAAGTAGCTCCATACCACTTTTGATGAGAAAATACTTTCAATATGTCATTCAAGCAAACAATCAAGATATTACTGAATAATAACACTTCATTGTTGATGAGGTCAAAGAAATATGGAATAAAGTTCTTAATAAACTGATGCTCATCTAACACAAATGGTTTATACAAGCTGTCTTAGGTATATTTTAGAGAATAAATTGGTTAATTCTGAAAGGAAAGTTCAATGGTATTTTAGACCTGTGCAAACTATCTGAAGCTTTGTGGTAATTTTTCTAAGAAATACAGCCCGTTAATGACAACAAATTCAGTCTTCCAGAATCAAAAGTCTCTGAGTGACCTTATCAATAAGCTGTCACATTCATCAGGTCACTTATAGTAAACAATAGCTCACAATTTCTTAATTTTGATATATAACCACATTAATAATCCTATTAGCCGTTTCTGATCAGTTTGATATTTTGGGTTCGGACTGGAAGACATTTAAATATCCTTTACATTCTGACATTTATTTGTATATTTAAGGCCATTTATGTCAATGGATACCTTGTGGTACATAATTCCAAGACAGCATATCAATATCTCAAGGAATTATTTTTTTTTTATCTCAGTAACTAAATGAAAATCTTGAGTATCATTACAACTTACCTTCTAATGCTGTTTGTTTAGCTGACTGACAAATCACAAGTAGGGACTTTAATACATTAATAATCAATGTTCTTTCGCCTGATTGGTTGGAATCTTTTGGTTTTGTTGAATTAAGCTCATATGAACCAATCAAAACTTTACATAAACGGGAACCACAGGATTGTAAACTGGTTTCTTTGGTAAATTTTTCTGGAATAGAGAACAACAAAGATGACTGCATATACATTGTGAAAATCTTAATGAATAAATGAAATGGGGGTTTGATGTCCTACCTGCCTACACCAACTGGGCTAATGAAGACAGGCATACACCATATAATGTGCTATGCGAGAAATTTTGCCCGGACACCAATTGAATTCCAACTATCAAGGCTTCTTTTATGTGCACACCAACTTGTACACAGATCCTCAGATTTTCGTCACATCCGAATGATTAGGCACTGTCCTTTCCAGGACCTCCGTCCTGCATCACTGATAAGCGGGAACCACGCCGGAAAATCCTAAAGAACTTTTGCAACCAACCCCGGGATAGAACACGGCTCCCAAATGTCTATCAACCAATATAATAAATGAAATGGTTTGACCATTAACATGAAACCAGTGCCTGTGACTATTGGAAATTTTTATCTTACACAGTATCTACTGGAAGTGAAATTTATTACATAGGTTTATTTGTCAGAAAGGGAATAGAGTTAAAACACGACACGACTAACAGGGATTATATAGACATCATAATCTGGCAACATGTTAAAGGCATTTAACCAAAGACATTAAACGTTTTGCTTTAGTGGGTTCTTCAGGTTAAACTTTAAAGCCTTTTATGATTTGACAATCCGTTTCCTGCAATCTGTGGAATAATGATGTTTATTCTTGAATTTGGGCACATTAGCAAAATATGTCTAGAACAATTGTGACTGGGTTTTTTCGGCATTAACTTTCCATGGTTAATTAGTTTCAATAATTCACTTTCGCACACAGTTCTTTATCAAAGTTGAAAGGAAACAAAAAAAAAACACTACTCCATTTCACGTACAAATCACATACGGTCAAATCTGTTGTGGAAACGGTGATAGATATCAATAAAGACTCCACCCACTGTGAAACCCAATCCAAAATAAGAATAATGAAATTTATGATTGATATTTACTTGATTTAGATGTTTGATCTAGTAGTTCTGTGAGTGTTATTACATCTGATTCAGCTGATCTATAAAATCTTTTCCCCTCTTCACAGAATAAAACAGCCAGGAATGTTAAACATGTTATATATAAATCTTGTGTTTGATTTACATGAACTTGTATTATACCCATACATGAATCTGAAAATAGTTTCATCATATAATATTATCTAATCTAGCTCTTTTCTAAACAAACCCTGATCAGATATGACTTCTACCGATTATAATTTTATAGTCTAATAAATTTCGTAAAATATACTAGATATGATCTTTTGACCCATGTAGAATATGATACTATTAAATCTATATCTTTACTAAAAGAACTATCATACGACTTTTCAACATGTTTTGTTGAAATATTAGGTAAGAATTTTACAACTCATCACCAGTTTCATATATTATAGTGAACAAAACTGATTAATCATCTTGTGTAAAAGTTTTATGCAACTATCTGAAACTGTGTGATAAATTCAAACCAAACTTTCAAATACCTGTTATGGCTGGCCAGAGTTTTGTGAAAACAGAAGTCAGTGAATGAAGAGTTGTAGAACCTTGAATTTGTAGTAGATTGGTGAAGAAAGTAAAAATAGTTCTCCATAATTTACAACAACAAGTATAGATATCTGTACTACCTGTAAATATATAAACTTATAGATTATCACATGTTTAGAATCTGTTCTACTGGTACAAGTTATAAATAACATGTTCTACAAAGTATTTACATAATTATCATTAATAGATTATCATTATACACTACAACATATATATAGAGATAATTATCATTGATAGATTATCATGTTATACACTACAACATATGGAGATAATTATCATTATCACGTGTTATACACTATAAAGTATGGAGAAATTTACCATTCATAGATTATCACACTACAAATTATGGAGATAATTATCATTGATAATAACTATCCAGGTTTTCGCTAAAGTCTGATGAAATTAAAGATTTAAATTGGCTCGAAGGTGGCGCTCTTTTGTGAGTGTGTAACTTATCCTTTATAGCCTTTTCTTGAGAAATTAGGGATTTGAATGGGATCGAAGGTGGTAAGCTTTTGTGTGTGTGTAACATTCTGAATTGACAGTCATGGTAACATATGTCATGTGAGTATAATTGTGACATGATAAAACATGGTGGACATGTATCAGCTGAGGTGACTGGTGTTAATAGTTTCTTGTTTTGGTATCCAAAGCTCCTTTTGGGAAACAATTCCAGAACATCTGATGGAATAGTCCTGTGTGTTCAATATAAATAAGAACATAAGGATGTTGCATGTGTTTCAATGTACACAATGGTGTAGGCTAGAAATAAATACCGTTTGTTGAACTTTGTGTTCAAAATTCATAATGCATAATTGCAAAATTAACATACCTTCACATTCGAGTAATAATAAAGACGCTATGGCTTGTAGTGGTTCTAAACAATTCAATATATCATTTCTGATTGGTGTATCATAAACAATACACACACGGAATAGATCAACTATCCCATCATACATGAGTATTAAATCACGTAAAACTAACTCCGTCTGATTACAGGTGGTACCATTCTGTAAATCTTTACATAATGCTTGAACTATTGATATATCTAACATACTAGAATAAATATAAAAAATATATCTCATGTACATAACATAACTCTGTACATTATTCAGATTTCATTCAAGCTTTACTATTTATGGGGTGACGTGGGGTTGGATGGCCGAATGGTTAGCACGTGCGCGCTGTACCATAAGGTCTGTCATTGAGTCAACTGACGTGGTTTCGATTCCCTGGTTGTACGTGACAAGGAGTAGGGTCGCCTGTCCAACCTTGTGGGTTATCCCCGGGTCCTCCAGTTTCCTCCCACTGCTAAAGACCCCTACGCGCTAGCGAATTATTGATATACAATTGAACCATGTGTTAGTCCCGAAATGCCATAGTTAGTGTCGAGTGGACGTTAAACCCCGTTTCTCTCTCACTCTCTTATGGTGGGACTTTAATGTCCTTGAAGGGGTTGGTGAGTGGAAAAAAGGTTCAGAACCATTGATCTAGTCTATGATTCAAATTAATCAAGATAAGAACAATTCAAGATAAAATGATATTTGACACACATACAAAATTATACAAAAAAAACCATTCATATGACACCAAACTAATGCTTTCAATATTTTCTATTTCCTTTATAATGTTCTGTAATAAAAACTAATGTCTCACCTTAGAAATATCTGTATAAAAGAATCTCTTTTCAAACATTCAAAAGTATCTTTTGGAGCTAATATAACTATATTGCGTAGAAGTTTCGTTACCCCGGTAACCAAACATGGAGTAACAACACTATGTTCAGCTATATAATCACCAGATTCTGGACTTATTGTACTTGTTGTTTCACCTTGACCTGTGGTGTACAATTTAACATTAGGGGCCTTATTCAAGAAAACTTAAACTAAAAGATTTTACGAATGCAGCCTTTCCATTGGATAAGACTAAGAGCTAAAAATTGTGCATTGAACCATCTTTATTCTTAAAATATTTTTTTCATGAATATAAGGCCCAGCTTAATAGTAAAAGAAATTCATAATAACAGTTATGTAACATATTATACAAAAACATTACCAAAGCACAATTTGACAAAACATGAGTATCACAATAAGGCTGGTGTCAGAATTATACTATAAATTATAGTCAAGTCTTACAGATACAAGTAGAGTCAATGGACATCCACAACAGGGTTATAGAAAATCGCCCATCTAGTTATGAGACTGGTTTGAATGTGATATTGAAAAAAAATAATTAATAACTTTATTCAAAATACTGATTTAGTGATCATTGTCTGTGTGCTCAAAGTCTATTTGAGATGCGTAAAATTACTACAAGTGCAGTTGCAGTCAACCGTCATCATATTGTTATCCAATCTGTGTACTCTCATTTATCATGAAGAGTCACACCGCCATTCTTGCCCCCATCATTAATATAGCTACTTGTCCTATCCCTAACTATAATTAATGAACAGAACAAATCAAAAACAAAATATATTTATAATTGTCTTGTGTATTATGTTATTTTAAATCATCAATTTTTAAGGCAAGTATCATATAATTCTTACTTACCATAAGACCTAGTAGATTCAGGACTACTTATTGTTCCAATAGATAAATGCTGAGAACGCTACAGAAGAGAAAGATGACTAATTTTATACATATATAATAAGAACAGGTTAGACTTTCAAAACCAACAGGACCTGATTTAAAACTTAGAAAATTTAGATATAGATATAGATATAATGAAAATACTTACATGACTGAAATGTTGGGATGTAGCAAAAGAAAATGGTGTGAATGTACCAGTTGTACTACCAGCTGAAAACAAATATAGTTCTTGGTTTTAGGATTTACTATATCTATAGGTAGCCACTTTTTACTCACAGATATTTCTAACAAATTGGTTTCATTCTGACCCACTGATTTTGTTTTTCTGGGGTCTCTGACATTTTATGTAACATGTTTTTATTTTCATGGGCAACTTATAAATTTTTATTTTTTTATGAACACTACAAGAAAACATCAATACAACTTAATTACAGGTAAAGAATTCCAATTTGTATAGTGTATTACTTTATAGAGTATTACTTTATAGTGTTACTTTATAGTGTATTATATACTTTATTGTGTATTACTTTATATAAAATGCATTACTATATAGTGCATTACTTTAGAATATTACTTTATAGTGTATTACTTAATAGTGTATTACTTTATAGTGTATTACTTTGTAGTGTATTACTTGATATTGTATTACTTTATACCATATTACTTTATATTGTATTACTTTATAGTGTATTACTTTATACCATATTACTTTATATTGTATTTCTTTATATTGTATTACTTGATATCATATTTCTTTACAGTGTATTACTTTATATTGTATTACTTTATATTATATTACTTTATATTGTATTTCTTTGTAGTGCATTTCTTTATAGTGTATTACTTGATATTGTATTACTTTATATCATATTACTTTATATTGTATTTCTTTATAGTGTATTACTTTATAGTGTATTACTTTATATTGTATTACTTTTATATTGCATTACCATATAGTGCATTACTTGACGGTGTATTAATTGATGGTGTATTATAGTGTATATACCTGAAGAGGAAACTTCTGATTCATTGGTTGGTAACTGTGTTTCCATGTCAACAGATACTGTCTGTACTGAGGCATATGGGTAAAAGTTTGACAATAATACCACCATTTGTTGATAAAATTGACTATGATGTAGTAAAGCTAATAGAGCTGGTAGTCCAACTAATGTCATCTATATTAAACAAAACATATAAATATACTATTCAAAAAAAGTAGGGGATATTTGATTTTGGGGGCATAATACTAAAATATGCAAATGACTACGAAAAAAGTCACTATAGAACCTAACAGAAGAAACATTTCCAGTTACATGTGACGCCCAAACGCACCAATAGCTACCGCATGGAATGCAGGTGATGCTTGGGATCATCATGGGGGTCCAACCCAAGATTTGCACGACTCTGACTTTGAATGTTACAGTCATTGTGGCATTGAATTCCAGGGTGGAAACATCAGTTTAATTGTTTTAGTGACCAGAAAACAAATTTTGATATGCGTCGGCTTACCCAAAATGAAAGGTTACGTGCCCTTGGCATGCTACAGATCGGCACAACACAGGCGGTTGTGGCGCGGACGATGAATGTTTCTCAGTCTGTCATAAGCAGGCTATGGTCCAGATACCGTGATACACAATCTGTACAGGACAGACCACGCTCAGGTCGACCAAGGGCGACAACTCAAGCCCAGGATCGATTTATCCGTACCTTGGCCTTGAGAAATCGTGTCATCACAGCAAATCAGATCAGCGCTCGTCTTCAAACAGACACTGGTGTGAGAGTGAGTGGCCAGACGATTCGGAATCGACTGCATAGGGGTCACCTTCGCGCCCGACGTCCTCGCGTGATCCCTTGTTTGAGAGATCATCACATTCAGGCAAGACGTCGTTGGTGTAGGGATCGTCAACACTGGGATAATCGACGCTGGAGCAATGTGATGTTTTCAGATGAGTCAAGGTTCACTGTTGATTTTTTGGACAGACGTAGGAGGGTGTGGCGTCGTCGAAACGAGCGCTTCCAAGACGTTAACGTCATCAGACATGATCGATTTGGGGGTGGTTCTGTTATGGTGTGGGGAGGCATCACTCTTGCTGGAAGAACGGCTTTACATGTTGTTGCAGGGCGTGTTACAGGCCAGTACTACCGGGACAACATCTTGGCAGTCCATGTTGTGCCGTTCGCACGACGTCATGGCCGCCGTTTCATCTTCCAGGATGACAACGCAAGATGTCACAGGGCCAGGATCGTTACAGGTTACCTCCAACAACAGAACATCACCACATTACCTTGGCCAGCACTGAGTCCCGACCCCTCCCCCATCGAGCATGTCTGGGACATGCTTGGACAGAGGTTACGTCAACGTCAACAACGTCCTGCCAATGTCCAAGAACTTGCTGCTGCGTTGCAACAGGAATGGGACAATCTGGACCAAAATGACCTTAGACATCTCATTAGGAGTATGCCACGTCGGATCAATGCTTGTTTGGCAAACAGAGGAGGATTTACCCGTTACTGACTTGGTTGTGATGCTGTGGTAACTTTGCTGTTTGACCCCGGGTATCATTTTACCCTTATAATGGTCAGTCTGTGCCTTACTTAGTCTAACGATCATTTGGAATAAATCGATGAATGTGAACTTCATTTCATTTTGTCATTTGTTTCTTCGTCAGTTTTATTAGGTGACTTTAATAACACTTAAAAATCAAATATCCCCTACTTTTTTTGAATAGTATATAATGGAATATATCAGCAATGATGCATGATTTGCATTTTGTCAGAAAATAACAAATTTCTCACAGCTTAATCCACGCTAATATGTACTCAGATTAATTATTTAACATTTAATTCAGAAAACAAAAAATATCAATGCTAGATAAATATCCTTGGCTTGGTTTCAATCAGATTTAAAAGAGGCCTATCAATTGGTTCATGGCAAACAAAGATGGCAGTAGCTTGTTACAAAGGGAGCAGCATAGATCTGCAAAAATCTCATCCAGCAAACTGAATATTTTGTTAAACTTTTTTATAATAAAGAGGTATTAAATATTTCATGCTGCCTTGTTTTGGACAGTTATTGACCCTAGCACGATAATTACTTCTTAAAATATCAATGTGAAATATCATCACTGTCAACTACTATTGGATAGAGGACTATCATACATTGTTATTAATTAAACAAGTATAACACATTACCTGAAATTCTTCATCAGTAACAACAGGTCCTTGCCACATTGTTTGTCCTCCTTCTAAATTACCACTAGGCATTGTCTGTGATGTTAGGTTAATTAATAGCATGGCAGCCTAACATAAAAGTCAGAGGAAATATAGAGATGGTAAATAAAAATACTATAGAAGAAGAGGAAATACAGAGATGGGAAATAAAAATCAATGCTGAATTTATATAATATACATTTTTTATGAAACAATAAATTGTTAAAGAATAATGCTACTTGTGCTAGTACAAAATCTGAACTAATAACTTACCTGTTGGCGAACAATACTACATTCTGATTGGTTCAATAAAATAGTGAAAGCAGCTCCCCAGATACCCCCTGGTATATGTTTACAATTTGATGTCATCATAATGCGACCCGCTTCTGTTGACGTCAGTGACATGGCTATACCCAATCCTGCCGCTCTCACCTAAACAAACAAAAAATATATAACAATAAATATTATCTCCAGCTTTTGGTTCATTGTGGATAAATCGCTTGTTAAGCATGTAGCCCTGTCAGCAACAAAAGATGAGATATACTTGGCGAACAGAAGTGATGTGTCTGTTTTAAATCTGATTAATCCAAGTCTGGAGGTTATAGTTCCTCCACAATCCATTGTTTTTATAGATAAGCAACATCTTGATTGTTACATTTTTCAAGTAGGTATGTGTGTGGTATGAGGTTGTGTGTGAGGAGTGTGTGTGAATGCAAATAAGTATGTACATGAAACATTTTTTTTTATTTTTGGGCAATTCAAGTTTTACACAAATTTCAATAGCCTAAAGTAAGCTATCCAAAGGAGTACATGTTAATTTTACAAATTTATTGTCGATGCCAACATATTTTAGATATAGGAATTGCTACAACTGATTTAAATCAAATTCAAATTTCCTAATAATATAGTTTAAAGAAATGTGAAAGACATAAATGAAGATTATAAAAGTTGTCTAACCTCTGGATCCCGATATGCCCATAATGTCAACATCCAATTTAACCCTGGTTCACCTACAGCATCTGCACCTTGACGTGAATATAACCAATTCTTCTGCCAATCCTATTTCATTAAAACTAATATTATTAAACGTAACAAAAGACTAGAAGATAGAACAGAATAAAAACAATGTATGGAAAAAATGGTCTTGAATTTGAACATTTTCCCTCTGAATTTACAAAATATAGAAATTAAATAAACCAATAAATTTGAATTAATTTTACAAAACAAGAACCTTAAGTTGACTTACATCTTTTTCAGATATTTTAGGCATCTCAAAGGCTAGGTGACGAAGACAAAGAGTTGCTGCTTTAGTAACTCCCTTTCCCATGTAAGACATGAGGGTTCCTCCTCGACCAATATGGAAAGCCGATACCACCTAGATAAGCATAATTAACAGGCTGTTACATTCTAATGCATTATATTAATCAATTATACACAAGTAACATATATTCTATATCATGAAATGAAATGGGGTTTAACGTCCTACTGTTCTGCTCCTAAACTGGGCTAATGAGGGCATACGCCATACAGTGTGCTATGAGGGAAATTTTGCCCGGGCAGCGGCGCTACAGCCTACTCTTATATCAAATTCCAACTGCCAAGGGATCTTTTACGTGCACGCCAATATGTACACGGGACCTCAGTTTTTCGTCCCATCTGAACGACTAGACAGCTGTCCTCGCCAGGCCCTCCGTCCTGCATTACTGACAAGGGGAAACCACGCCAGAAAATCTGGATGAACTTTCTCGGCCAATGCAGCGATTGAACACACGACCTCCAGGCTAGTGAGCCAGCGTCTTACCCACTTAGCCACGTGATCCTACCTACCTCTAAAAGACAGTTTAATACTTGAGCTGTTAGATTATGTGGATCTAAACTTGAACATTCTTCACTCCAGCCTGGTCTAAAATATACAAACATGTACTTATTGATTACAAAATATCTAAAGCCGCTCATTGCAATTTGAGGGATTTTGAATCCCTAGAAAACTACAATACAGTGAAAATTGAAGATCAGTAAAGAAATGTTTCAATTCCTTTCAGTATTTATAAAGATATAATGAATTGAAAATTGGTTGACATTCAGTACAGCATACTCTGCAGATGATATTAACAAGCCAGCATCACCTATAATAAGTGTTGGGTAAAAGGTTTTGATTGGCCTCCTTCTAATCCGATTGAATCCTAGTGGGGAGATCATCTATCACTGATATTTTGGTTTTCTTTTCCTAATTAAAAGTCAAATAATCAATTAGTATGGATTCAACCATGAAAAATTTTATATTGTGAAAAAAATGTATGATCGTCACCTGCGACTTTAACAAGATAAAGAAACATACTTGCCTTGCTGTGACATGCATAAGAGAAGTTAGTGTTCCTTCTAAAGATGCTAGATTGTAAAAATGAGGTGCATCAGTGACATTGAGTCTTTGAAATAATTCCTTTACTAAATCACCTCGCATCTGATGTAGACTCAATCTGAAATAAATTTACATACAAGTAACATGATTCAGAATCAGAACATGATGTTAATCAACATTCAAAATGGTTATCACAATTACAAGATTTTATAAAATCTTGAGAGAGAGAGAGAGAGAGAGAGAGAGAGAGAGAGAGAGAGAGAGAGTGAAATGGAGTTTAATATCCACTTAGGATAAACTAGGTCATTTTAGGACTAACATACAGTTCAATTCTGTTTCACTAATTTGCTTCCGAGTAGGGGGTCATTAGCAATAGGAGGAAACTGGAGGACCCAGAGAAAACTCATGAGGTTAGGCAGGTGACCTTATTCCTTGTCATGTACAAGTGTGGGATTGAAAACACACTACTTGATGACTCAATGACAGACCTTATGATCTGAAGCTCACACATTAGACAAATCTGCTACAAACCTCCCCATAAAATCTTGAAAAAAATCTACAGGTAGTTAGTAGATTATATTTTATTTCACTTCCCTAAACAATATTCTATTCAAAATCATCTACATTTCATTTTGAATACTAACCTTCTAGTGAGTTGATATGGAAGTTTACTATTAAATACTGAGATGAACCGAAGTAAAGTTTTATCTAATAATCTGAAAACAAAACATCATTCACATACTAGATAAGATATTATTTTCTATTCAATGCAATATTTCATCCATAAACCTAAAAATGAACTGATTTCACAGTTATCTATTGAATTTCTTACATATTACTTCTTTTATTACTTATACTAGATATTCTTTTACTATATTCTTTTATTAATTATTCAATATTCTTTTATTAATTACTTTATATTCTTTTTTTTTATTAATTACTATATTATATTCTTTTATTAATTACTATATAATATTCCTTTTTAATTTTATATTCTTTTATTAATTACTATATATATTCTTTTTTTTTTATTAATTACCATATATTCTTTTATTAATTACTATATATTCTTTTATTAATCACTAGATATTCTTTTATTAATTACTAGATATTCTTTATGGTCATTATTGGTTGTTTCCCTAACGATAGTATTATTAAATCATTTACCGTCTCATTTGCACTACTTGTTCTTCTATATTTGACGAATCACTGGCTGAAGACCTACTCAGTAAACCAATGAGAGGACCTGATGCTTGATATAATCTTTCTCCAATCCATTGTAAAATGTTATCTGGTATATGATTGGTTAGTTTTAATAGAAAGGTGATGAAATCCAAGATTTTAAACAATAATTCTTCATCAGCTGCAGATGATGGGGTCACTTCTAGAAATCTACAACAGAAATGAAGAATATTTTACAACCAGTTAAAAACTTTATTTACATTTAAAAAGCTTAAAAATATTCTAGGTTCCTGGAAGAGAATTTAGAAATGAAAGTGAAAAATATTATTAAAGATTTTTTAATCAAGATTCTAAAATTGAACCAATGCTGTCATCTATAAGTTAAATAATCAATTATCATTTAATATCTATTGAGGTTTTATTAATATACTGACTTGTATTATTCAATATCTATTGATGTATATACACAGGTTTTATAAATATATTGACTATGACCCGGCGCTGCACGGGTTGTTCCTATAACTCCGAAAACCAGAACCGGTAGGCCAATGCCACCTAGCCCATGTTACTTCCCGGTCCGAGCCACCCAAATACACCAAATTTCAGCCTCGGGACAGCCCTAGTGTAGCCGCCAACTCTGAACAGACAGATAGACAAATAACAGTCACAAACATTAGTATAGATAAATATTTTGGTATAAACAAGTTTTATCAATATATTGACTTTCATTATATAATATCTATTAGGGTATACACAGATTTTTTTCAATACACTGACTTTATTTTTTAATATCTAGTGGAGGATACACAGATTTTATCAATAAATCAATACTAAGTTAAATATAAGATTTATAACAAGGGTGTGGCACTAGGCTAATTATTGAACAAAATAAAAAATCTATAATGACAGCTGTTACATTTTTACACTTGACTATTTCTTATTCTTTTTCTTTGACACAAGCCTTCATAGCTCAGTGGCTAGAGCACTGGTCTTGTAAACCAGGGGTCGGGAGTTCGATCCTCCCTGAAGGCTATCTCCTTTTTCACAAATAAATTTAGTTTAAAGAACAGTATTAGATTGGTTCAAACAATTTGCTTTGAATTCACAAGCCTCCATAGCTCAGTGGCTAGAGCACTGGTCTTGTAAACCAGGGGTCGGGAGTTCAATCCTCCCTGGGGGCTTCAGTTAAGTTTTAAAGCCACTGAATGCAAGATGGGATAAATATAGGTAGTTTTCCAGATTATATGCATTGCAAATATCATCAAATTCATCTTGACAAACATCGAGTCCTCACTTTGTTTCTATTGACAAATACAGGGGCTTAAATATTCACACTATTCCTGATGGACCTTTAATTCAAATAAAACTGACAAAAAAAAAAAATCCATTTTTCTTTTTCTTTTCTTTAGTTTTTGACTGTAATAACTATTTTAATATTAAAAACAAAAACAATATACAGAAATGAATGGATAAACTGTCTTACTCTTAAGCATATCTTTGATAAAACTTTAAAAATAGAGTTGTTTTTTAAAGATACACTATGTAAGATTTAGATAAAGAGCTGACCATTGCTACATTAGCTCAAAAATAGATAATGTAAAATGGAAATATTGAAAATTTCATTCAAATTACTTCATTCTGAGCCAAGTTAACGCTGTTTGTAGTTTTGACAAGATGTGTGCATTGTAGTAACCGGGGCTCTGGTATATTCGAGACTTAGTCTTGTTTTCCCATTTTTAAATTAAATCTTTAAATGGAGAACCATTCTAATCTAATTACAATCTTGAGTATCCGATGCCACCGAGAGTCGATTATAGTCTTGTTTTGTTAATAAATGTCTAATTTAGATAATATTTCAGGCTTAAAGAAAGACCTGCAGTAGGCAGATTTAGCTCTTGCATAATGTATGTTTAAGTATTAAATTTGCATATCATATACTTTGTATATATGAATATATGAATATGTTACAATGTACATAAGCATGTTGTATAGATTCTAGATCCATAACACCTGCTGACAGTAAGAACATTACTTCATATTCCTATATCACAAGCCTCCATAGCTCAGTGGCTAGAGCACTGGTCTTGTAAACCAGGGGTCGGGAGTTCAATCCTCCCTGGGGGCTTCGGAGAATTTTGAAAAATGCTTTTCATTACATTTGATTATGGTAAAATTACCTTGTTAAAACTGTCCACCATTCCATCTCATGTAAAATTTCCACAGAAGATGATCCATGACCTATTGTTATATAGGTTAACAGACGGTCCAGTGCCACAATAACAGCTCGGTGAGATGTCCCATTTGATATCGCAAACACACCATTCTGTAGTCGTGATTTAAGACATGATGTTTCTAGTATATAACGATCTACGCTGGTCAGTTTTAGTGTTGATGAAAATCTAAAATAAAGAGTTTTTAATATATAATCCTTATAAGACATATAGAAGTAGATTTCACAAATTAAAGACACTTATCGAAACGTCGCATGTTAATAAATTCAGAAGTAGTATATCCATATGTAAAAAAGTGTATCGAATTACTTCTTGGTTTAAAAATAAAGTCAATAACTTACTCTTGGGAAGCATCTGTCTGTTTTTTGTCAAGTTTAATCAAATCTAAAAGTTGTTCCATTCCATCATTCCAAGACAGATTCCATGAAATTCTTAACATTTCCATAGCCTCACCAGATGTCAATGGGTCAGGGTCAGGTGTAATGGTCACAGCATGAGGACTAATATCATGATGACAAGAAGGTTTAAATGGCAGTTTATATCTAAAATTAAAATAAATAATTTCAATTTAAAGTGAGAAGACAAGTACATAGCTTACAGTTTTTTTTATCTGTGTTTTAAAATGATATAAAATATATTCTTATATGGCCATTGACAACAATAGTATGAACTAACATATATATACGTTAGTCTGTAATATAGAGACAATTATGTACTGCCTGTAAATCAATTTGTTTGTATTCAGCTAAATTTTAATTATATAACACAAGAATACGTATGGTAGTAATGAAAGTAAATTCCTATAAACAGCATGTATAAACCCTGAAATGTGATGTTTCTGAGATGTCATTTAGTAAAGTGATCCTTGACAAAATACAAAAAAAAACCCCGGCCAATCTAAAATAAAACTTATTTGACTAGAATCAATAGTTCGACAATCCAGAATTAACATCAAAGGCATTCTAATCATATTTTTAAAAACAATGAATTGCTCTATTTTTGTGTTTTAAGAGAACAAATTAATATTAGCAGAAATAATTTTAATAATGAAATACCTTTTAGCAACTACAGCAGGCAAGGTGAAGGTTGTTCCTGATTTAGAATTACCGACATCAAACTTTGAAGTCTCATCAAATAATAATAAGGTTAAAATATGGCTGATGTCATAATGGGTTTTATCATCATTCATATACAGAAGAGCAACTAGAAATATATTAAATTGAGTAATCATTTAGATAATAAAGAAACAAAATTATTATGAAAAAGAATAATTATGCAACATTATTGAGACTTAACATTAGTTTGTATCATTATGACTGACAATTTATAATAAAGATGTTTGCAATAACCTGGGTTTTTCTAATACTTTCATTTATTTTCCATAATTATTATCAGAATTTTTTTTAAAATTTGAAATATAATAAATTTGCTTTTATTCATATAAAGTAGTGATGCACATAGTTAAATGAATAAAAAACTACCTCAGAATGGCTCAGAGTAAAGAGGTAAATTAAATTAATATAATACTACCTCAGGGTAAAGAGATAAATTAAATGAATAAAATACTACCACAGAGTAAAAAGGTAAATTAAATGAATACAGTACTACCTCGGAGTAAAGAGGTAAATCAAAAGAATAAAATACTACCTTGGAGTAAAGAGATAAATTAAATGAATAAAATACTACTTCAGAGTAAAGAGTTAAATTGAATGAATAAAATAATACTTTGGAGTAAAGTGTAAATTAAATGAGTATTAAACTACCTCAAAGTAAAGTATAAATCAAATAAAGTATAAAGTATAAATTAAATGAAAATAATAGTACCTCGGAGTAAAGTGTAGTATATCTGTGGATCATGAGCTAGATTATGACGTAGATTATAATCATGATGTAGTATATAACGTAGTATAGAAATACAGGCAGGTAAATAATTAGGTACTCCAGTCTATAAATATGCAAATAACAATCATTATTACATCTTTCACAGCAAACTGAAACTTATAGTAGAAATATGAATTTCATTTGTTCATCTTTTCCCTCATAAAATCCTCTGGAGAGGAGATTTTCTATATCTTGGGGATATACTTGTAAATTGAATTCATGGAATCATATCTTATATTCATAAAAGTAAAAAGAAAACAGTACCACAAATACCTGAGCATCAGTAGTTTTATAAACACCCTTTCTTAATATATCTAATATAACTTCTAAACCACCAGTTTCACGGAATGCTGTATGAAGATTTGTATCTGTAAATCAAACACAGCTTGTTATTATCTAACTGATCCACAAAATGATTTGTTTCGAAAGCCTTGGCATAAGGCACCTGTCACAGACTTTGTACCTTATTGGATGGGCACAAAATATGAAATATGACCGGTGCCTTATATGTCCTGGCTGGTATACGTTGTGTGATAATTTATACTTGACAAAGTCGGTAACAGGTGCCTTATGTCCAGGATTGTTCTTCTATTTTTCTGTTGTTTATTCCATTTTATCTTGGCTTAATGACATTACTTTATATAAGGCTGTTCTATAATGCCCAGGTCGTGATTGGTTGACTCCAGAACAACCTACCAATCAAAATTGAGATACAGAAAATTCTGTGATATCTTAAGAAATATTTACACTATATATATACAGCCATTAGAAATGCTTTCTGATCAAGGTCAAATGTACTATTATACTGTCATAGCCGACGTTTACAGAGTGACAAGTTGAATAACCTATTTATTTATTTATTTATTTATTTATTCTTCAAGTAAAGGTTACAACATGACAATAAATTAATTTATTATAATAAGAACTAGTGTCGCATTGCACGACTGGGAAAGTGACAACAATAAATACAGATATGTATATGAAAATAAGAACTATGTGCTACATTGTAAAGTGTGATGCCAAATGAGACAAGCATAGAGAAATATGATAGGTATGGTGTCATGAAAAGACCTTTACTTAGGATAGCCCATAAAGCCTGATGTATATAACCATAGGCGTACAGGGAAATTTTTGACTGGGGGGGCAATGGTGGTTGGTGCGCAAAAAAATGTAGTTAGCTTCTTAGTATGTTACATAATAATAATAAATTTGCTGTTAAATTGGACACATTCAAGAACACAATATCTTTTTTTATACAACTTTTACAAAATACAATTGTGTGCCCAAATTTTCCCAGCATTTGGTGCCCAAAATGAGGGGGCGGACGCCCCCCCAGCTCGTACGCCTATGTATATAACATCCGTTGCTTATTTTAATGGGGTCCAAAGTTGCCAAGGTCGCGTCAGGTCATCATTGGGAGGCAAAATTTAATAAACATGCAATTTGTATCACAAATAATAAAATATATTTATGTCTGCATGTTATACATCAATTAATTTTATTAATAGTAGATTATCAAGCTTGTAGTATCACAGATTAACATTGTATTAACAATAAATACTTCTTGGCTGCAGCTTTAAAGCTGTGAAGTGAATCTAAAGACTTAATATCATTCGGTAAATCGTTCCAGACACTTATGGCGGTATAATAAAATGATGTGAGCTGATCTCTACCCGAGCATTTTGGAACCGCAAAATTGAATAAACTACCTAAACGAAAATACAGTCTAATTTCAATCACATTGCGCAAAATCTTGCATCAAACTTTTAACAATATATCTATAAATGAAAATGTGGATAAAAAATGTAAACAGTCAAATGTATTTTATGTACAAGAAAACAAAAAAATATCAAAGGTCAAATACAAACCATGTAACATAATAGCTAATTGTTCAGCAGCAGATTTCTTTACTGTAGGATCAACTGATGAACCATTAAATATATCATAGACTTGTTTTAAACTATCCATCTAGAAAAGCAATCAGATTTACTGTTTTGTAAGGGCTATACTATATACTGGAAAACACTGGAAAACAAGTGGAAAACACGAGAAAACTACTGGAAAACACCATGTTATACTGAATACTGGAAAACACTAAATACCAGAAAAAAACCTAAATAGGTAACCCGGAGCCTGGTCCTCTGGAAAACACCGGAAAAACCTAACCCTAACTCTAGTCTTCTGGAAAACACCAGAAAAACCTAACCTAACCCCCCGCACACAGAGAACCGGGCTCCGGGTTACCTATTTAGGGTGTTTTCTGGTGTATTTTCCGGTGTTTTCCGGTATTCAGTATAACATGGTGTTTTCTGGTAGTTTTCCGGTGTTTTCCGGTATATAGTATTGCTGGTTTTGTAATGATCAATCTCTATACCCTTTATTTATAAACAGTATAGATGAGTATTAAATTCTAGCTTGTCATTAATAAATAATCTAACAAGCAGATTTCTGAACATTTTTCCAATAAGCGTAGGATTAGTTACAGATATAAGCTTATAACACTGAATGGCTACATATGCTACAGATTTATATACAAAAACATTCACTAACCTGAAAGACAGAACGACCAATATCCTCTTCCACATTACGTACATTCTTGACAATCAACGTATCACATAAATTATTAACATCCAGATCAGAGAATACTGGTATCTTTTTATCACTTTCTTCTTCATTCGCTAAAAACCATGAAATTCTCTCCAGGACTCTGGTACGTACTCTGAAATTATCAACACAAAGACAAAACAATGGAGAGGATTCTCTCATTTAGACTACAACCATCAGGAAGAATTATTTCAACAATTTCCATTTCTTACAAACAGGCCATACATGAAATACACACTGATGAAGCCCTCCTAAAGAAATTTAGGCATGTATGTCATTATCTGTTCTTATTTAAAGCAACTAATATCAATGTACCCAACAATGAAACTTACTGTAGATCATGAGAAAAGAGAAGTCGAAGACATCCTCGCAATTTATCTTGTAAAGATATTAATTCTGTACTTGATTTAGGATCTAACATTGACCATATCTTCTGACCAAGCTTAGTGGACATATCACAATAAGACTGAAAAATAGACATATTATCTTACTAATACCTCATAAAATCATTTAACACAACACCAGTTTATGAATGCTGTAAAACAAGAAATTATTATACGCAACAAATTAATGTATTATATACAAGCTCTGACTTGTATTTTCAATATGTGATTATTGTTCTGTTTCATAAAGCACAAGTAAGACTTACGAACAAGTGTTTGTAACTTTACACACACTTCATGAAATACGCCCAAGCAAAGAAATAAACAAACTAAATCCAGGATTAATTCATAATGTCAACAATTTGAATACATATCCTAAGGGTAGAATTATATATTTTTTATTGACTTGTATGAAAGGAATAATGATGTTTATAAAGCCTGTATTAATGTTTACCTGTATTACAGGAAATGATCTATATAAAGCCTGTATTAATGTCGGCCACATATCTTCTATCATCAAATATCTACTGTTTAATACATGATGTATTAGTTCAGTACACACCACAGATATCTAAAACCAGTAAAAGTAATCTCATCAAGCATGTTTCAAAACCAGAAAATTTATGAGATAAAGACATGTGAATTACATTTTCATCAATGATGTAACCAAACTTGATTTAAATTAAAATTCATTATTGAAACAATATTTATATTAAGACTACTTTTAAAACAAATTTCAGGACCTTACCTCTTTTTCTGAATCATTTAGACCAAATACAACCAGCTCATACAAGATATCTGAATCTAGAAGAAAACAAGCTTGTAAACAGGAACGTGATCGAGGGTCAGCAGCTTCTTTTACATTCAACACTGCCTAAAATTATAATCAACATTATTATTATACATCTAATATTATCTCTTTCATGTAAAACAAACTTAAACATGCATTATACAAGAGCTAAATCTGCCTATTGCAGGTCTTTTAGGCCTGAAATGTTATCTAAATTATCAATTAGACATCAATTAACTTATCCAGACCATAAACAACTCTTGATGCCATCGCTAGCTTGCGATATTTACTGGATTATGATCCCATTTGCTGCTCAACTTTCATTCATGATTTAATCATGAAATAGATAATCGAGACTACGTTTTTTATCATACCGACTTAATGATGATCAAGACTAGTGGATCAATTTGACTGAAATTTTCAGTAAATTGCCTTTACTTTATCTAGTTTTTAACTATTATAGTGAGAACTGCCAGCTCTTTATCTACTCTCCCATACTGTATCTTTAATTAAAAATGTCAAATAAATAAAAAGAATGATTGAATTTCTAAATTTCCATCTGCCTTCCGTTACTAGTGCCTCAGCCATTTTCCTTAAATGTTTTTCAAAATTCATCTCTTGGAATACTTGACCCATGTATATGATGTAGACTTGGGACAAAACAGAAGATCATATGAAATAAAAAATTATAATAAGAACTAACATTTCTATAGATACCAGATTTGAAAGAGAGTTATTAAGTTTATGAGCTTAAAAACACTTTATTTCTTAGGTTCAAACCATCTGGCTTATGTTTTTTAAGATCCTAATATTTGTATGTAACACTGACATATTATAGAAATATATTAAGTAAGATTACCTGTATGTGATGTAGTATTGCCTTATATGTAAATTGTCGAACATTATTTAATGGATGAGATAAAAATCTTAGTATCAATTTCCTTGCTGAGGATAAAATATTTTTATCTGGTAGTAAACGACTTCCTCTGTAATAAAATAAAACAATAAAATAAAAATAGTCTTATGGGAGATAGACAACTGCCCCATGAAGACAATTGCACCACCATAACTCCAATTTAATTTTAAAACTAAAATATTCTGTGCAATATAAAAGTATATAGAACTGGTAGTTATCAACCACATAATTGTCTATTTTAATAATTTCATGGGATATAGTCGTACTCTCAGACATGTAACTAACATCCTAGCCATATTGCTTTTTTATCTTTTAAAAATCATATCAGAAATTGAATGTAAACTTACACATGATTGGCTACAAATTTGATGAACTCAGTAATCATTGGTAAATACTGGTGATATGGCATGCTGGGTAAGGCATCTGTTGCCATGGTTATAATATCTTCTGGTAAATGACCCTTGAATTAAAGTTCAATGAATTTAGTTTTAAATCTGACACACTTCTATCATGCTTGAAACTTTATCAAAATTATAATAACAATAACAATTTAGGTGTTTTTGTGTTCCAGAGGAGAAAATATGTAAGGCTCAATTTCTTCAATATATGCTCTAGATTTACAGAACTGGATAAGAAAGTATGGGCGTACTATGAACAAGGAACTAAGTGTGACGTCATCACAGCCATCTTGGAATTGTGTTGTAACGAAATATCAAATATCAAAATCTGTCAATCCATGCACAATTGTCAAAGGAACAAGCATGGCAAGTTTCACATTGATTGTACTTAAATTGGCAGAGCTTTACGCTTATGTCGCCCTCAAGAACAACAAGATGAGTAGGGCTGAAGTTCCAGTTCCTCATCCAAAAATAATAAGCAGATACTTTATTCTTACCCCATTTTTAACAGCCTGTGCAAATTGACAGGTTTTCTTCATAGCTTGACAAATTCTAGATGCAGAGTAATATTTGTGATGAGACTGTGTATCTAGTTCTTGTAGATATGGTAATAAAGTAGTTCTAATATAACCATAACTACCAGCAAGACTTTCATCAAATACAACTCTACATATAGAAACAATCAATCGTTCCGGTACAATACTAACACACTGAAAAAAAACAACCAATAGTTTTAAAAGAAATAAAATGAAATTTAACGTCCTACTTTTCTGCACCGACTGGGCCAATGAAGACAAGCATATGCCATGAAGTGTGCCATGAGTGAAATTTTGTCCAAACAGTCAAGGATTCTTTAACATGCGTGCCAATGTGTACATGAGACCTCGTTTTTTGCAACATCAGAGGGACTAGATGTGGTTTCTTGCCAGGCCCTCTATTCTGCACCACTGACAAGGGGGAACCACGTCGGAGAAACAAAGGGGGCAAACCTGAGACCCCACGGTTAGCGAATCAGAACTCAAGAAGGCATTGCAGCTTTCGTATTTGAAAAGAGTACAAAAGACTATAAAGATGTCTACCTTATTCCGTGGTATCAGTATAATTATTTTAACAAAGAGATGACAAACACCGATGTATATCAATCTATGACGAGTAATATCTGCTTCGTTAGATCGAGATTCTTGATGACCGTGAAATTCCAATAATGTAGAAATATTAACCAGACAATCCTGTAGTTTATCCATCTGAAATTAGAGAGAATATATAACTACACATATAATATATAGACAGGTCTATCAGAAAGCAAAATGGACGAATAAAATTTTGGTTCGTGCTTAATGGATCGATAGTTTATATACACATAAAAGCTACATTTTTTTATTTAAATTTTATTTTTAAGACAGTGTTGGACCAGTTGCCATGAGTAAATACTTACAGTATCACGGGTCATTTCACTGCTGTCGGACCAAATATCACCCATAATTTCTGTAAATATAGCGACTACTTGATGTAAGAGATTGAAAATCTTTACAGCCGTTGTTTCATCTTTGGTTTGTAATAATGGCAGTGATTTTAACATGGTATTCAAACAGAATTGTGGGATATATATTTGATGATGTTGTAATGATGAACAATCGTTAAAATCTGTTTCTTCTCTAGATCTTTCACCGTCCAGCACTAAACTTGATGCCCTGAATAAAAGATGGATTATACAAACATAGTTTAGGAAAAGAAATTATATAAATAGAGAGAGCGAGAGAAACAGGGTCTTATATCCACTAGATACTAACATATACAGTGGACTCTGTCACATCCGACATCGTACAGGATCGTTACAATGATTCGGATCACACAGCGTTTCGGAATACCGAGCTTTCTCCAAAACCGGAAATACTGTAACTTCGAAAATCGGAAGTATTTTTATATTGTAGCTTCGAATCACCAGAATGCTATTCCCTTTATAAATGATAAACTTTTCTGTACTTTCAAAATTTTATTATATTAAATAATTAACAATAACAATGCATGCGTACAATATATTCATAAAATCGTTTACATGTAATATCAATGCATGCGTACAATATATTTATAAATATCAATGCATGTACTCGTTTAAAGTAGTTTGCTTAAGATTACCGGAAGCATATCGTAAGGTGGAGTCCTGGGCAACATCTTCTAACAAATGAATTGTTGCGATCATCTTTTCGTCCTTAATCTGTGCGAAGTGTTTAATGTCGTTGAGCATGCGTAGGAATTTTGAATAGGTCAAGTCTGTCGTTAATGTATATGCTTCATCGTCCCCGTCTTCAGTCAGTTGTCCACTCTGTTACGTGTTCATTTATAATCTGTCGTTCTATGTCCAGTTTTTCAAGCCAATCAAAGTAAACGGCACCTGTCATCCAAGCTTTGCGACTGGCCGACCAATTGACTGGCAGGTTGATCTTGTCCACTCCCTTAAAACATCTCGGGTTAACTGCTTTACCGATCAAAGTAATCAACACAGATCGGCTCTTGCGAGTTTTAATCTCACCGATAATTGATTGGTGATTACTTGTTAATTTTTTCTGGCTTCACACCCATTGTGTTTTAATCTCACCGATAATTGGATGCCTCAAACCCACCGTTTGAAGTACGGATTATACGGTGTCGATTCAATGGAAATTATGTGACGGGACGGCTGATTGATTTCGGAATCCGGAACATACAGAATTCGGATTTACCAGCGATTTTTTGGCTGAAGTAATAAGGAAATAAATCGGGACATGAAAATCATACCGGATGTCACAGCAATCCGGAGTGATCAGAGATCGGATGTGACAGAGTCCACTGTAGTTACATTTTAATTTCAATAATTCGCTTGCACTCAGGGGTCTTTAGTTTTGGGAGGAAACCGGAGGACCCAGAGAAAACCCATTAGGTTGGACAGATGACCCTACTCCTTGTCACTTACAAGCGGATAATCAAAACCACCTCACTTGACCCAATGACAGACCTTGTGATCTAACAAGCACACGTTAAACCATTCGATCACCGAACCCACCAATTATATAAATAAAATGTAAAATCAGTAAAAAAAAATATTTGGGTTGATCAGACAATCCTACCTAAAAAACCCACAGACAAAATAGAAATTGTGCTTGAACAAATGTGTCTGACAATTTGATTGATTGGTGGCTAATTTTCGGAAACTTGTGTAATTTACACCAATCCAAGCTTGTGTTCTCTTCATCACAATTTGAAGTAATGGTACTAAACTTCCTAGAACTAAGTCAAGATAATAAAATAATTTTGTACCTGCTAGAAGATGTGTCTCCATCTCTACCATCACCACGATGGCGTGTATCATTCCACCCAAGAACTGATGGTCTAGAATCTGTTGAGTTTCCTGATTGGTTGGATCCTTCTCCAATAGAATATGAAGTTGGTGATGCAGAGGAAAAATCTGGGAAAGAAAACAAAGATCACATAATTTGGGTTGCTCCTCATATGCATAAACATAGATCAAATTTGATAGATCAAATTTGTTAATGTCCTAAAGCGTGGTTTATAAAGAACCATCCCAGACAACACGCCATATTTGGCACAGACACAGCCCATATCTGGCAACATCTGGCAAAATGATTGGGCCGGATATGGCATATCTGAGCCAGACATGGCCCAATCAGAGCCAATCTGGCCCACATTCGCTAACACACGCCCTAAATGTCCTAAAGCGCGGTTTATAAAGAAACATACGTAGGAAAGACGTTGTTGTTTGTATTTTAGAGGAGAGCCGGAACAAGCTCCCCTTAATGAACAAATTGAAAAAATCATTCCCCTAAAAAAGCTCTCCCAGTTTCAATAAGAAGAGTGATTTAGAAATTAAGGAGAGTGATTAGTTGCGTGTATGGGAAATGGTTCTGATGATCAACAACTACATGTAAAGGGGTCATTCCAGGTTTCATATTGAGGTGCACGGCAGGTGCTCGAGAGCGATCGCTCACATTAAAAAAAATGACTGGTGGGATTTTACACCCTATTACATCTCTAAATAAGATTAAATATGGTATTATGTCAAAATTGTTAGAAATATGGCTGCATCGAACCATGAACAGAGAAGGAAATGAAATGAAATGGGGTTAATATTCTACTTTTCTGCACAATTCAGGCTAAGGAAGATAGGCATATGCTATGAATTTCAACTGTCATGGGTTCTTTTACATCACACGGAAACAGAAGTTTCTCTGATAATATTGGAATTGAACCTGAAACTCCTAGCCAGCTCCTTTAGTCCTTACTCACTGAGCCACAGTGGCTTCCTTTCATGAAAACAAATAAAATGAATATAAGAAATACAAATCAGAAAATAACCTTGATTAGGTGTGTATAAAGCTGGATCTTGATAAAAATGAATTCTTGAACGTAAACAGCGAGTAAGATCGGTTAATGTGTCTGCTGACTGCGCTGATAAATCATAATTCTTCTCTTTAGAAGGTAAAAGAAGTGACCATAAACTCTGAAAATAGAAATATACATCTAAATGACAGAAAACAAAGGGAAATAACTAAGCAGCCTATAATCATCTCAGAAAAACAGGTAGCTAATTACAACCTAACAAAATAGAAGTATCAGATTGATGGACTGATAGTGACAGACATATAGGGATGAAGATAATATGCATTAAAATCTAAGACTATAAAACCTACTTTTGTAATTTGAGGTCTCTGTAAGAAGATCTCTGATGGAAAATCTTGGAAGACTACATCACCTAAAAATTCACAAGCACTAACAAGCATTTTAGGGTCTCGACTTTGTAGTGATCTGAAAAACAAACATTCAGAGTAATAAAGAAAGAACTTCTCAAGCTCGATAATTAGGATTAATAGGAAGCCAAATTTTTCAAGTCAATGATGCTTAGTCTGGACAGATGGAAATAACTTCAATTCTAAAATTATTATTTTTTAAGTTTTGTTGTACTAACCTGTTGGTAGATTCTAGAACATGGCGATCTGTAGGGGTCAAAGCTAACCATGGAAAAGCTGTGAGACGGAATCCGAATGGGGGAGCTGGTAAATGAAAGAAAATTTCAACAATATAATTATACAAAAGTTGAATAAATGTGAACAATATATACACAAAAGTTGAATAAATGTGAACAATATATACACAAAAATTGAATAAATGTAAACAATGAATACATGTAAACAACATACAATTATACAAAAATTGAATACATGTAATGAATAAATACATGTAGACAATTTATACAAAAGTTAAATACATATAAAAAAAAAATATAAAAAAGTTGAATACATGTAAAACAGTTTAATCAAATGATACACATGTATGATAAACAAACAGACCATAAATATATATAAACCTGAAAATGATAGAACTTACGATTTGATGTAGTTGATGGTTCTGTTGTTTCAGTAAAATATCTTGGTACTGGATCTTCTAGTATGTCAATCTTATCAGTGTTAACCATGCTAGAACCTTTAAAACAAAACTTGTCATTTTAATACAGTTAAAACCTAATTCTGATGAAATATAAAATTATCTCTCATATCAATCATTAACAGACAACTGAGGTTTATTTCTCAGTCAGTAGATACCGGTATACATGCCAGTAATTCTCGGCATGTTCCATGTTATAAATAACTTCTGATAATGTCACACAAACAAACTAAACTTTCTGACACAGTATACAATCCTAGTGATATCATGAGATGATACCAGAACTGGAGATTGTTTTGTGTTTTGATTGTGGGTAAAGAGAAAGATGTGTCAAATCTCATTAACAAATAAATATGTATGTGCATATATACCGGTCTACAATAAGAACAATACTACTTATTGTCAAGTCAGACAGATTAACTTCAGGACCAGTTTGACTCACTGGTACATGTATCCCGACTCACATATAGAAATATTTGCATTTGAATTTAAAAGTTTTGAAATAAAAGAATAATATATTAACCTTGTGTTGTTGTTGTACTTGTGAGAGTAGAGTGATGACTTTTACAACTATCATCTCCAGATTGATTTGACTGCTGTGTTACTAAAATATATAAAAAAAACAGCAAGATCGTAGAAGAATGTAATCATTTATTTTCGTACTTTCTTCAATTCACAAATTACAAGAACACTAATCAGCAATGAAAACTTATTTTAATTACATTTACTATGTAGGTAAAAAGAAAATCAATTCTTATTTCTGATGTGTTCATTTATCAAGTACGTTGTTACATTAATAATATTAATCTAATTTCTAGATTTTCATATAAAGAATCGAAATCAGAGATTAGATGTGTAATGATATCAAACCTTTTTTGCATAATCGTTACAAAAATCATAAGATTATTGGAATGGTCATTTTCTTTATATTGGAATGACATTTTCTTTATATTGGAATAAATTTATCGGTAAATAGAAGTTTTAATTTAATAAGTTATAAAAAATTAGAAAAAAAGATAGAATGATTAGACTTTCTATTTACTGTTATGTTCTGTAACTGGTCTATGATATATACATTCTGGTGCATGTTGATCTACCGATGCTGTGGGCAATCTAAGTGTGTTTTCTAGTATCTGATCTATGATTGGTTGAAGATTTAGAGCTGCATTAATACGCAGATTGGAAAGAAACTCAACTCCACCTACATCTTGGATTATTTCAGCGGCAGATGTATGCTACATTAATAATAAAATATATTTTAATTTGAGTATAAAATAAATAATAACACACAGAACTGAGTATTCATACTTCTATTACTCTACCATAATAAAATAATCATTCATACCTGTGAAAGAGTCTTAAGAAAGTTTAAGACTTGTTCCTGTTGAGGAGCTTTAGAGAAATTGAACCATTCTAGTAAACGAATAAACAGATGTCGTTCATGAATCAGATCAGCCTCACAAATAAGTTTGTGGTTCAATTTAGATAAAATATTATCTAATGCTCGAACTCGTATCTCTTCTAAGTTATGACCTAGAAATAAAAAGAGGTAGGTTATAGGCTACTTAGGACGGCTATGAATCAATTGTCATTGTTTTTAAATAATAGGAGAAACTAGTTGTTCTAACTGAATTATAAATTGAAACACCAGATCGAATAAAATTAAAACTAATGAATTGTTTTTTCACAAATTAAAGTACCGTAAGAGTCATGTCTGTTGTCGTTGACACAATAAATCTTGAAATCTACTTCTGAGCTTTTTTTTAAACTGAATTAGAAATGGACTTGGGGGAATGGGATGGCCTGTCACAGCGTTAGTTGGTGTGGGTTCGTTCCCACACTTGTACGTAGAAAGGAGTAGGGTTTTCTCCGGGTACTAGCAGTACGACTGACCCCTACATACTAACATAGACTAGTGCATGCAAGTAAATTTATTTATTATTAAAATAAAATTAAATTGTGCCAAGTTCGTCCTGAAATGAATCGACCTAGTGTCCATTGAGTGGACGTTAAAACCCATTTCTCTTTCTCTTTCACTCTAAAGGGATGCTGTGAGCATGCCTCAGTGCGTGGAGTACTAGCGCTGTATAAATGTACATTTTACTATTATCTAAGTTCTAACTAAATTAAAAAAAAAAACATACAAAAACCCGAACATTGTAATTACCAAGTTTCCTGAAAAGACCCTGGAAATCTACATCCTGTCTCAATGTCTTTGTCGCCATTTTCAGATAAGTTCAGGAAATTCACATGGTACTATTATTCTGAATGTCAGTCATCATCCATCACTCTTTGAAATGTCAAACTGCACTTGATGTTGTCCAAACTTGTTTCAAAATATCCGCCATTACTGTTTATGTTCATAAATTGGTCAAAGGGAGATAACCACATTGTAGATTTTCTCTCATCGTTATTAACCAGTTCATTGGTATTGCAGAAATATTACAAACTAGGCCTATTATTTTCAGAAAAATTATTTATTTGATCTATTATACGAAATGTAGTTTTGAATCAAAAATCTAGATCGCTCCTTTCCTATCGTTGTCTCTTCTTATAAAGGCTATTTAAAGAGACAATTAACAGAGATACATTGACGTGGAGCTGCTGTGGCTCAGTGAGTATGACTTTGATCCACTAACCTGGAGGTCCTATGTTCAATCCAGGTGTGGGCCGATAAAGTTCATCTGTATTTTCTGGCGTGGTTCCCCCGTGTCAGTGATGCATGATGGATAGACGAAAAACCGAAGCCCTATGAAAAACATTGGAATCGGATATAAGAGTAGGCCATAGTGCCGCTGTCCAGGTAAAATTTCCATTCATAGCACACTGTATATGGTGTACGCTAGCTACAATTAAATGTATCGTTAAACTGTGTTTAACGCTACAACTGATACAGTCTAAGACTCCTTACACAAGTTCAAATAGGTTCAAACGCACAATTGTCAACACATTTCTATCACAAATAGTGAAGACTGGTCCACTAAAATAGTTTCCGAACAGTTTTTTGTTTTGTGGTAAAGTGTTCTACATTTTCAAAGCGATGTTTCTTATAATGTGAAAGCCGCCATTACACGGGCCAGTTGAAATAAGTTTGGTAAGTTGGGTTTCATATATAATTATGTGGTAAGGCTTCACCTTTATTTCAAAGGGAATTGGTTTATTATATGTTAAAGCTATGAGCAGTACAGTTTTGGGTCAGTTTATGTGTAAATTAAGGGAGCTATAGGCCAGTAACCTTTTTGTAGTCATTTGACTAAAAAACTTGCGCAAAGGAACTCCGTAGGACGAGCCACTACTGTGGCTGGAGTAAGACGGAAGATATCAGTAGTGGAACCATTTCTAGGTGTACGCCTGTCTTCATTAGCCCAGTGAGAGCAGAAGAGTAGGACTATGCTGTTTATCGTACTGACATTAGTAATGATGATCGAGGCTAGACGGAAATTTCAATCGATTAGTTCTCGGTTAATAGTGGATCAATTTGAATGAAATTTTCAGCAAATTGCCTTTACATTATCTATTTTTTTAACTATTATAATGAGAACTGCCAACTTGTTATCGAATCTCCCATAATGTATCTTAAAAATTTTGATCTTTACAAAAGAATTTCACTAAAATCCATCAAATGTGATTAGAAGGATCAAATATTTGATGGATGATAGGTTAAACATTCAGCGAACATTGGTTCATTTACTGAAGTAATAAATCCGAAAAGAATGATCCAGCATTCTTAATTTCAATAAGCTCCATCCATGTTACCAATTAAACAATCAATGCAGGTTTGACATAAAATAATCTCACAAACTCTGAACTGTAGAGCAATTGCAGGGTCAATAAGCCGTTAAATAACTGAATACATGACTATGCATTTGGATTGGGTTCACAAACTTCATGTCTATGAGTATCTGAATAAGCCCAATAAATACAAATCTCAACAATTAGGCATTTTTATGGTTATTTTATAGATTCTAATTCTAGTTTTGCCTTTACAGTTAACTTTGCCATTACAGTTAACCTTATCCAAAAAAATACAAATATGTGCATTAAAGGGAGACAATTCATTGCTGATTTTCAAGCTGCCTTTCATTCTCAAATTAACCATGTTTGGCAAATCATTAGCTATCTAGAAAAATATCTGCTTTTAAAATAATTGTATGGTAGATATGGAATCAAATGCTGAATGACTCAATATAAATCATAATGCTTTGTGAGAACTTGTGCACTAAAGGGAGAAAAGCAATTCTGGAAACTTCAACACTTTCAATATGAGACAAGTTTTCCCTTTTATGATATCCGACATGATGTACTGAATATCTGATATTAAAAAGTGTCAGCAAAAAACCAAAGATGAAAGCTATTATTTCACTTCGATGTCCTTTCCTTGTCTTCATTTAGGAAAAATGACTGGCATCCATGTTTTTCCCTGATTTGAACCTGAAAGTTTATCAAGTCCCCTCACCACGTTACGCTTGATTCAATAAAGGAAAGAGCAAAGGGTATCCCAATCCACTTATCAAAAATCTGTGACTAAGCCGATTATTTATCAGCCCCTTTCAGGGTTTTTTTTTTTATAAGCTTAACAAGTTGTTGTTGCACCAACAAATTATTAGCTAGTATACAAAGATAATTCAAAAAGACAAACAGAATTCCATTTTACAAATACAACAATTTTTTTATTAAGATCTTCTTATTTTCGCCTTTTAAATTTGGAACCTGAAATAGTAAGAACAAACTCATAAATATTCAGAATTTCTAAAACAACTTTATAAACCCTAAACTACAGAACAGCCAATGTCCTGATCCTGGACTCCGCTTGAAAAGAGTGATCCGATGAATTTAACATAAATATTCAATACATATTTATACTGCTGTTTGCAAATACCTGCATATATATTTATCAACCATGTTCAATACCTCCACATCCACTTGATGTGACTAATACGTGGTCCACGATGTAACTAAGTTTGACTACAATAATTGGAGACTTTCTTGACTAATTGCAAAGATATTCAGTACATACATACAAAACACCTTATCCATTATTAAACATACCTTTAAGCTTTTTCTTTCCTTTCGATTTGGACTTTTGCTGAAAATATTTTAAAAATTTAATTTATAAAATAATCAAGCTGATTGCTTTTCACTTACAAGCAATTTATCATATTGGTCAGCACGGCTCCGAACAGTGTCACGGTGAAATCCGGGTGCACAATACCCAAAGAACAAGCTGCAATGGGGTGTAGTAAGTGGACCCAATAATCAGCATTAAACTCAGCACCTGAGCCAGTATAACAACTCATGAAATAAGACTCAGTCTCAATTCCATATCAGTTTTTAAACGGACAGACTCATTAGTCCCCTATTAGATACCAGTAGCAAAGTTTTCCATGTCAGCTCTAAAATCAATGTCAACAAAGTCTTCTGAACAAGTTTTAAAATTCTGTATAGAATTCTATCCTGTATCAGGTTCAAATACTTGAACAGTCAAAATATGACTGGAAATATAAATTGGCAAAATACATTTGAAACTTACAATCCAACTTTTCGATATGTTTTTTTTTTATTACAACCAATTTGGATCAAATGAACCATCTCTTCAATTTTAAAATACAATATAATATGATGAGCTTATAACTACCTTTTTATTAGCTGTTGACATCTTACTTTTCTTGCCTCCTCTCTATAATAAATAATGATAAATTGTTTTTAAATCAAACTTATGGCATGAATTTTTCTCAGGCATAGAAATCATCCACCACTTGAGTGTGAGCCAATGATGTATATTTCAATTTGAATAAACAGATATTCAAACACAATCACACCGTGCACCACACATTTATATGGCTGCAATATTCTTAATGCAAATAACCATTTCCTTACATAAATTTAACAGAAATGTATATATCTGTGGTTACAGATTAATACACAATATATCCATCTAGATCTACTTACACTTTTAAATAAACCATCATCTGCTGTCAACGCAGACATGTCACCAAATTCTGTTAATTTACTTAATGATGTCAGTGTTGCTAGGTTATTTCCCTCTGATGCCTGCAAGACAAATATGGAAACATGATGTGGAAATAATCATTATTAATGATATTATTATATATGTGACATTCAACAAGGGATATGATACTTAATGATAATTATGATAGAGACCTACTAAATGATAGACACCTACCCTTTGTTTTTTACTGCTTGGTAAACGAATAAATCTCTCTTCTTCATATCTTTAAATATAAATAAATAACATCAATATGAAATATCTATAAGACAGTAGTCAATAATTTGAAATTGACTAACTTTTTCTGTGGCATATATGGTTTACAAAATAGAGATTTTAAATGCAAGTTAAATAGCTATGTTCTAAATAAAAGATAAAACTAATAGCACACACATTACTTACAGGATAAAAATGTTCCCAAAGGACTTTGGTTAAAGCTGTGTGAAAAACTTTTCATTTACATTTCTTTTGCCGTATAGCATTTCTAGTGTTAAATTCTATCAACTTGTTAATATATTAATTGTTTAATACTAAGATCAATATCATATTATTGTTTTGAGACTGGGATGACTGTGGGTAATAAAAGTTCCAAAATAGCAAAATTGCACTAGTGTCGCACAGAAACATTGTGTTATGGATCTTTCAGTATTAGTAAGAAGTACAATAAATATGTTTCCACTGTTGAGAAAATTGCTTATTCAACAGGTCCAGTTTGCATAATCATGTACTCCATGTAATTTATCACAATTAAACTAAACTTACTCTGTTCTGTCTCTTTCTGTTTTATTTTCTCGTAATCTGTGAACATCATAAGCTTCCTGAATTATTAAAATAAATCTCTTTAAATATAGTATTCATATAGAATCTTAATTACATACAGGCACATCAGTGGGTACAATTACAACACAAAATAATTCAGAACTGTTTACTAGCTGCTGGATGCAGGATATTAATCTTGACCACAACTGACATGGGAGGAAAGTTCTTCAATAACTTATTAGTCCTCCTTTTACAATAAATGATAGACAGAGTGAAGGAGTTTAATGTTCATTTGACACAAATTAGGTCATTTTGGGACTAACATATGGTTCAATTTTATGAAGCGGTCTTTAGAAGTGGGAGGAAAGCAGAGGACCTCGAGAAAACCCACAAGGTTGGGAAGGTAACCCTTCACCACATAGACTCAATGATAGACCTTATGATCTAAACCACACACATCAGACCACTTGACCACCCAACCCTTGTTACAAATAAAATGAAATAGGGTTTAACGTCCTACTGTTCTGCTCCGAACTGGGCTAACGAAGACGGGTATTAATGATAATGAATTGTAATTACAGGTAATTATAGAAATATAGCTATGTTATGATATTTTAATTAAACTTACCCTAATTTCTTCAGGTGAATCATCATACTGGTGTCTCAACTCTTTTAACATACGACTGCTTAATACTCGTTTAACAGCTCTCTGTTTTATCAACTCTTCTTGTTCTGCTGCTGTTAAATCACCAGCTACAAAAATTCAAGACATTTAATACCGTTAGATTTCTAATTTATTATAATTCATAATTTGCATGTTTGTATTTATACAAGAAGGTATAAGACATTGGTTTTAAAAAGAACTTGATGCTATATCAATTCATTGTGTATTGAGTAATTAAAATGTCCAATAATATAGCGGAAAATTCATAAAAAGTGCTCACAGCGTATTCAACAGAACTTGATGCTATACCAACTAATTGTGTATTTAGTATTAAAATGTCCATTTATTTAGTGCCAAATCTACAAAACATGCTCCTCATAGCGAATGTGAAACTACATATAAAAGAAAAGTTCATTGGTTCTTTAAGATTTTGTTAATTTTTTAAATGAAAGATAAAAAATAAAGATCTCAACAGAACAGAATTTGTTGGGGAATCAATCACTGGTTTTATTATACAATCATATTGTTTCAACAAGTATCCTCTTCAAGATCTGTCAGACATACAGACAAGTATTCCTGTATCAATATTCATATTCTTTATATTATTGCTATTGTGATCATTGATACCAATAATTAAAAGGCCTAGCCTGATTAAAGCCTGTAAATATGTAAAGATCTTACTATAAGCTACAGGAGCAACTTTAGGAGCCACATATTTCTTTGGTTCACCATCTTCATCTTCTTCATCATCATTATCTGCCTAGAAAATAAAACAAGAGAAATGAAACATACATGCCACTTCAGATTCTAGCAGAATCACAGGATTATATATTGAGGTGAACAGTGCATCTTGGAACTATAAACTATCACGATTTATCATTGCAGTTCTTCCGTAAGTAATGTCCACTACAATGAATGTTAAAATACATTTTAACTAAGTAAACACTACAGGTGTAATATGGACCAGGAACCACGCACAATGCCATTGCAGCCACCTTGGAATTGTGATGCCATATCAAAAGATAGGTTGCCAGGCAACGAAACATACGCCCACAGCAGCTATGTCGTCCGGTGAGTCAACAAGGGTTGACGCATATTTTTGTCTTTGTCAGAAATTAAAACATTTACAACAAAATCTCATTACGAGTAACAACCCATTTGACTTCTAGATCTACCCTATTCTAACATTTAGCATGCAGAACATTTAATATCAATGTCCATAATCATTTGAATTGATAGGCTTCTTCGTCTCATGACCGTAAACACTGTAATAAATATAAAGTCAATCAGATATTAACTTTAGCCCCTAAAGCGTCCACAAGATTTTTCAAAGTTATCAAGGGCCATAACTATGGCAGTAATTATCGAAAATCATAAAAAATCAATAGGCTTCTTCATCTTATGACCCAAAACAATCTGGAAATCGTTGAAATCAATAGGCTTCTTCATCTCATGACCGTAACACTGTGTATAAATTTAAAGTCAATCCGATATTAACTTTATCCTCTAGAGCATCCACGAACGGACGGGGGTGCCGACGACAATATACAACCACATTTCAATGTGGGTGTATAAAAATGAAAGTCTGTCCATCGATGCGCAATTGTCTAAGGAACAAGTTCCATGTTGATTTTGCTTGAATTGTTGGAGCCTTAAGCTTTTTCTGAAGAGTGTTGCCATCAAGAAGAAGAAGAACAAGATGAGTAGCACTGTGTGCCCATATCCTGGTCCAAAAAGCCACCCAAGATCTCCTATATAACATACCTCAGCAGCTAAATTTGCTGGATTGGCTCGGAAACGTAATGGATCACTAGCATCTGTAATTAAAGAAAAAAATATTTAAAACTCACAAATGATTGATATGATACCAAAACTTGCAGGAAAGACATACTTTAAACAAAATGGAATACTCTCCCAACTATGCTTCTCAATAAAAGTTTAAAATACAAGTAAATTGAATGTCTCTTGACTCTCCCTGAACCTGCAATGCTATGAAGATTTGTATAGCTGACAATTACAGGAACTGACCTTGAGTTCCAGTTTGTGCAGTCTTGATAAGCTTGTCTATTTGGTACTTCAGGGTTTGATCAATGGGTCTCATTCTTTCTAAAACCTAAATAGAATCAAGTTATATTTAAGGATTATACTGAGTTGGAGAAAGTAAAAAATAAACAGAGGATATCAATTATATAGGAATATGTAAAAATATTGATTATGGTTCATTCAAAATGAAAATGCATAATTATGTACAAAAAAAAAGAATTAAAAATAAAAATATTTTATAACATAAAGATTTATATAAATAAAATATGTAGGTAATGGAAGCATTAATAAGAAACCAAATGGTGATCAAGAGTTTCAACGCATTAAGTAATAATAATAATTTTGGCATGCTTCTTCTTAGCACTAAACAAAACATGTTTATGATAATTATTAGCTGTTAAATTTATTGGAAGTTGCTGAAATTAAATTGACTTTTGTCCCATGAACATAAATTTAATAAACAAATATAAAATCAATCGGAAGATACCTTTAGTAAGAGTAAGACACTGGCTCACTAGTCAGCAGGTCTTGTGTTTGCTCAAGGTGTTGGCCAAGAAAAGTTCCTTGTGACAGCTGTCTAGTCATTCGGATGGGACAGAAAACTGAGGACCTGTGTACATATTGGCGTGCACATAAAAGAACCCTTGACAGTTGGAATTCGATATAAGAGTAGGCCGTAGCGCTGCAGTCCAATCAAAATATCCCGCTGCTCAGCACTCTGCATATACAGCGCCAGCATCAACCGAGCTGTACAGCGACAGACATATAGTTAAAGATACATTATGGGAGATAAGATAAAGAGATGGCAGTTCTCGCTATAATAGTTAAAGATAGGTTGCCAGGCAACAAAACATACACCCACAGCAGCTAAATCGTCCGGGCAGTCAACAAGAGTTGTCGCATATTTTTACTTTTTTCGGTAATGAAACATTTATAATACACTAAAATCTGATCAAGAGCAACAACTCAGAAAACCAATAGAATTTGTTTGGTTTTTATAAAGTTCTGCCCCATGCTAACGTTTTGTATACAAAACTTTTAATACTGTATCATGAATTTAGCTGCTCCAAGTCATAAAAATTCATTGAAAATCATCAATATACTTGTTCGTCTCAAGATCTTAAACTCTGTGTATCAATCTGCAGTTAATCGGATATTAACTTTGGCCTCTAGAGCGTCCACAAGATTTTTCAAAGTGATCAAGGGCCATAACTTTGGCAGTAATTAGGATTCTTCGCCTCGTGACCACAAACACTGTGTATAAATTTAAAGTCAATCAGATATTAACTTTAGCCTTTAGAGCATCCACAAGGTTTTTTGAAGTGATCAAGGGCCATAACTCTGGCAGTAATTATTGAAAATCACTGAAAATGAATAGACTTCTTCGTCTCATGACCTTAGTACTGTGTATAAATTTAAAGTCAATCGGATATTAACTTTAGACTCTAGAGCTTCCACAAGATTTTTCAAAGTGATCAAGGGCCATAACTCTGGCAGTAATTAACGTAAATTGCTGAAAATCAATAGGATTCTTCGTCTCATGACCTTAAGTACTGTGTATAAATTTAAAGTCAATAGGATATTAACTTTGGCCTCTAGAGAGCCCACAAGATTTTTTTGAAGTGATCAAGAGCCATAACTCTGGCAGTAATTATCAGAAATAGCTGAAAATCAAAAGGCTTCTTCGTCTCATGACCTTAAACACTGTGTATAAATTTAAAGTCAATCCGATATTAACTTTCGCCTCTAGAGTGTCCACAAGATTTTTTGAAGTGATCAAGGGCCATAACTCTGGCAGTAATTATCGGAAATCTCTGAAAATCAATAGGCTTCTTCGTCTCATGACCTTAAACACTGTGTATAAATTTAAAGTCAATCGGATATTAACTTTGGCCTCTAGAGCGTCCACAAGATTTTTTAAAGTGATCAAGGGCCATAACTCTGGCAGTAATTATCGGAAATCGCTGAAAATCTATAGGCTTCTTCGTCTCATGACCTTAAACACTGTGTATAAATTTAAAGTCAATCGGATATTAACTTTGGCCTCTAGAGCGTCCACAAGATTTTTTGAAGTGATCAAGGGCCATAACTCTGGCAGTAATTATCGGAATACGCTGAAAATCAATAGGCTTCTTCGTCTCATGACCTTAAACACTGTGTATAAATCTAAAGTCAATCGGATATTAACTTTCGCCTCTAGAGCGTCCACAAGATTTTTTAAAGTGATCAAGGGCCATAACTCTGGCAGTAATTATCGGAAATCGCTGAATATCAATAGGCTTCTTCGTCTCATGACCTTAAACACTGTGTATAAATTTAAAGTCAATCGGATATTAACTTTGGCCTCTAGAGCGTCCACAAGATTTTTTTGAAGTGATCAAGGGCCATAACTCTGGCAGTAATTATTGGAAATCACTGAAAATCAATAGGCTTCTTCGTCTCATGACCTTAAACACTGTGTATAAATTTAAAGTCAATCGGATATTAACTTTGGCCTCTAGAGCGTCCACAAGATTTTTTGAAGTGGTCAAGGGCCATAACTCTGGCAGTAATTATCGGAAATCGCTGAAAGTGAATAGGCTTCTTCGTCTCATGGCCTTAAACACTGTGTATAAATTTAAATTCAATCGGATATTAACTTTGGCCTCTAGACCGTCCACAAGATTTTTTGAAGTGATCAAGGGCCATAACTCTGACAGTAATTATCGGAAATCGCTGAAAATCAATAGGCTTCTTCGTCTCATGGCCGTAAACACTGTATATAAATTTACAGTCAATCGGATATTAACTTTAGCCTCTAGAGCGTCCACAATTGCTTGTGGACGCCGGACGGGGGCGACGACAATATACGACCACATTTTAATGTGGGCGTATAAAAACTAGATAGTGTAAAGGTAATTTGCTGAAAATTTCAGTCAAATTGATCCTCTATGAGCCGAGAAAGAAGCGGGTGAAATTTTTGCATCGTCTTGGTCACCATTACTAAAATCATTAATATAAACAGCATAGTCTCGATTATCCACTTTTTCTGATTTAATTATCAATAGCCGTTAGCGGCATATAGGAATCTAATCCAGCCAACATCGAAGGCTAGCCTTGACATCGAGAGTTTATTATGGTCTGGATAAGTTAATTAATGTCTAATTGATAATTTAGATAACATTTCAGGCCTAAAGAAAGACTTGTAATAAGCAGATTTTGCTCTTGCATAATGCATGTTTAATTATATAAGACAGACTAAATTGAAAAACAAAAATATATGCATATTTCTAAATGTAAAAAATGATCACAGATTAGTAAATCTTAAAAATCATACAACCAATCACTATTAAATATAAAACTATATCACAAAAATAGTGAAATGAAAACTCACTGTTCTTATTTCAACTAATCGTTCAATAGCTGGATCATCTGCTATTGATAAACCACTTGACTTTCGTAGCATAGTATAAACCAAGTTGATCAGATAACTCAATAACATTTCAAATTTAACCTCTAAAAAGCTGATACCCTATAAAAAATATATTGAATTGATACATTTAAACCTTTCGTAAGGGATCCACAACAGTTAAAATATTTCATTAAAATTTGTTGCCTCCTTACATCATACTTGTTAATTCATAACTATCCTATATGTAGGCCTACAGGTACATCTAAATAAGCAAGTAACATCTAATAATTTTGAGACTTACCCAGAGATTCACATACATGTACATGTAGAATTATTTAGACCCATGCTTTTCAAAATAGTAAAATAAAATTCACAAAGATTATTATTCCAAAATATCCTTTTAATCCTTACAATACACTTGATTAAGCTATCTGATTATGATGATGTCAAAGATAAGGATTATAAGCCCTTGACAATGTCTTGGGAAACATTCAGGAACCAAGCATGAATAAACAAATGATTATATACCTTTGCTGTTGGATGTTCACCATTTTCTATTTTTGATATCAGTGATGTCACCTGACCAATAGCATCTGATGTTTTGTTTTTGACATCTTTGAAGATATTCAGCACCTTTGGCAAATCTTGTTCAACTATCTATAAATAAAACAAGTACCGGTAGGCCTACACTAAAAATTTGTAATGAAACCTACATGTAAACCTTATTTGCTGTAGGGCCTACATGCAATACTGGTAGTGGTATATGTGGTGATAGTTCAGCTCTGAACGTCGGTCTCATTACACTCGACCTCTACGTTCAGGGACTGTCCTATTGAATCCTTGTCGAAAATCTAATCGCTTCCCAGTCAATTTTACTGGGCAACTTTTTACTGCTAAACGGTCGTGTGTCAGTCCCTGTGAACGCCTGAACAATATAAATGAACATCTTAGTGAGAAAATAAGGCCTTGCTTACCTGGCTAGAGTCAGTATGAGCGACACAACACGCTGTTAAAAAATACGTCTCTGTCTTCTAACCGACTTGGCGGACATCATTGAAAGGGTAACGCACAAATTTAAGAACTCGGCCATATAAGATGAAACGAAATTTAGGTAAGCCTGGTGCGAAAAAATTGGGATTTTTGAAAGAATTTGATTGTAAATTATTGTAATTTAGCTAGGCAAAGCAATAAATCACTGAAGATTCTCAACTTTTCAAAGATTTCATTTTTTTTTCTCCCAGGCTTACCTAAATTTCGTTTCATCTTATATGGCAGAGTTCTTAAATTTGTGCATTACCCTTTCAATGATGTCCGCCAAGTCGGTTAGAAGACGGAGACGTATTTTTTAACAGCGTGTTGTGTTGCTCATACTGACTCTAGCCAGGTAAGCAAGGTCTTATTTTCTCCCTAAGATGTTAATTTATATTGTTCAGGCGTTCACAGGGACTGACACGCGACCGGTTAGCAGTAAAAAGTTGCCCAGTAAAATTGACTGGGAAGCGATTAGATTTTCGACAAGGATTCAATAGGACAGTCCCTGAACGTAGAGGTCGAGTGTAAAATGAGACCTACGTTCAGAGATGAACTAATGTGGTGAGTGATTAACACAATTTGACACAGGGGGACGGTCAGAAACCCATGATGTCAATTAATTATTAGTTAAAATTTCCTTACTGTTAACAAGTTTCTCTGTTGGTTAGACATGCCCGATGTTATCTGTTATGTAATTTTTTTGTATGGTATTTGGTACACTGTTGTTTTGGACACAACTTTCTACGATCTTGGTCTATGTACTTTTCATCTAATTCTGAATTATGTGTAATTTCTATATTCATTGAATATAAGTATTTCATTTAGCATTTTATATTATATGACCATTTTTTTCAAGACCCATCATCATCATCATGCGATTATTGCCAATTGCCGGTATTACCTTTCAGTCATTTCATTTTCAAGTCTAGTTTCCGCGATTTTGTTGAAAATTTTAACTTTTTTTAAGGCACAAAATATTTGAAAAATCACTGGCGTTTTATTTCATTAAGGTATAATGGTACTTTTATCTTATACAGACAGAAATATTGGTATAATATTTACCTGCTCCATGTGAAGTCAATGGAGGCTACCATATTACATTCTGCGCCCTCTGTAAATAAAGAGTTATCTACTCTTGGCGCACTAACAGGTGGAGTGAGCATGGTTAGTTATCCATGCCTAGTCCACCTGTAACCATGCCCAGTCTACCTGTTAGTGCAAAGAGTAGATAAGGAATGAGAGACCAAAAACACAAAAACTATGGGCGATAATAAAACCATTTCATGTGATTTATGGAAGTTTGCATGAACTTGTGAAGTGACAAACAGGATAGGCCAAGTGCCTAGAAGATTGTCTATATAGAACACTAAAATATTAATTTGTACGATGTTACATGAATACAGCTTGTAGATCAAAAGCAATGCACCATTTCTTGGTATGGAAAAATTGACCTTCATGTCTGAAAATACCAATGTTTTTAGGACTCCATTGAAGCTCGTTTCTGTCTACTGATAGGACTATTGTAAATGTATGTGTATGCGCTGTCCTAAATGGACATCTTGATGCAATAAACAACACCATATCTTATCGGGATGTGTATGAATGTGCACAATTATTATTTATTTTATGATTTCATACAACAATTTATTCAAAAATATAAAAAAAATTATTTATTTTTCACATAAAAGTATAAAAACATTTAAAATATTACTTTATATAAAATTACAATAAGGTACATGTACCAATGGTATATGCATATAATCGATATTGATTCTACAATATATTTAATATGAAGAATTTTACTGGCTGGCTTATATACAATTCATAAAAAATATGAATAATACAATTTATGGAAGTATCTCTAAAATACTGTCTCACTTTTATATTATGTTTAACAAAAATTAATAACATTATATACAATTTATAATAGAAATGATATAATTTTCAGAAGTACCTCTAATAATACTCTGTCACTTTTATTATGTTTTAACAAAAATTATATAACATTATATCATGGTTAATATTAAAGAGTCTATGTTTGTCTTATGAACAGTTTGGTAGTGGTATCTGTAACACTGGAGAAGTAGTTTTTGGGTTGTCGGTATAAATAAATAGAATACATCTGGTTATATCATAAATTGCTGAAAAATATAACAAAATATTATGCACTAATGCCAGAAAAAACAACAGTGGGACTGTGTCTAACAAAGCATATGACAGGTGCCTTATTTCCGGTTTTATCATACAATAATTTTTATTTTCATAATGGTGACAAGGGCAATGCGAGGAAGAGTATTCTGCCAACTGCCATGGGATCTTTTATTTGCACTACCAATATTTTCATGGAACCTCAGTATCTTTTATCCATCCAAACAACTTTTTTGTCAGCCCTGCAGGTGCTAATCTTGACAAGTGGGTTCTTCTTGGCATACAAAGGACGGTTGGAAAAATAAATTAAGTAATATAAGTTACACAAAGGTCCGCAATCCCTCAAATTTATACACTATTGCCTCTAATTTGTAGTAGTCAGTGTGAGCAAAATTCTTACGGTATACAAATTCTACTCCTGTGACAATAGTATAGTTGTACAAACGTAAACTTGACATTTTGGCACAGCCCATCTCTCAGACACAGCTTAGAGGGAGGAAACATACATCCACTACTTTAATCGACATTTTAATATATGACCTAGAGTGGTCTCCAATTGTTGAATTGTGCCTTAAATAAAATTTCTTCAAGGCAAATTGTTATTAGCGTTATATAAAAAACTTTGTCTATACCAGTAGCACATGTTGAAGTATTATCTGTTGGTCGAGGTGTTCTGTAGATAGGATAAATACTATCTTCTGTGTCTCCAAGAATATTTCTGATACTGGCAATATCAGTTGGTGTTGGTAGTTGCTCAGCTCGTTTTCTACGGTGGATTGAGCTAATGGTGTGATTTGTAAATTGCGGAATGTTTACAGTGTCTGGATGTTCAAACCTACATATTTTTTTAAACAAAATATAAAAATATTAGCTCTCAGAATAAAAATCTTTCAGCTTTCAAATAATTTCAGTTATTATTTATAATTGAAGCTAAATTGGCTGGATAGCACTGGTAGTTTTACACATAGAGTACTTAATGTCAGATCATCAAGGGCTTTAAAGATGCATTATGTAAGATTTGGATAAAGAGCTAGCCGTTCTTGCTGTAATAGCTTTTAACATTATGTAAATCAAAAGGCACAGACACTTTAATCGATTTAATACTTTAGCCATATTTCAAGTCGAGTTTTCTTGATTTTGTTGAAAATATTTCTTTTTTATACACAAAATATTTGATAATTGACTTTTATGTTATAGAGATAGAAAGAGATGGCCATTCTTGCTATACTTGTTTTTACAGATAAACAGATAAATTATGAAATGGTGCAGGTGTTAATATTTCAGCTCGTCATATAAACAAATGTCTAAATCATAATTTATATAAATTTGTAGCCAGAAAAACAATTGTAACAGACTGATTTAGCTTGTACAATGTACATAACAATTCCTCTTTAATAAACTTAACATACTCTGTCCATACTTAAACGAGTATGAACATTAGATCATGAACTTAACATACTCTAGTCTTCACTGAAAGAGTACAAATATTAGATCATGAACGTAATATATTCTGCACTGAAAGGGTATCAATCTCATATCTTCAAGTTTTAAACAACCTGAAGATCAGAATTACTAAAACTTTACAAATATATTTCTTTTAGATCTGTTTAAATTCTAAACTATCTGTAGACTGATTGTCTGTAGTATGCCAGACATTTTTGAGACAGTGATGAGTATCATGAATTCTTTACTCACTTGTTAAAATGAAAGTAGTGGCCTGTTGTATTATATGATGATATGTCATATTTTGCCATTTGTAAATTGACTGTTTTCTTACTAACTAAAGACACATCCATCTTGGTTGAGGTCACTTCATAGTTTACACTTTGTCTGGGTTTTCTCTTTAAATCAGCAAAATTACAACTGGAAAATAAACAACACAGATTGAAATGATTTATTAAAGGTGCTCTATAGAAAACTGTTTTCTGAGTCGATCTCACTTTTACTACACAGTAGTGCAGAAAATTAATGAATACAAAAATCTACAACACTGTACAAGAATTTGTAACCAACCCCTGACACCAAAATGTGAACATATTTAGTGGTTATTAATTTATGAAATGTGTTATCATATTGAAGAATTTAATGTTATGATTTCATCTATAAGCTGTTATGTCTATACAAATTATTCACCTAAAAGCATATGCCCCCCCCTATACCATTACTAAGTAAAACTTTTTCTACATCTTCTTCTGTTGATTGGGCTAATAAAGCTCTGTTCACATAATTTCTAGCTGAAAACAAAATTCAAATACATGCACTTGTAAATGATTAGCAGTAAAATGTAGTTTTAAAAAATATAACGTTCCAACCAGCAGGTTCGAAAAGAGGAGCAAGATAGTGGCAATTTTAACTCATCGAGTCTGATGTACCCCACCTCAACCCTTAAATATATAGTAGACACTGACTGATTGCTTTATCTTTTCATGAAGCACTAAACAATCAATTTGCTTAACAATTTGCTGCAGTGTAAAGCACTAAACAATCAATTTGCTGCAGTGTATGAAATGTGACATCATCTGTAGAAAACGCTATAAGAGTTATTGTGTCCCAAAGATGTGACAGACAGAGAGATGGACAAAAACACTTTAATAGTCCCCAGCCCCTGCTTTGGTGGGTACCAAAGCACTTAATAGGTTTAGATGACATGGGCAATAACAAATTAATTATATATCCTTCATATTCTTTGATACTGAAGATATACTGAAAGATAACTGTTATTTAATTTTCTCTCCTCTTCATTTTCAATACACAGAAATGAAAGACAACAACTTACGTATTTTTTGGTCTCCGAAGGCTTTAGGAGAAAGGGCGTTAGCTGATATTATTAAACCAGACATTGTGAAGCCAAATGCATTACCTGGTAGGTAACCTAAAAAAATACAAAAACTATATATACAGGTAACAGATAAAAATAAAATGTAACTTAATGAAATTTCCTTTTAATGCCATTTATCTCAACATTTTACTCAGTGGGTAAGACACTGTCTCACTAACCAGGAGATCTAGTGTTTGCTCCCGGTGTTGGTCGAGAAAGTTCCCCTTGCTAGTTCTGCAGCAAGGAGGACTTGACAAGGAACGGTGTCTAGTCATTCGGATGGAACAAAAAACTGAGGTCCTGTGTAGTACATATTGGCAGGCATGTAAAAACCCTTGACAGTCAGAATTCAAAAAAAGAGTAGACTGTAGTGCTGTTGTCCAGGCTAAATTTTTCTCATACTAGCACACTGTACACTGTATATTGTGATTTACAGATCCAGGTTCTCAAGATGGCATTATTAATAAAAGTATGCATAAATTCTTTCAAGAACATATGATACCACTTGGGCATCTGTGAGTCAGATATTATTCCATGGCTGGTTCATGTAGTAGACAGTTTCAAAAATCTTACCAGGGTAGGTATATGCCATGAAATTCTCCACAATATTTCCATTCTTATCAACAATTGTAGCATTTACAAAATAAGCTCTGTCTTTAATTAAAGGATCTGCATCTTCATTATGACCAATAGCAAACTTAAAATATAGAAACTAAATTATTAATTAGACATGAAGTAATTTATTCAGACCATGATCAACTCTAGATGCCATCGATAGCCTGCGATATTTAGTGGATTTTAATACATTTTGTGATGGATAATTTAACATAAAAATGGATAATCAAGTCTTTTTTTATTATCTTACCAACGTTAGTAATAACGACCGAGACTAGCCTAAAACTGAATCGCTAATATCTTGGTTTAGAGTGAAGAAATTTGATTGAAATTTTTAGCATATTTTGTTTTCATTATCTATTTTTTAACTATTATAGTGAGAACTGTCAGCTCTGTATCTAATCTTACCTAATGACCCTTCAATAAAGACAAGTCGAAACATAGCTCACAGTAACTTTATTATTTAGAATTGTATTCCTTTTAAAATGTTTTTCAGTAATAAACAGTAATTGTATTCCATTTAATTGTGTATTTCCAGTTCCATTACTGAAACAATTTACTTTTTGAGAGAGAGAGAGAGAGAGAGAGGGGGGGGGGGGGGGTTAACGTCCACTGGACACAAATTAGGTCATTTTGGGACTAATACATAGTTCAATTCTATTTCAATAATTTGCTTGCGCATAGGGGTCTTTAGCAGTGGGAGGAAACCGAAGGACCCGGAGAAAACCCACGAGGTTGGACAGGCGACCCTTCTCCTTGTCACGTACAACCGCGGAATTGAAACTCAATGACAGACCGTATGATACAGCACGCATGTGCTAACCATTCGGCTACCCAACCCCCCAATTTACTATGTAGAGATCAATATCAATGGTAACCCTCTTTAAAATGACTATTACAAAGCATCACAAAAACCGGTAACTAGAAACAGATCTGATAAATATTCAGGTGATTTAATTACAGAATGTTGTCTTAATGGCTACAAACATACCAATCTCCTTGTGATATTTTCTTCACATGCATCTGTGCCAAAAGGCGAAATTTTAATCTACCTTGATGAAAATGCAAAAGAGTTTGCATAAACATGTTCGCATTTCAACAATAGCTAGATCTCACCTGCTGTGCATTATTAACATGAACATCTGAGCAACTCTCAGCACCCCAATCACCTTCAATATGGGCATTTAACTCATTACGAATAGAATTCACAAAAATCTGAAATAAAATATGATACTGAATTAAAAGAAATTGTCATGCCCTTTTATGTGAATGGTGGACATTAGAGATAAGTTCAATAACCCACAAAAGAAGAAAGACAGTAATATATTTCTATAAATATTGCCTGTAGTTTAAAAGAAAATTGATCATGGTCTAATTCTATATATCTTATATGAATAACACAAAAGGCTGAGCACATCATATACATGTACTTAAATATATTTTGATGCTGGAATCATTTGACAGTGAATTATAAAATGAAATTACCTGAATAAAGGGCATTTCTGATCCTGCAGCTATACCTTTAAGTTCATCAAGATATTGTGGGTAATACTGTCGTATAACTGTTAAATATTTATCCATAACCTGGAATAGATATAATGATAACCTTCTACATGTAAATGTATGAAAGAATACAAGGTAGCCTTTCAAGTAAGTGAAAAAACTTTACTTAATCATTAGAAAACACCAAATAAAAGTCAAATATAGTCTTCTGCTAGGGTCTATTCTTGTTCTGTTGGCTCTATCAGGGCAGATGACAAATTTCCACGATCGACCCTGGTGTCTTGAAACAAAACTGTCCGACGTAATGTATATATCAGAATGCAAGGTGCCATAGTAAATAGAAATTTCCTCTTTCCGAAAGTTATTGAATAAAGGAATCCTCTAACGATCAACAATCACACCAGGGGGAAATGAAATAAAATGGGGTTCAACGTCCTACTGTTCTGCTCTGACTGGGCTAATGAAGATGGGCACACGCCATACAGTGTGCTATGAGGAAAATTCTGCCCAGACAGAGGCGTTATGGCCTACTCTTATATATCGAATTCCAAGTGCCAAGAGATCTTTTACATGCATGCCAATGAGTACACAGGACCTTGGTTTTTCAACCCATCCGAACGACTAGACAGCTGTCCTTGTCAGGCCCTCAGGTGAACTTTCTCAGCCAACACTGGGAGCTAGCATGGCTCCCACACCAGGGGGACTAATCACTAAACTATAATTAACCCTATTGTTCCCCCCCAACTCTCTTTTATGACTATTATAGCCTTTATAAAAGTTATTTTGGGAGCGATGGTGGCTCAGTGATAAAGGAGCTGGCTTGCTAACCTGGATGGCCCAGGTTTGATCCAGTGCTGGCTGTGAAACTTCCTTGTGATTATCTGGCGTGGTTTCCCCTTGTCAATGATGCAAGACAGAGGGCCTGGCAAGGAACAGCATGTAATTGTTCTAATGGAATGAAAAACCAAGGTCCTGTGTATCAAGTGGATGGAGGGCCTGGGAAGGTCCAGTGTAGGTAGGCCTACACTTAAAAGTACCCTCAACAGTTGGAATTCAAAATAACAGCAAAATTTGCCTCATACATGTAGCACACCTTGGAGCAGAAAAGTAGGATGTCAAACCCCTTTTCATTTCATAAAAGTTATTTTCAAAGTAGTGTAGTACTTTTATTCTGGAAGATTTCTCTCACAAGAGATATAAAATCTTAAGTACCAGCAATAAGATTGTAGAATAATTGCACAAACTTACAGACACTCCTTCTTGACTTGTTATATAGGGCATCAATCTATTTTGAAATTCTGTATCTTTTGAATTATAGTCATGTATCCTAGATTTAAAAGTTTTGCCCTGAAAAATATTGAAAAGCATTAACATAAATTTCAAATGAACAATATTAGCTTCTTACAGGAATATTCCCAGTTTCCCACACCCACCTAAAAATGAAGGGGTAGCTACAGTTATTTTTAGGAGACAACATCCCTTTATCCTTCCATGTACAAATATCTGAAGCTAGAAGAAATACAAACTGTCTGTTTCCACGTATTTTGGCAATATGTTTCCAAATTTTGTAAGTACTTGAATAACCATGTCTATCTATACACAAGCTAACCTTAGAGTGGTAAGTGATTGTCACGATTATCAAGTCACCCATACATGCAGTAGAGTTATGAAATTCCTTAAATCTGTACCATATTTATATATAACCCTGTTAAACAAATCAACCGGTCATTTTCTAACAACTCAAGGTTCATATTGTCATATTTAAGCCCTTGATCATTAAATATTTAAATCCAATTTCCGGCGTAGTTCCTACTTGTCAGTGATGCAGGACGGAGGGCCTGACAAGCACAGCTGTCTAGTCTTTGGATGGTACAAAAAAACGAGGTCCCGTGTACACATTGGCGTGCATGTAAAAGATCCCTTGACAGTTGGAATTCGATATAAGAGTAGGCTGTAGTGCCGCTGTCCGGCAAAATTGTCCTCACAGCACACTGTATGGCGTATGCCCGTCTTCATTAGCCCAGTTCGGAGCAGAACTGTAAGACGTCAAACTCCATTTCATTTCATTTTATATCATTTTAATTACAATATCTAGCAAATTAAATGAAAATTAGAAAGGGTTGTCTTTTGAAAGAAACTATATAAACTTTAACAAACAATCTTAAATTTATTTTAAGATAAACAAACAAGAAGATTCATGTCCATACCATGTCAAAGCCAACTTCAGAATAAGTGCCTTTAGTATGTAAAATCGGAATCTGAGTAGAACATTGTGTTGATGACAGACAGGTAACAACCAGGAAAGTAAGTGTTGTTATCTTATTCATTGTTTCTTTCACCATCATATTTCTCCGGTTCTAATTTTACTGAGAAAATAAATTTATACAACAATAATTACATAAACCTATTACTGTCTAGGTGTCTAGTCATGACGAATGATTTATCATAACTTTCTTATTCTGTATGTACTCAATGTAGGTCTAGATCTACAGCTATAAAATTTACAATCCAAATGACCCCAAATAATGATCAATAGGCTACCACCAAGCATTATACATTCCATCCATATCATGTGTCATGATCACATAATGAAGGATATAAAAGAAATTCAATGAATTGGAGTTTAATGTTACAATTCAGAAATATTCCCAGCCAATTTGAACAATTACAATAATATTCCACAAACATAGAAAGGTCATTCAAATTAAATGATGTTATAATATTAGTTATATATCAATATATATGTGAACTAATTGATAACCTACTCCTTCTGAAAAACTTCAGATAATTAACCAGATAAGATAATGATCAAAATATATGACACTGTGGCGTCTGTGGCTGAACATTACATTACAGTCATACAATAATAAACAAACTGTAAGTAGAGAAAATAACTGTCACAGGGAGGTAACTCTGTTTTATATTTTGGGGTCAGACTAGTGATTTTCTCCTATTGACTTCACTGTTAAATCCATTACATTTTTCTTGGCCAATAACATTTTTTTAAACATTTCGATGATATTAATGTTTATAACAACAAATAGCCCAGCATGTCACAATCATCTGATAAATTATTGAAGGAAGTTGATTGACTATTTCTAAATTACGCTAGGCCTGGTCAAAAGACTATAACATGCAGTAACGTCATTTTAGTAGGCAATCATCCTGTTGTCTTCGACTCTGAACCAAAAATTCAATGAAAATGTTCATGTAAAAGGACTTTGGGGTGGGGGGTTGAAAGACAGCATTGTTATACCATAAGAGTTTTCTTGTCAGTTAATCTGATCAATCATATTCCTTATGACAATTTTGAAAGAAATTTCAGACAATGTTACATTTTTAAAGTGATTGTTCACTATCTTCCAAAGGCATGTTTCCTAAAAAAAACAAAACAACAATACACCTTATTTTTAAATGTTTTGTGAAACAGCAACAGTTCTAAAAAGCTTAAGTCCTAAGGCCTATAATTATTAGCATTAAACTTCATTCGGGCGATATAGGAATCTCTAGCATACTACAATACTGTAAAAGTCCTGCCCCCTCTTTTTTCTCCTTCATTCATCGGAATAACGTTGAACAAGCAAACGAGCGAAGCACTGATTCCGCTGTGGCCCCACTTCACTTTAATCCTGTATGAACTTTTCTCAGAACTTCTGATTTGATCAAATTCTCAGACCCCACACCAAATTTGATGTTCTCTCCACTCTGGACCAATTCCTGAACATTCCCCACTGCACCCTTCATGTTGTCTAAAAATATCGTTTCTATTTTCTTTCTATAAAAGGTATAACATATTCTTATTATTCAATTTACAATATCTGAGACATGAATCTTGAGTCAATGTGAAGCTTTGGTTCAGGTGGGTATTGCAGAACAATGTGTATGTATTAATATTTATTTCATAACTTCACCGAAGAGAAATAATCAAATACAATAATCTATATAAATGTAAAATAATTCTTGTCTTTCATAGAAAAATATAAAATCATTTATACTAATGTACATGCATTAAAAAATATTACCGGTAATTTATATAAAATTCCATAATACTGTTAATGCTAGGTTTCCACTATCACGATTCACGCTACGATTAATCATGGTGATCTTATCAGGTCTTATAATATATTGAGGTCAGCCGTGGCAATCGCGTTGATGGTATCGAAACGTATCCGAATGTATCTTTACGTACCAGTTCGTGGACTCAAATGGACAATCCTAAAGTAAAACATTGCACGACAGTGGGAACCTAGCATATGTGAATACCTTTAATTTGGTATTACTCTTATGCTTTGAATAAAATACTTATTCTAGTAATTCAACTATACTCTTAATATGAAGAATTGGATTGAAGTATCTCTAAAATACTGGCTGACTTTTAATACTATGTTTTACAAAGATTAATAACATTATATACAATTTATACTAAAAATCATATAATTTGACAGAAGTATCTTTAAAATGAAATGAGACTTATTGTCCTACTGTTCTGCACCTACTGGGGTAATGAAGACGGGCATACGCCATACAGTGTGCTATGGGGAAAATTTTGCTCGGACAGCGGCGCTGCAGCCTACTCTTATATCGAATTCCAATTGCCAAGATAATCTTCTGCAAGCACTCCAATGTGTACATGGGACCCCGGTTTTTCATTCCATCTGATCAATTGGACAGCTGTCCTTGTCAGGCCCTTTGTCCTGCACCAATGACTGGGGGAAACCACGCCGGAAAATTACGATGAACTTTCTCGCCCAACAACTGGAGCAAACCCACGACCTCCTGGCTAGCAAGCCAGCGTCTTACCCACTTAGCCACCGTGGCTTCCTATCTTTAAAATATTTTCTCACTTGTATATTATGTTTTACATAAATAAATAAAAAGATAATACAATTTAAAATAGAAATAATCAATTTTTTTTAAAATCACTGTTTGTCTTATGAACAGTTTGGTAGTTGTATCTGCAACTCTGGAGAAGCAGTTTTTGGGTTGTCGGTATAAATAAATAGAATACATCTGGTTATATCAAAAATTGCTGAAAAACGAAACAACATGCAACAATGAATAGAAATTAACTAGTTCATGTCTCAGTCACACAATGGGGAAGTGCAGCGATTCAGGGACGAGAGGTTTGTATCGTCTAAATTGCCTAAAGGTTTAAAACAATAAAAAAATAAATAAAGATTCACAGTCTTACATGTATATGCTAATTTTATTGACCCTTTACATGCATGTATAGCTAAAGATGGTCAAAAAATAAATTGCTCTCCCACATGCATTTCAGTGAAAACAAACGGTCATAACAAAGTTGCACCATAACATACTGGTAAATAAATTGACCTAATAACAGATTGTTACTAGCAGCAAATTAAATATTTATAGTTTTGTCTATACCAGTAGCACATGTTGAAGTATTATCTGTTGGTCGAGGTGTTCTGTAGATAGGATAAATACTATCTTCTGTGTCACCAAGAATATTTCTGATACTGGCAATATCAGTTGGTGTTGGTAGTTGCTCAGCTCGTTTTCTACGGTGGATTGAGCTAATGGTGTGATTTATAAATTGTGGAAGGTTTACAGTGTCTGGATGTTCAAACCTACATTATTTAAAAATAAATAAATAAAAATATCAACTCATGGAACTAAAAAATTTCAACTTTCTACTCCACATTTAAAGAATAATTAAATTTCATTTGGCCTTAATACATACAGCAGTTGTAATTTTACACAAATCGTTAGATGTTTTAAGCATGTGCAACCCTGAAACAACTTGGAGATTTGGGATTATCATATTTTTCAGGGTGTTTTCTTCCATGGACCTCAGTACTACATCTTACACTCCACATCAACGTATATAGAATGACGTCCAGAAAAAAGAAAGTCTCCCAGAACCGATACTCTGCTGAGTCTGCTCTCTGTCTACTAAAGAGTGCTCACAGGTAAAACATTTTGAGTGAGTGCTAAGTATCATGAATTCTTTACTCACTTGTTAAAATGAAAGTAGTGTCCTGTTGTATTATATGATGATATGTCATATTTTGCCACTTGTAAATTAACTGTTTTCTTACTAACTAAAGACACAGCCATCTTGGTTGAGGTCACTTCCAAGTTGACGGTTTGTCTGGGTTTGTTCTTCAAATCAGCAAAATTTAGACTGGAAAATAAACAAACCTGAATATTTAACTGACTTATTACTAGTAAAACTGTTACGGTTTACTGGACCTAACAGTCAGGGCTCTATTTGTGGACACATTTGCCAGTCTCACCTAATGAACATCTACACACCAAGTTGGAAAATTCTACCTCAATTATCATGTTCCAAAGTCCTGACCAATCAATTAGAAGTCTCTATACTAAGCCTAAGCGGAAAATGCTCATAATCATACTTAGTCATAATGCTTATAACTCTGCTTAACCTGAGCAAAACTACTCATTATTGAACCTAGTCAAGGTATTGATGCAACAAAAAGCTATACACCAAGTTTCATCAATCTCACTTAATTAGAATAAGTTTGACATCCATGCATGGATCCATAACCAACATATGGTTATTTTTAATGGTTACATGAAATGGAATATTCTCTGGTGTTATATGCCCACAATTAGTCACCGTACCTAAATCCATAAGCTCCTCCTATACCATTACTAAGTAAAACCTTTTCTACATCTTCTTCTGTTGATTGGGCTAATAAAGCTCTGTTCACATAATTACTAGCTGAAAATCAAATTCAATCAAGTATTCTGATAGTACAGCTGAAGCACTACAGCAATACATGTCCCCTTGCAATACTAGGCTAATACCGTGAATACATTTCTATTAATATATAAGTACTGTGTGGAATGAATTCTGTAAAACTGATTTTTTTATTGAATAACTATGCTAAATTTAACCTAGATACTGAAAAACAGAACTTTCATTGCTTTTAAGTCAACAAAGAGCCATAATTTAGTACAAAATTTAGTTTGTTAACAGGACACAGTACACTATTAATTTCCCAGTTCACTGTGTTAATTCTCATCTCTTTGATCAGCTCTAACTTTTCCCAAAATTTTTGTGGAGATGAACACTTTCTACCACAGATGGAGCAACATGTGGCAACCTCTTGCTCAAAAGCATGTATCAGATTCACCATGGAAATCTTGAGATACACAAACTGTTCGCACTATATTTCAACCTAACCAACATTTTAAGTTGCATATCCTTCCGCCTTAAAATCATAAATATTCACCAAAACCTGGCAGAAAATGTATATTTGATCCTACACCAAAAAGTTGACAAAAACCGACATACAAAATTATGAAAGATAGGTTGCCAGGCAACTAAACATACGCCCACAGCAGCTAAATCGTCCGAGCGGTCGACAAGAGTTGTCGTATATTTGTTCTTTTGTAGGTAATTAGGGGGCATTTAATAGACAATTTCATACAGATGGCATTATAATTTTCGTCGTTTGAGGGTTCACAAGGTTCTAAAAACTAAAACAAGGGCTGTAACTCTGGAAGTAATCTACAGAAATTCTTGAAATTCGACAGATTTTCCTTTTACTAATTCAAATAATACATATCAATTTCATACAGATTGGATGATAAATTTTGTCGTTTGAACGTTCACAAGGTTCAACAAAGTAAAATAAGGGCCATAACTCTAGAAGTAATTGACAGAAATTGCTGACATTCAATAGACTTCTTCATTTCACTAATTTAAATGATGCATATGAATTTCATACAGATTGGAGGATAACTTTTGTCGTTCAAACGTTCACAAGATTCAACAATGTGAAACAAGGGCCATAACTTTAGATGTAATTAACGGAAATTGCTGAAATTCAATAGGTTTCTTTGTTTTACTAATTTAATTGATGCATATAAATTTCATACAGATCGGTTGATAACTTTTGTTGTTAGAGTGTTCACAAGAAGCAACAAAGTGAAACAAGGGCCATAACTCTAGATGTAATTAACGGAAATTGCTGAAATTCAATAAGCTTCTTTGTTTTACTAATCTAAATGATGCATATAAATTTCATACAGATCGGATAATAACTTTTGTCGTTAGAGCATTCACAAGGTACAACAAAGTGAAACAAGGCCCATAACTCGCGGCGTAATTAACGGAAATTGCTCAAATTCAATAGGCTTCTTCTTTTCACTAATTTAAATGATGCATATCAATTTCAAACAGATCGGATGATAACTGTTGTCATTAGAGCGTTCACAAGATTCAACAAAGTGAAACAATGGCCATAACTCTAGATGTAATTAACGGAAATAGCTGAAATTCAATAGGCTTCTTTGTTTTACTAACTTAAATGATGCATATAAATTTCATAAGAGAAAGACTATTAATAACTTTTGCACTATATTCATATGTAGTCAGAGCAGGAATTAATGGTGTCCTGTTTCCTATATGTCTCAAAACAGTACACCATTAATTTCCCGATTGACTCTAATATAGTGAAGACAAAATGAATTTCAACTATACGAAAAGAAATAGGATATGTGTTTTAATCTACTTTCATTTAATCTAACATACAGAGAAAATAAAAGACTACAACTTACGTAATTTTTGGTCTCCAAAGGCTTTAGGATAAAGGGCATTTATTGTTGTTATTAAACCAGACATTGTGAAGCCAAATGCATGACCTGGTAGACTACCTAAAATTATATAATACAAAAATTGTATACCGGTAGTTAAAGTAGCTAAGTCTCTAACTCAATATCATCCAAAATCTTCAACATTGAAAACATGAATTATTTGTCAATTTAAAACAACATTGATGCTGTGATCTTACTGGAAAAAGATGGGCTTCTGATATCCAATATTTAAGACAAAATAAATATTTTACCATTGGTACAGGAATCGTGTACCATAATGCGTTTTAGCCCCAGTTCTAGCAAGAGACTCGAGGAACGAGGCTAGACATATTACACCAAACCAAAAGATGTATGTAGATTGGAATAACCAGACGCTAGGAATTTGCATTCGATTGAGACTGCTGGCTTATTTCACGGAACATAACTGATTTGAAATTAGAGTAAAAACGGAAACGATTGATGCATGCAACAGATAAAATACAACATGAAGCAAAGGAGCTTCATTTTAAAACTAAGTGCAGGAGGACTGCACCACACAAAAACAAAACACACAAGACAAACCTGTGGACAAGACACACAGACAATATAGACACTAAGAGCAATAAACAATGTACAATATTAAATCAAATGAAATGTAATTTGTCCTACCAGGCAATTTATATTGTTTTTGGAACACATTACCCCTTGTCATGACAGGCATATTGTTTTGTTGCAAGTTCATATTAATGAAGTCTGGATATTCCCTCATTCAGATTAAAAACCTCAGTGAGAGGCATATTGTCTTGTTGCAAGTTTGCATACATGTCAGAGTCAATTTAGTCTTGACATTCATTGATTCAGATTAAAATATAGGCACTTAAAACTAGTTTGTTGTTCGTGTTTACTCTCTTTAAGGCCTTGTAGCTTATTGATTATCGCTGTGGTCCTGATCCACAAATTATCCACAGTTTATCTCCCTTTTAGTATTACAACTTCCGGTGCTTTTCTAGAAAACTTCCTCGTGTAAAAATCATAAACAAACTGAACTAAACAGTAAAGGTGAACTTTCCTACATGAATTCACCGAGAAAAACAAATTAAACAAGGACAATTATGATGTGAAGGACACAGTATTTATTTATGCCAGTGACAATATCTGCATTATTATGTTCAGTGAATTTCATATCCATAATTACTTTTTTAGTGTATTTCTCTAAATGTGTAAACTGTGTTGTGTACTTACTAGTAGAACTAATTTGAACAAAATTAAACTATACGTCTTGAAATCTCGCTTTTCTCTCACGAATAGAAAGTTTTTCTCGACTTACAGACACAGTAGGGATACTCGCTTTTACTGTTTACGTTTACTGTTTACGTTTACTATTTACGTTTACTATTTACATGTATTACCCTTTTTTACACATACAAACGTACTAAAATGTCAGATCATAACTCAAACCGTCACTTGATATCGCCGTCAATATTATCAACTCAAGGTAGTAATAAGACACAAAGTAGGCCTAGTACTCCTTCATACCATACACGTAGTGAAAGCCACAGTAGCCACACTCTGAAAGTTAAAGCCGAGATGGCACGATTAAAGGCACAACATACTCTCAAGAATGCTGAATTAGCTAGAAAGGCAGCAGACCTTGAGGCTGACCGTGCAAAGGAAAAGGCTTGGCAGGCTGTGGAAATTGCTAATCTAGAAGCTGACATCTATCAAGATATTCTTAACAAAGAACAATGTTTACGTGATTACCACAAACCACCGTCAGTACCTGAAAACCGTCATACCTCAGATGTACATGTAGGCCAGTGGGTTATTAATCAGGATTTCAACTCCAACCAAACAACAACATTGGAAACACATAATGTTAAATCTCAAGATGGTCAGCATCACATGGAAACACAGCACAGTCTCAATCCGTTTATAAGTAGTACTCCACTGAGACAGCCACCAAGAAATACAGAGTTTTCGAGAAATCCATTTTTGCAAAACATAAACAATAACAATGTGCAAGAACCACCACAATTTGAAATGAATCCTTTTGCAGCACCTTATGAACCTATTACATGTCACAATAATAGTGATTATGCCACACCACAGGGCTATATACAGAACCATGAATCTACTAGTGGGCCTATAGATGCGTGGATAGACCAACTTGTACCCGGTCAAGAAACTGTCATACCACATAACACATTGACAAATACTACTGATCAATTAACACAAACGCTTATTAAACTTGAAAGTGAGCGTGATCTACCTAAAGTAGACTTACCAATATTTTCTGGTTCACCTATGTCATGGCCTAAGTTCATAGAACAAGTACACTCGCAAATCCATTGTAGACGCGGAATAAATGATACTCGCAGGATGGACCTATTACTTTCACATCTTAAAGGCGAGGCTAAGTCACACATCCAGGGACTTGGTTACAGTGGTAGGAATTATGCATTAGCCTTACAAGAATTAAAGTCTGCTTTTGGACATCGTGTTAAAGTAGCCAGAGCCGTATTAGACAAAATTATAAGCGGACCGCAGATAGCACGGAACGACCCAGCTGCGTTACGACATTTTTACGTTTCTGTAAGAGACAGCATAACTACACTTCGTCAGATGAACTACATGTCGGACATAATGAGTAGTGAAATATTATTAAAGTGTATCAAAAGACTTCCAACTGATAAAATTAATAGCTGGAACGAATTCTCAAAACGAATTGTGAAATTACGTGATCCCACACTAATTGACATGCAGGATTGGCTATATGAGCGCGTTAATGCGGATATGAATCCATACGCAGCCACGTACACAAAACAAGAATCTAATCAAAATAAACACAGATCATATTCACATGATCATTCAGTTAAATACAAAACTTTGAACAACATGGCTAAGAAACCTGCCTCAGTTACTACCAGTACTACTAGTAAGCAAAATTCTACAAGCCAAAGTCTATCATCGTCTGATAACCGTGTGTCAGCACCAAACGCTACAAGTACCAATGTTACTGCCAGAAATAAATGTGTATTATGTGCAGAGTTACATTACCTATACAGATGTCCAGTTTACATCAATAAGTCTGTACTAGAGAGACGCAAACTTGTTGAAGATAATAAGTTATGTGAAAACTGCTTAAAGGGAACTCACAAACCGGAAACATGTTTTTCTGAAATCTTATGTCGTGAGCCCAATTGTCAACAAAAGCATCACACTACATTACATTTAAACAAATCTAGTGATCATACTACGCCAAAATCACAGATTATGTATAAGATGCAGTCAAAGTCATCACGAGTCTGTTTCCAAATAGTCAGAGTACTAATATACGGTCCAAATGGACAATGTGTTAAAACGTACGCCCTTCAAGACACAGCTAGCGAAATAACGATCATACGGGAGGAACTGGGTCAAGAATTAGGACTTAAAGGTAAACGCAAGTTGCTAACTATTCAGACTATCAATGGTGAAACATCACAACAATCATCTACGGTATCATTCTCGCTCAAATCAGCTGATGATGCGCTTGGTAGTCTAATTAAGGTAAATGAGGCCTGGATGGTTTCAACTGATATATTTAAATGCTCACCACAGATAATTAATCCGGAGTGGAAACATCTCACCGGACTTGGACTTTTGAATGTCATGCAAGAAGAAGTAAAACTACTAATAGGAGCCAATATCCCAGAAGCTCATCTTCAACTCGAATCTAGATCCGGGGACACTGATCAACCCATAGCCATTCGCACTACCTTGGGATGGTCTCTCATGGGGGTGGCCGGGGATAATCCTACAGATCCAACAGTGAACGTTAACCTCATAACTCGCAGTTGCAGTCTGGACGAGCAGATGACTCACTTCTGGAGAACAGAGTCCTTTGGTATTTCCCACAATGATAAAATTGCTTTATCGTCTGAAGATCGGAAGGCATCTCTTTTGATGGATCAGAATACATGTATAGTCAACGGTCATTATGAAGTTCCCATGCTATGGAAAAACCCTAAAACTAAACTTCTGAACAACTACCCAATGGCAGAAAGACGTTTTCAGTTATTAACAAAGCGTCTAGCTCGTGATGATAACCTAAACAATTTGTACAGCAAGACCTTAAACAGTTATGTAGAAAATGGATACGCACAGAAGCTTACCAATGAAGATGTATCTATTACCTCTCCTCTCACTTGGTATATACCTCATCACGGTGTCATCAACCCAAATAAACCAGGCAAAGTACGCCCAGTCTTCGATGCATCTGCTACTTACAACGGGACATCACTTAATGATAACCTCATGTCCGGACCGGATCTCCTTAACAACCTCTTTGGAGTTCTACAAAGGTTCCGGTTATATAGTGTCGCCATCGTTGGTGACGTTGAGGCGATGTTCTATCAAGTATTAGTTCCTGACAAAGATGCCCAATCTCTTCGGTTCCTGTGGAAGACTGATATATCAAAACCTGGTCCACCTGATGCTTACAAAATGAATGTGCATATATTCGGAGCAGCCGATTCACCAGCCTGTGCGAATTATGCTATGAGACGAACTGCTACTGATAATAAACATAAATTTAGTAAGCAAGCTATTGACACTACTCTTCAAGACTTCTATGTAGACGACCTACTAAAGTCAGTAGAAACGACCGAAGAAGCTATTCGCATCTACCAGGAAGTAACTGAGCTACTGAAACTTGGCGGATTCCACCTCCACAAGTGGATGTCTAGTTCGACCGATGTACTCGACTCCATTCCTGAATCGGAACGAGCAATCACTACCCTTAATCTTGATTTAGATGACATACCCTTACAACGAGCCCTTGGCCTAAAATGGGATGTGTCACAAGACATCTTCATCTTTAATCCACAACCAAAGGTTACACCCACTACCAAAAGAGGGATTGTTAGCATCGTTAGCTCAATCTTTGACCCATGTGGATATCTCTCCCCATTCACATTAAGAGCTAAAATCATCATACAAGATATTTGGAGATCTAATAATGACTGGGATGATCCACTTCCTCCAGATATTGATGACAAATGGAGTTCGTGGGTACGTGAACTGCAAGATCTTTCATCATT